AAGTTGCTTTGTCAAGGGGTTATTTTTTCAGTTGCAAGACAAATTTTTGGATACAAGTGTGTTTTCAGACCTTAAAATATGTTCAAAAAATTTAATACACGAAAATGATAAATAATGCACATCTTCGGAGGGCACTGGATAGTAATCCTTGGCCAAGGATTTGTATAGTGAGATATTGTTCGTATGTCACACTTTTGAATTCCAGATAATAATTAGAGACTGACTGTGTTTTGAAATTGATAGCCTGGGATCCTGGCTCACTGCTCGACAGTATCGACGAAGTATTAGATTGGGTCAGGATGCCAGGCTTTGTGTGTCATTGTGTGTTAGTTTACGTTTTTTGATTGAGTTAAGCCTTCCATATTTTATAGTGTGTCTTTCTATGTTGTGATGTTATACTAGTCTATTGTTTCAGAAAAGGGAGAAGGTTTGGTACCATTAAAACGTTTAATCCCGCTGCAAATGTTTGCACCTGTCCTAAGTCAGGAATCTGATGTACAGTAGTTGTCGTCTGTTTATGTAGTTCATACGTGTTTCTCGTTTCTCGTTTTTATATAGATTAGACCGTTGGTTTTTTCCCGTTTGAATACACCTTATCGCTATTTGTCCGCCATTACTGGATATCACACAGGTTCCCGTAAAATTTTGACGTCATAAAACAAAATATCTGACGACACAATGGAAAAGTGATTGTTGTTGACGTCAAAAGTTCAAGCGGCCGGGTCAGCCGGGAAAAGCGATAAGGTGTATGGTTTTACACTAGTAAATTTTGGGGCCCTTTATAGCTTGCTGTTCGGTGTGAGCCAATGCTCCGTGTTGAAGGCCGTACATTGACCTATAATGGTTTACTTTTATAAATTTTTACTTTGATGGAGAGTTGTCTCATTGGCACTCATACCACATCTCCCTATATGAGGGTAGTAATGCCCTTTACCGTCAGGCGTCAAACGGTCATTTTCGTCTACCGTTAGCGTAAAATTGGTTAAAATTTTACCGTGATTCGTCAAAATATCCTTATCGTGATTCGTCAGAGGTCTCAAATAATTATCGTTACCGTCATTTTTGGAAAACATTTAATTAACGTGATTCGTCAAAATCAGTCAATTTTTTAATCGTCTAAAAGAGAGTGTACATTTTATCGTCAGGCACCAAAAATTACCGTTAACGTCATTTAGCAAGAATTTTTACCGTTATTCGTCAAGAAGGTACCCCCATTACGACCCTCCTATCTATGAAATTGACAAACACGAGTAGCCTCCCCTCTCTTCATTTGGACTTCCTGTCAAACGAGAAAGAATAACAAAGTTTGAAAGATTTAAAATATCATTTTAATGATCAGTTTGTCCCATTGACCACTCGTTTTCAAGACGATTCAATTAGAAAAGTTATTGTAAGTTGCGCCGGTTTCATTCCAAACGACAAAATTGTCGAAAGACCCATAAAACAATCATTATTTTTAAATTTTATACGGGACAAAAGACGTACCCAGGTATACATGTAGAATGATTCACTTCAGAAATATTTATCAAATTCATGTATTAAGATGACATTTATAATTGTGTAACATGCCAGGAAAATATTTTCAGAGATATCTTAGCCCAATGTATGTGAACTTGCCGGAAAGTAAACATCAGTTTGTTGATAGTTTTCTGTAACTTAGACTTAGTGTAACTGAAGAAGAGAAGAAGAACTTTAGTTAGGAAATATTCACCATGTCACTGTGTCTCGATACATGATTTTGACTGTCAATTCACCTTATCCCACCATTGCTGGACATCAATCTGAACATCATAGATGTTCTGTAAAATTTAAATATCTCAAGAGAAAATATCTGACTCCACCAAAGGTAAAGTGATTGTTATACAATGTATGACAATTGTTCAAGTGTCATATTTAAATTCCCGGGTCAAGTGTGACAGATTCTCAAAGATTCAGAATCTGCAACACTTGACCCTAAATTTGGGGTCACTTGAACTATTGATGTCATCCAACAATCACTTCAGCATGTTCAGTAGAGTTGCATAGGCATTTCCTGATAAGACCTAAAAGTTGGCTTAATTGGCTTAATTGTTGGAAGAAGACTTCAAGTCTTCTGAAAGCCTTTACTGCCGGCTGTAAAATCATTGAACCGTTACGAGGACGTATGCCGTATCCCTTTCTGTGCTTTACAATTTCATAACAACTTCCGTGCCATATCTTGACACTGATGTTTACACAGTACATGATCTAAGCATCTGCATCATTTAATTTATTAATTAGGCTTGAAAAACGATCACTATCGTTATGTTATAATTTATCATGTTTTAATGTATTAATATCAACCCCTTTATTTATGTAAATTATTAGATTTCATCTCATCTTACATGAACCTTATTTGTTTACTTGATGTTCTTAAAGTAGAGTTTGTAGTACTACAAATATGCATGCGTGAATTTGGTATCGGGTCGGTTCGCCCTGATTGCATGTTCGCCCTTGGTCCGTTCGCCCTGAGTTCGTCCCCATAGAGTATGTTCACCCTGGGTTCCTTCTCCTTACTTTTATCGTGTTATATTTTTATGTTAAGTATAGTGAGTTTTGGTTGAGTTATGAGTATTATTATTTTTGGAAGAAAAAAATGTGTTGAAAGCAATAATGGGACAAAGCAGGCTGGGTTGGTGGGGGCTGCTTTTATTGTAATTCAAGTTACCTTTTATGCATCTTCTTCCACCTCAGAGCAATCAGCTCTTTGAATATAGTATAGGGAATAATAACATGAATAAGTCCTAAAGAAATCCATATTCATACATGCAGTTGCACAATGCACACCTAGTTGATACATGTACCATGTACACAGGGACTAAACTTAACTGTTTTCCTCCAGGGGCCAGCTGGGCCCCTAAAATATTTTTTTCAGGGGCCCAGTTGAAATTTGAGGAGCCCAACCAATTTTTATACAAATAAAATAACACTGGAATGTACTTTTCATATACTAATAAAGCCTTATTAGGTAATCCTACTTGTAGCTTTTGAGTCTGGTAAAGATTTTGTGTGATAAATTTATAATATTTGAATTATTGCCACCAGAAATATATCATAAGATTTGACAATACTGATTCTAGTACATTTCCTACCAAAATTGCCTCCCTTCAATTTCAACTTCCTGTTGACCTGTTGACCTTTTGACAATATTTATTTACGAGATTTTGCATTTCGTTCTTTTCATTGAAGAATTTGTATAAAGCGATTCGTGGACAAGTTAATGTCTAATACGGGCTTGTAATGACTCCCTGGACAACTGGAATGCATCCCTTTCTTGATGCATATTGAACAGTTTAGAAGAAAACTAAACAATAATGAAATAATCATACAAGATTTAAAAGAGGGTTAAGAACACCTGCTTAGAGATTGAGGTGTATGTCAAATTGTGACTTCGTATTGAAAACACAGTTGTCCGACCGGGTTTGGGTTATTAAAATGAACTTACTGGTTTTCGTAAATTCTCTCTTTAATTATCCCGCTTTGATTAGACAAGCAGGTTTCCGTTTGGGAACAGTTTTTGTTTATATCGCGGGGAAAGGGTAGAAATGGGATTCACTTCAAAAAAATTTACAGTCGCCAGCTGGGCGATCAGGATGATAAAATATACTCGCCCATCCGAAAATCTGGTCGCCTTGGGCGACTGGGCGAGCGTTAAGTTTAGTCCCTGGTACATGTATAGCAATATGTGTATGGGATGACAGTCTACAGGTACAAAATGTAGACATTTGAAAAGGTTTAATACTGAGTTGGACAGGTTGACAAGGGGACAGTGTCATACATGTAAATTTGAGGTTGACACCTGACAAGTAGATAGTCTATTGGAATAACTGGTTGACAGTGTTTTGAATGTGAGGTTGAAAATTCACAATTCAGCAGTGTACAAATGTATTATTAATTAGAAATTAGGTTTACATGTAGATAGTTGACAAGTCGACAGTATTTTAAATTTGAGGTTGACAGGTCAACAGTGTATAAAGTTTGAGGTTGACAGGTCAACAGTGTATAAAATTTGAGGTTGACAGGTCAACAGTGTATAAAATTTGAGGTTGACAGGTCAACAGTGTATAAAATTTGAGGTTGACAGGTCAACAGTGTATAAAGTTTGAGGTTGACAAGTCAACAGTGTATAAAATTTGAGGTTGACAGGTCAACAGTGTATAAAGTTTGAGGTTGACAGGTCAACAGTGTATTAAATGTGAGGTTTACAATTGACAAGTAGGCATTATTTTAAATTTGAAGTTGACATTGACATATAGAGGAAGACAGTTAACTAGTCAACAGTGTATTAAATTTGAGGCTGAAGGTAGACAGTTGACAATTCGACAGAGTATTTGGAAAATTGATTGCAATTGACAGTTGTCCAATCGACAGTTGATTAGATTTGAAGTAGACAGGTCAACAGCATCTTTAACTTGAGGTAAATAGGTAGATAGTGGACAAGTAGACCTGGTAGATACATGTACATATTGATAGATTAAAATTCAGGCAAAGTTCAGCCATGTCAGTGTCGCTGAATAAGTTATTATTATAAATTTTCTTTATTTTAATCTATAGAAAAAGTAAAAGTGTAATCAAATGTTTATGTCTTCCTACAGTGCATGTTTCAGTCTATGTCTATCTATGTGTAAACCCTATATAGTGCAAAAAATTTTTAGTCACATCTTAGTTGGTTAATCATTTGACTGACCACCAAATAGCTCTAGCATACATTACAAATTCAAAAATGTAACAAATGAAATTGAGAATGGAAATGGGGAATATGTCAAAGAGACAACAACCCGACCAAAGAGCAGAAAACAGTCGAAGGCCACCAATGGATCTTCAACAAAGCGAGAAAATACCGCACATGGAGGAGGGCTTCAGCTGGCCTCTAAATAAAAATGTGTACTAGTTCAGTGAAAATGGACATCATATATAATTATAATATGATATTTTTTTTCATTTTAGGTTTCTTAAATGACAGAAGGAGACAAATCTATGTCTGTTGTGAGGGGAAATTGTTGAAGATGGGGGAAAATTCACCCCCTCTTCCAAGAGGGTCTTACAATTTTAACTTTGATGACTTTGATGAAAACACAAATCCGTTTGAAACTAAAACAAAAGTGGAACAGTTAGACAATGATCTCCCAGTCGATCCATTTAAACCTAGTAAATCATTAAGTCTGTCTCCAACGACATCAAACAACAATATACATGACACTGTGAATAAAGAATTGGATCTAGTCAAACATGCAACAGAGCCAGTCAAGACCGGGAACAAGATCCCTAGGTCACCAGTTCAATCTCCAAATATGTCTGGTGACCAACAAGTTATGCAAGTACAAGATTCTTCACCAGCTCAACCTGAATCATTATCGCAAACACAAGAATCTCCCTCTCCTCCAGAGGAATCGCCAAAACCTCAAAGGTTTGTAATGGTCTTATCTTCTGATATAAAAGTCTCAGCAGATAAATTTAGGTTTTTCTTTTCCATCATTAACATACACTATAATAAAATATTAATTATTCCGACCATCGCACGCGGAAGTAGTCAAGAACACAGTATTATTTTTTTACATTATATATAGCGTTGTCTGCGAGAAATAAATAATTTTTTTTGATAATGTTACTAAATTAAAAACCAATTTTGATATAATTAACATATATATTCTATATAACTGTGTAAATTGATCGGAATGTGAATGTTTTAATAATTTAAATACATATTGTTTATAATTAGATCTTGTCAGTCAGTATTTGTGGCTTAACACCTCATTTTCATGCTTTAGCAGTTGAGATATGTTTTCAGAATTCCTCATAGAAAATATATATAAAAGGAAAAGTGGGGAATATTCAATGAGACTGCAACCCAACCTGTGTTAAACTGTTTCATGTTGGACCAATCTGTTACTTTTAAGTGATTGAATTTTTTATATAGATTTGAAATTCTATGTGGCAATTCAGTATTACTGTCAAATTTTCTTAACTGTATATATCATGTTTATTGTCAACATTGTTTCTTTCCAGTCAAAAGAAACCAGCAATAAGGAAAGGAATAAAGAAGCCAAAGTTTAAGTCAAAATTGAAACCTCCACCAAACTTTGGAGCACAGGTACACAAAAAAAAAAAGACTAGTAGAGTTGCATTACTGCCCAGCATTAAACAATCAACACAGGGTCATAGGTTACGTGTAAACCAAAACAAACTTAGATTAGTTTCCCTTTAAAAACAATATTTTCAATAAGTTAGAGAACTTTCAGCAACTGTCAAAATGACCAACAGTATTAAACACGCTGTTCCTTTACTTAGAATATGATATTTCTTTATATTATTATTTGTTTATATTCTAACTAATTTGATTTCGTTCAGATAATATATATTTTTCATATTATTATTTTGTATATTCTAACTAATTTGATTCGTTCAGAAAGAGTCACATGTTCAACTGTATTTTTAAAGGTAGACTGAAAACAACAGATAGAAAGTGATAATTGTTATTTTAAAATATCTGAAAATAGAAATATAAAAACCAAAATACTTGATGACACAATTTTAACAACCAATCAAATTAACTTCTGCTCTATTTCCAACATATTGACAATAATAATATAACAGTTGTAGCCTTTGTATGAGGTTGATATGAGGATATATATCAACCTCATACAAAGGTTATAATTGTATAGTATTTTTTATGTCTCTCATAAACATACAACTCATATCATTTCTTTTTAAATAATGAAAAAACAACATAATTTGTAAAGAAAAAAAAATGACGAAAAAGCTATGTAACTGATTAAGAAGTAGAACTGTTATACTGTAATCCATTTAGACTACTGGTCCTCTACTTGTGTCAGAAAAATGTTTAGAATTAAAGTCATTGTTTTAATTTCTACTGTTCCTATCTTTCAGAGTGATGAAATTGAAATCTTTGCTCCCCCACCAGTAGAAACTGAACAGCCAGAAACAACAGCCAATGAAAATTCCCCACCTAAACATGACAATACTGCTGAAAGTAGTGCCATTGAAAATATTAAAAATACTCCAGTTATATCACATGACAAGACTGCTGATCCTTTTGTTGAGGATGAACCACATGATGTATCACATGATATGAATGTAAAAAATAAATCTTTATTACTAGAATCCAATGATTTAGGTCCAGAAATGGCACGAAGTTTAGAAATGGTTCATGACTTTGGAGCGAATGAAATGCCATATGAAGAAAACGAAGGAATTTCTCCAGCACCAGAAGGTAAAGCTTAAGTGCCAGTCTTTGTAATAATCAGGCAATTTTGAAAAATTCAAAACATGGCCGAAAAAACCCCACCGACCTAACCATACTAATTTTAAGTTACTCTCATCCTGAGTTTGAAATTGTAGGTTTTTTGTTTCTGCGTGTCTGGTGATTCAGGAAATCTCTAGATATCTTTTGGTTTGAATGATAACAAATTACGAAGTTATTCTCCATAATTTTTAATTTCTAGTGTATTTCAACCAAATTATATCTTGAATTACCAGATCAGGAAAAGGAAACGAATGTTATATTCGTGCACCATTATACAATTTGAACATAAATTAATGTTAATTTGAGTGGGTTTTTGTTTGCCATGTTTTCACCACTGCCTGATTCTTAGGCAGACTGGCACTTAAGACGATCTGTTTTCCTATATCCCAACTAAACTATTACTTTTCGTTGTGTATTTCTCCTGTTTGTCAGTCCCTGCTAGGTCCAGAACTAAGCAATTACATGTAAAATGCATGGATTGATAGCTCTGAGAAACAAAAATCTTCTGCAATAAAACTGACAATCCTACAAATGTAGTCAATAAAGATTTGAGTCAAATGCACCTATCAAGAGCGATGTTGAATCTCACAACCTCAGTGTTGACATGCTGGTGATAAAGTAATTAGACCACAAGGTCATCAAGGCCCCACAAGGATTTGACCAATAATACTAACAGTAAAGAAGGTCCATGGAAAATTTTAGGCCATTAAGCAATTGATAATCAATCATTTATAAAAATTGAGCATGAATAGTCAAAATTTTTGTCTTTTGTTTTAGAGATAAGTGACATTTTCACCATGGTTAATTTTCTTTTTGAAAAATGACCTTCATTTTACTAGGCTGGACATACATGGAAGAATTAATATGCATGTAATGTTTTGTTTTTTTTAATAATCAGAGAATGCCAACTTTAGAACAATTTAATGATTATAGAATGGTCAAAGATAGTTCTGAAACTCTTTTTCTGTCAGCAGTCAAATATAGGTATGACACTTTCATTCAACCAACAATACTCTACAATTAATACTTTTTTTCTTTCCAGGGTTCAGTGATTCAGTAGGTTTGGATATAGCTGGCGATGCTCAGGTCAGTAGCCCATTTAAAAACTTGTACAAATAGCACAAGCTTGTGTCACTTCAGAATTATGAATACCAGTTTTGAGTAATCAGCTCCTCCTACAGATTTCAAACCAGATTTTCAAAAATTCACAGAGATATTTGACGCATGTTGAATTTGTGCAGCTGCTAAAATAGAGTTATTTGAATATATTTTTCCTATTTTTACTGAACTTTGGAACTTAGGAATTTTCAGCAAAATTTAAGGATGCGATACCAGTTTTGTGAAATCAACTGCTACAGATTTCAAACCAGATGTTTGAAACTTTACAGAAAGATAGTACATATGTGAAAGTTGTGCTCCTGCTATTTTGGAATTGTTTCAGGAATTTTTTCTCATTCTTCCCGACTTTGAAACTTTCAGTCTTTGATCCATTTTTTTCCCTTTTGGGCTGATTATTCTTCTGTCAAATGTCTATAATATTCATTGAACAAATACAGGTATTGGTTATGGTCAACCTGCCTCCAACTACCTTAAACTTGTCAAACATTCATTAAGGATAATTTTATTCACAGTTTCATTAACTAATTGATATGCTACTGAAATCAGAATCATCATTTCAGGGCCTGAACATGTACCCTCCTGTAACAATAGTCAGGATTAATTTACTTATCCCTTCAGACAAGGGTATGTTGGGTTTTCTTGTCTGACCTAAATTTTTCTCTGGTACATGACAAGGATTTTTACCTTTTGCCTCTGTTAAGAAAACAAGAAATCTATATTATTTGTATTTTACTTTTTTTGTTTGTCTCTTAAATAAAATGAAATGTAATCTTTTGTATCAAATTATTATATATAGTGTGATATAATATGAGGGGCCTGATGGGTTATTTTTGTTCTTCGTGATCGGCGCATTTTCGCTATCGTGATCCGTTTTTCTACAGATTTTTTTTTTATATTTTCGTGATCCGTGATCATGGAAATTTATTTTCTGTAAATCGTGATTGACAAAAAAATCAACTCGTGAATCGTGATGAGACCCCCCCCCCCCCCCCCCCCCCCATCAGGCCCCTCTAATATGGACAAACAGGTAATTTGCATCCCCTAAACTATTTGTATTATGAATCTCTTTGACCTGTACTGATGCAAAATTATTTGTGTTGAAAATTGTTTTTGTTCCTAATTTTCAATTGATAACAATTTACTTTACAGATAAATTCAGTGTATCTTGCTGGTAATGCCAATGTAGAACAAGCTCCAAAATCATCAGGTAAGTGTTTCATTATATTTATATATATACTTATATAGTAAATGTTAAGTCTTTTGTTATGTACAACATATTATTAGATAGATATATAAAGGTAAACCTTGAGCAAGATTTTGAAATACCAATTTTATATATGAGGAGACTTAGATATAATGGATATTGAAAAGGTTCATATTTTATTTATGCAGATGTGTTATTAGTTAGCCTTGATTGACTATGCCTGATGTTAATAGATTAATGGTTGTCTATCTCTATTCATATGTACATCTTTGTTTGGTTAAGATTTTCAGTAACCCATACTGCATAGTAAGCTATAAAAAGCCCTGAAATGTCAAATGTATGATCATTATGATGTGAATATAGATATATATATGTCAAATTTGAGTTGTGACCTAGATTTCACAGCTCACTGAACATGAAAATGTTTCAGGTTAAAGATTTGCTGTTAGATGGTTTACCAAGTATGTTCCAAATGTCGTAACTACAAACCTGTCCCCTTTTCCCCGAATGTGACATACTGATTTAGAAATATTACCGGGTTTGTACTAACATGAGCAACGCGACGGGTGCTACATGTGGAGCAGGATCTGCTTACCCTCCCGGTGCATTTGAGATCACCCCCAGTTTTTGGTGGGGTTTGTGTTGCTCAGTCTTTAGTTTTCTATGTTGTGTTTTGTGTACTATTGTTTGTCTATTGTTTTTTTTCCTTTTTTAGCCATGGCGCTGTCAGTTTATTTTCGACTCATGAGGTTGAATGTCCCTTTGGTATCTTTTGCCTCTCTTATACCATGAAGTTGTTGTCACATCAACTTGAAACTTTGTAAATATATTCATTATGATGTGAATTCTTAGTAAACTATGCCAAATTAGAGTTTTGACCCAGAATTTGCAGTTCATATAACATGGAAAGGTTTCAAGGTTAAAGTTTGGCTGTTTACCATGAAGTTGTTGTCACAACAATTTGAAAATTAGTATACATGTTCATTAGAGGATGAACTTTTTATACGACCGCAAAAAAAATTTGTGGTCGTATATTGGTATGACGTTGGCGTCGTCGTCGTCTGGCGTCGTCGTCCGAAGACACATTGGTTTTCGCACTCTAACTTTAGTTTAAGTGAATGGATCTTTTTGAAATTTGACCATAAGGTTAAATATCACAAAAGGAAGGTTGGGATTGATTTTGGGGGTCATGGTACCAACAGTTAAGGAATTAGGGGCCAAAAAGGGGCCAAAAATAAGCATTTTCTAGTTTCCAGACAATAACTGTGCAACGGTGTATGGATCTCTCTGAAATTTGCTACAAGTTTCCATATCACAAAGGGATGGTTAGGATTTGCTTTGGGGGGTTATGGCTCAAACCGTTTAGGAATTAGGGGCAAAAAAGGGGGAAAAACAAGGTTGTCCTGGTTAATGGACAAATACTTTAGTACAAAACATAATTTAAAGCAGTGTAAGGGAGATAAATCAAATACATCATTGAAATTATCTCCCTTACACTGCTTTTAAATTATGTATAAAGTAATGGTTAATGAACAATAAAGATAATTTAAAACAGTGTAAGGGAGGTAATCCAAATACAATGTTTTGGTTACTTCCCTTACACTGCTTTTAAATTATGTTTAAAGAAATGCATATTTATAAAGGAAGATCAGTAAAAATATCTGCAAATGTTGCATCTTTTTTTTTTACAAAAAAATCCATATGAAAGATTTGACACTACATTTTTAATTCTATTATAAAATAGATTAAGTTAGCACTATGGTAAATTTAAATGGGTAATTATGGTTGCCAACTCCATTGGAAATTTGAATTGAGATTATGACCATATCTTGAGGGAAAGAATTTTTTGGGGGAAAAAAGGTGGGGGGGGGGGGGGGGGATAAAAAGAAATTGTGGGGGGTCAATTTTTTCTCATTTCAGATTTCAGAAATTGAAAAGAATTATTCTTCAAATATTTTTTTTTTTCAAATTTCAAATATTGAAAAATTTCAAGAAGTAATCTTTAACTGCACAGTATGGCGCATTAGATTTTTAAAATCTTTGATCACATTTATTTATTTGTTATGCCGAATCTATCAGTGTATTTAGATTTTTAATTTTGGGTCCAGTTTTCAAATTGGTCTACATTAAGGTCCAAAGGGTCCAAAATTAAACTTTGTTTGATTTTAGCAAAAATTGAATATATGAGGTTCTTTGATATGCTGAATCTAAACATGTATTTAGATTTTTGATTTTGGGCCCAGTTTTCAAGTTGGTCCAAATTGGGGTCCAAAATTAAACTTTGTTTGATTTCAACAAAAAATGAATATATGGGGTTCTTTGATATGCTGAATCTAACCATGTATTTAGATTTTTTATTTGTGGACCCCGTTATCAAATTGGTTCATATTGAGGTCAAAAGGGTCCAAAATTAAACTTTGTTTGATTTCATCTAAAATTGAATTATTGGGGTTCTTTGATATTCCAAATCTAACCGTGTATTTAGATTTTTAATTTTGGGTCCTGTTTTTTAATTTGGTCTACATTAAGGTCCAAAGGGTCCAAAATTAAACTTAGTTTGATTTTAACAAAAATTGAATTCGTTGGGTGCTTTGATATGCTGAATCTAAACATGTGTTTAGATTTTTGATTATGGGCCCAGTTTTCAAGTTGGTCCAAGATAGGGTCCAGTATTTAAACTTTGTTTGATTTCAACAAAAATTGAATATATGGGGTTCTTTGATATGCTGAATCTAACCATGTATTTAGATTTTTGATTATGGGCCCAGTTTTCAAGTTGGTCCAAATTGGGGTCCAAAATTAAACTTTGTTTGATTTCAACAAAAATTGAATATATGAGGTTCTTTGATATGATGAATCTAACCATGTATTTAGATTTTTTATTTGTGGGCCCCGCTATCAAATTGGTTCATATTGAGGTCAAAAGGGTCCAATATTAAACTTTGTTTGATTTCATCAAAAATTGAATTATTGGGGTTCTTTGATATTCCAAATCTAACCGTGTATTTAGATTTTTAATTTTAAGTCCCGTTTTTTAAATTGGTCTACATTAAGGTCCAAAGGGTCCAAAATTAAACTTAGTTTGATTTTAGCAAAAATCGAATTCTTGGGGTTCTTTGATATGCTGAATCTAAACATGTATTTAGATTTTTGATTATGGGCCCAGTTTTCAAGTTTGTCCAAGTTGGGGTCCAAAATTAAACTTTTTTTGATTTCAACAAAAATTGAATATATGGGGTTCTTTGATATGCTGAATCTAACCATGAATTTAGATTTTTTATTTGTGGGCCCCGCTATCAAATTGGTTCATATTGAGGTCAAAAGGGTCCAAAATTAAACTTTGTTTGATTTCATCAAAAATTGAATTATTGGGGTTCTTTGATATTCCAAATCTAACCGTGTATTTAGATTTTTAATTTTAAGTCCCGTTTTTTAAATTGGTCTACATTAAGGTCCAAAGGGTCCAAAATTAAACTTAGTTTGAATTTAGCAAAAATTGAATTCTTGGGGTTCTTTGATATGCTGAATCTAAACATGTGTTTAGATTTTTGATTATGGGCCCAGTTTTCAAGTTTGTCCAAGTTGGAGTCCAAAATTAAACTTTGTTTGATTTCAACAAAAATTGAATATATGGGGTTCTTTGATATGCTGAATCTAACCATGTATTTTGATTTTGGACATTGGACCATAATAGGTAAATTAAAAAAATTCAAGTTCTTAGACCACATTCTTTCTGTGTCAGAAACCTATGCTGTGTCAAATATTTAATAACAATCCAAATTCAGAGCTGTATCAAGCTTGAATGTTGTGTCCATACTTGCCCCAACTGTTCAGGGTTCGACCTCTGCGGTCGTATCAAGCTGCGCCCCAGCGGAGCATTTTATTAAAATATAGGCCAGATAAAGGTTCTGACGCAGATTTTGTGGTTCACTGAACATGGAAATGTGAAAGTGTGACCGGTACATGATGTTGTCATATGGACACAAATTCTTGTTCACCATGTACTTATAGCCCTTGATTTACATAGTACAGTCGAACCTCGTTGTGTCGAACTCGGTTGTGTCGAAAACTCGGATGAGTCGAAGTAATTTCTATGTCCCGGTAAAATTCCCGTTTGATCAATGCATAATAAACTCTGATGAGTCGAACTCGGTTGATTCGAATACTCGGTTAAGTCGAGTAAATTCTATAGTCCCGTCGATATAAAATAAATGTAAACTGACCCCGATGTCTCGAAGTTCGAAAGTAAGAATTTTCGAAAAATGCAGACCTAATGATAAGAATTCAAATCGGATGTATTTCTTATGTAACCTAATCATTTTTCAAAAGAATTAAAACTGAGTAAACATACTTGTTTGTATAACAGTTAACATGACATGTTTATGGTGGCCGGTAATTAACACCTTTGTTGATCGTTCAAGCGAAACGTTAGTGTGTTGAACATATTTCACATGAGATAAAAACGAAACGAATTTAAATGACCCAAATCGAGATTAAATGAATCGTTAGAATTAAAACTCATTAATTACAATAAAAAAAAGGATTAAGACAATTATGATAATTTAATGTAAAGCAGATGACCTCATCAGAGACCGTTTAGACCTTATTTCGTTCCGCGAGTGATTTCATAATTTATAGTGACTGACCTTTGTAAATATTTGTGTATACTGTTGATTTTATTTGTGCATGATTTGTATCTGTACTTGTGTGTTTAATTATTATGAAGGACCAAAAATGGAGATTGAATACACAATCATAAAGTGTCATATCGAAAAAAGGCACACTGTTCAAAGTATCTAATTTACGCAAATCTCATACCGTATTTCATGCATTCCAAATTATGACGACACACTCGACCTCGGATGAGTCGAACCTCGGATGAGTCGAATACTTTAGTCCGGTCCCTTCGACTTCGACACAACGAGGTTCGACTGTACATTACTTGTTCGGTTTCACCTGAAGAACTTCGTCATGTTTTGCAGTTTATATCTTTGGTTTATTTAGTAGACAAACATTTATTTTTTATCTTAAAGTGATGACCATAGATTTGCTTATTGTGATATCTGTGGATGCATTTAAAATATATAAGTCACATATATTAAAATTTTTCTAGGAAATAGTTTCTTAAGATCATTGTTGAATCATGTTACCAAAAGAGGTTTAAAATTTGGTATGTAACTTAATCTTAAATTCTGATGCCTATGTGACACTAGTTAAAGGCTTATTTTGTCATGCAATTTCTACAAGTTTAACATTTCAGTAAACTGAAAAATCTTTTCTTCACTAAGTACATTGATTGCAAGTTCATATTGTAACAAATGTATATATATATACCGACTTTGAATAAAATATATACTTTACCTTGCATTAAACTGAAATTATGCGGAAAATATTCTAACAATATATTTTAGTTGCATTTTGTTTTCAAATGAAATGGTATTAAATCTGCTCTATGATTAGGCTATGCGAAAAAAATTTAAATGCAAGATATATGTTCATGTTATTTCTATTTATTCTTTTATTATTTATATCTGCATATACAGGAAGCATGTAAAAAATTATCTCGCATTCTTTCCTTATGGTTTTTACACTGTCTGTCCAAAACTATAAATAATAACTTTATGAAATGCCTTTATAAGGCACAAAAATAGGGATAGGTAATTGAACAAGTGGTAGGAAATTATAAAAAGGTGCAGTCTCCTAATAGGGTGTTATTGTACTCGTTTTGTGTAGACTCACCATTGAAGAGCATACATTCATGGAATGTGAACTTTAGTTGTAATCTAATATTTTACTCAATATTTAGAAATGGCCTCATTTACTTTTTCCCCAAATCCATTCTTTTTATGCAGGATGGGTCTCTTCTAGAATTACTGGAACCATGAACTAATATAGAAATCTTTGACATAAAGATGTGATTTTTTTCTACAATTATATTATTACATATGTACAGTACTAGACTTGCATGAACCATCTTATAAATTCAGTTTTATAGAAAAATTAAAGAAGTAATTTGTTGTTAATTTCTCCTTTAAGATTTGGCTGTGTCTTGAAGTTAAGAATTCTATCCCTTATATTAGAGTTGGCTGTGTATTGAAGTTAAGAATTCTATCCCTAATATCAGATTTGGCTTTGTCTTGAAGTTAAGAATTCTATCCCTGATATCAGAGTTGGCTGTGTCTTGAAGTTAAGAATTCTATCCCTAATATCAGATGTGACTTTGTCTTGAAGTTAAGAATTCTTTCCCTGATATCAGAGTTGGCTGTGTCTTGAAGTTAAGAATTCTGTCCCTTATATCAGATGTGGCTTTGTCTTGAAGTTAAGAATTCTATCCCTTATATCTTGGAAGTTAAGAATTCTATTTCTAATATCGGTTTGGCTTTGTCTTGAAGTTTAATCGAAATTAGTGTACTGTATCATTTTATACAATTTGGAGTTGTTAAGTCTAGATATATATTCAGAATTGTATATTCATACAAAGAGAGGTAACTCTGTTATGTTTCAAAGATGTCATGATAGATTTAACATAGTTCCCAACAGTTTTGTTTGTAGTTTTTTTCTTGTGTTTAACTGGTAAAGTTTTGTATGAAGGTCTTTACTTCAGTAAATACAAGTTTAAACAGAATGGACATATCTTGGATAGAAATGAAGGTCCATGAATTTTGAGCACCTTCATCTACAAGTCATAGAGGATTGGTACATTTGTGTATTTAGTCAAATGTTTAAATGGGTTGTTTTACATACATTGCTATATTAAGTGACTCAGGCTTTTTCTGTTATGAAATAATATTTTAATATTAAAAAAGTCATATATATGGATGTAAACCTGTTTGACATTTTGGTCAAAATTTTCCAGAATCCAACAAAAACCAATTTTGTGCTAGTTGTAATGTCAGACAGTGTTTTCTGTATTTAAAATCAATGGCATGTTGAAGATCTGACATAAAAAAAGTTGTGGGATCATCAAAAGTAAGCACCTAACAAAACCAAGGTTCTTTCAAAAATTAAAAATACTAAGGACAGCAAGTATTTGATGCATGTGTTATTGTGCATGGAAATAATTATGTCTTGCTTAAACCTTAAGTTTGATGCATGTATTTTTATGTTCTATTGTTTTAGTTATTATGCACAGTTATATGCAGTGTAAGACTGTAAGTTTATACATGTAGTGTATTTTTGGTAACATTGATTTTTATAACATACATTTTTGTAGTGTCTGCTTTTTCACAATTTGCAGTGAATAGAACACTTATATATATTGGTTTGTGAATTTTGCAATCTGGGGTAAAAAGTCAATGTATTGTGTGTCATCAAATCATTGTAGAAAAAAATTGCCCATAACTGGTGGTCAACTGAATGTTGAAAGAAGTTTTAATCTTTTGTCAGATATTTGTTAAAAAAGGACAAACTCATGTATCTATTGTTAAAATATACCCCACAACAATAGAATGAGGTATAAAAAATTAGTCAACTTATATGTGTGGTCACCTTGGTGTTGTTTTATTTGTTAAAATTAGGGAATTGCATTATAAAAAAATGTCAAGTCTTAAGGAGTTTTTAAAAGTTATTTTTCATATGCTATCCTTATTATATATTCAACACTGTTCAGATATTGGGATTTTAGTCAATTATGTACTGTCCTGGGCATTCCCTTTTCAGAATATTCAGTATTTATACTGATGCACAAGGAAAGGAAAAATATGAAAAAAGACTTAACAGGTCTTAATATGATTTTAGTATGTGATTATTTTTTGTATTGGCCTTGTTATTGGTTCAAGGCTTGCTGTATTGGCCTGAGGCGAGGTAATAATTGACTGTAAGCAATGTATCTAAACAGGACTTAAGTTACATGAATTAAATTGACTGAATAAGTGGACATAACATATTTAATTGATATTCAGTATTTTCAGATTATTTCAAATTTAAAATGGCCTATTAGATTTAATGGTTTATTGGGGGGAAATCCCCTTTCAAGCCATTTACTTATATAGAAAATTTACAAATGTATTCAGTAATGATCCTCTTTAAAAATTTTGGTTGACGACCCCATTTAATCCTGGTGAGCAATGAGGACTCGTTAGAGCCTCTTGTTTAAATAAAAATTAAAATGTATTAATATATATACTGATGAATTTGTGTAAGGTTCTGTTTGATAAGTTACAGGTTTTATAAAGTAACCAATGGTATAAATCTATATCCAGTTTTCCTTAGTATTTTCTTTTATATTTGAGGTCATGTTAGGGCAAAAATAATTCTTTGTGTATAGCTGTTAGACTATGCTATTTAACTATAATTTTAACAGTTTAGGTTTCATGTTGATTTTCAAAGTGGATTTAGGATTAATTGGAGATTAAATGACTCATCTAACTTTTTCTGTTATTTACTCCAAGGAAGTAGAAAATATACTGACAATCTAAATAAATCTAGCTCTTATATCAAATAATTACAAAAATATGTGCCTTGTATTTTTACGAAGATCTAATAAAAATTCCTGCCTTTAAGGGACAGCTTCTTTTTAAAATAAAATTTAACTCTAAAAAGTAAAAATGAAGTGAATATTATTAATAGCATAAAGCATACCACATGATCTGAAAAGTTTTGGACAAAGCACGTTAGCTGTCATACCGCCTCTGGGTTTAAAATATGTATTGGAAAGTTCTGATGTCTGAAAACATTGAACTGCCATTCAATAGCTAATATGTGAAATTTTGTCATACTTATTATATTGTTTAGAACTTTTTTGTTATGGCATTCAGTTTACACATTCAAAGTTAATGGAGCAAGTTAATAGGATAACATTCATGTAAAAATGAATTAAATAATTATATACAATAGTCACAGCAAAGTTAATAACATTTAATAATAATCAGATAATATTTTGAAAGATTAAATATTATACATTGATAAAACTTTTACGTAGAGTTAGTTGTGACTTTTACATATGTGTCTTGATTTCGTCAAAATTTCTAGCGCAGTTGAAGCAAAATGCCTACTGTTGTTAGTTTCAATCAATCAGTCATCCTCATTCATAATTAAAAAAAAAAATCTCCTTTAATATTGCTTAATCTGAACCGCCTATAATCAGTTGATGAGAATTATCCTTTATGTGACTTGTTTCAGCAGTATAACTGTTTAGAAGTCAAATCTCGTAATGGATTCAACTCCCTTTTGGGAGGCAAACTAGAACCAGGCAATGATTGACAGACTCATTCTCATGGCATAAATAAAAGGACATGTGGGGCATACATCAATGAGACAACAACCCAATGACAAAATTAACCTTGTGGCTACTTCTAAACTCATTCAATAGTTTCTATACCCCAACCAGCAATGTGAGAAACCATACCTTTTTGAAATCTGGAGGAACTTTTATGATATTATATCCCATGTCAAGGAATTTTCATAACTCATATTGTCAACATCTAATGAAAAAAATTGTATCCATCAGAATTTTTAAATAATTTACTATTGGCTATATGTTCCCCTTTAATTATGATATTTATAAATGTTTATTTTTCTATATATTATGTGGATATCAATAATAGAGATTTAATAGATAAAATGATCCTGGGACTAAAGAAAAAATAATTTAGATGCCTTGTATTCCCTTTAATTTACTTGAAAAGTTTTAACTGGAAATGAATAATTTGTGTCTTGAAAAAAAATATGAAGAAAGTGAAAAAAATATCAGAAACTGTATGACATATTTTTACCAGGTGAGCATTCAGGCTTATATATAGGACTTATAGTTTTTGAAAACAAATGTTTTTATGAAGAAAAAGTAAAATAATATAATATGATCATTCCAAAGAAACTAAAGAGAGAAAAGAAAATGCATGTAGCTTTTCAATTTCATTACACAGAAAAATCACAGTTTTTACTCATGCAGTTTTAATTTGATTTAACATTCATTTTTATATTTTATTTTTCTTAGATCAAAGATTATAAATCAGGATATTATTTTTATGAAGAAGTGACTATTGTATATGTTTTTATTTGATCTTAAAAGAATAAAGGCTTATTATAACTTTTATTACCTGACATTATTCAATGAAATATAATCATTTGAAAATGTTTAATTATTCTCAATAAATTAAATGATTTATAAGACTGGTTTATATTACTGACAGGTATATGATTTGATTAAATGCCTTTAGTTAATCAGAGTATCAGTTATGGTGTGTGATATTGAATATTGAAGATTTTGAATAAATAAATCGAAGATTACAAGATTGTTTTGAAACTTTCATTGTTGTATTAAACGGTATTTAAATACTATCTCACTGAAATGTCCACACATGTTTGTTAGGTTAAGTGCACATTGATGTAGACGACTGCCGTTATATGTTCTAATGCCTATACTTTACTCTCATGGGTCATTGCTCTCAATATACAAGTATTGATCGGGAACAATATAGCTATAGATCTAGATCGAACCAATGTTTTATTCTATGGAATTAAGTATTTTACCTGTGACAACATGAACGACATGGAACATTTTACTCTTATCATATCTTAATGAATTCTTAAAACCAAATACACAGGAATATGTGATTGTTTATTGATCAACTTGTGATTTCTGCTTCACAGGAAAAGACGAAAGGAAAGATGAGGATTTAACACAGGATGGGTAAGGTTAAAAGCATGATTACACATGGCAGTCATGGATATTTAAAAATTAATTATCACTTAAGTTTTATATATTGGAATTTTATTGACATTATAAAGGGGAGATAATTTACCTGGTAATTTAAGTCTGTTGTGGTTAAATAATGTTGGAAGCAACAAGTTATTTTGTCCATATGTCAGATATGTTGATTCTATAGGAAATAGGAGAGTTGTTTAGTTTTACTTGAAGCTGTACCATTCATTCATTAATAAAGCAAAAAGGTTTGTTTGCATTACGTAATCAATTAAAGAGGGCACTTAACTTGAATATATTGCATAAGTGTGAAGATTAATGAATGATTTTCTGTGATCAAACAACACAAATGGTTGAAATTTTAAAATACCATGGAAACAGACAAATTTTGCTGCTTTTTTGTTTACATTTTGGCCCTTTATTCAAATTATTTTTTTAATCCTATTCATATCCTAGAATCCACTTCGCCATTTGTCCTGTGTGGATTTCTGTAGGTAGGGTTGGCTAGTCCTATCCTTCCCTGTTTTAGGAAAGATTCACCTGACTAGTTCAAATAAATGTTTTGATTGCCATAAAAATCTGTCTTGTTTATTGTATAAAACTATTTGGCCGAATAAGTACCCTTGATTTTGTAAGTTTATCTCCAACATTCTATTCAAAAGTCAATGAAGCAACCTCTAAACTCATCTTCAATTTCTATCAATCGTCATTATAGCCTATTATGTGATATTTGAGTCTCTATAAATGGAATGGATGGAAAATTCTGTTTTAATATATTTCATGAAGCTGTAGTGCTGGCACCTTTTATAGATTTTTCCTAACCTGGCTTGCCGATAAAGTTCGGACAGTATTCATAAGACAAACTTTCTTAAAACTACAATATTGTGTGAGAAAAGGAATAGTCAGACCTTTGGTTTTTTTTGCTATGATTCTTTAACAGGCTTGGTTCATAAGGGTTTGGCTTATCTCCTGAAATTAGTCTTATTGAGAAAATTTCTAAAAAAAAATGGAGCCCAAAAAAGTAATGTTGAAGAGTCAGTAAAGCTATAAATAGGGCTCTCCTTTCGTATACTAATGAATGAATGTGAGAATCAAATGTTTTCTACAAGTATTTTCCATTATAAAGTGACATAAGTTAGTTTACTACTGTAGTATATCTTAAATCATTAAATCATATCTTTAATCATATCTACCTGTAGAAACATTGCCACTTTGTCAGGATTAGTTAGTTGACAAGCACCCACTCCAAACACAATCAACACTAACAAGTTGGAATGTCAAAATAATATCTACTTATTATCTATAATCATATTTAATAGAACATCAAACAATCACTATAAATGGCCATTAAATCAAATTTAAAAATTCTTCAGTAAAAGAACTAAATGTGTAAGATTTTCAAATAAATTAAACATAAATGGTTGATTGATTGTTGTTTGCTAAGCATCCAGTGGCAATTATCTCATGCATAAGCCAGTCTATTCATGCAGTTTAATACTTTAATCAAAATCTGTTAGAATCTGACATTAAAGATGATTAATCCATACCAATTACATTCATATACATTCTACCACTGCATCCAGTGTGAGTGTAATATGATATTTCTCCACTCGAGACAGTAAAATTTTCATATTTAAAACGGGAGCATTTGGCATCATAATTGAATTTTGACCAATGAAAAACTGAGATCAAACGAACCACACTGTAATTACAAAAAATTAATAAACCTGTCCGGAAAACTATAAATCAGGTAAGAATTAGAGAAATTTATATGAATGATAATGTTCATCCTGTGTAGCACTTCAGAATAGTGTATATTAGATTATGACTTCCGTCATTCTAGCATTACCCTTACATTAGAGAAAAAAGTAATTATCTATATTGAGATTATTTTCATGTTAATATTTTTATCATTCATTGTGTTAACTTGATTAAAAAAAAAAAATGGATATTGCACACCATTATATACATAATAATTTGTTATGAAAATTCACAAAATGAACCATTAAATTTTATTGAGAAATTATCATGGCAAAAGAAAGCCTCAGTTTTTTAGCTCATCAATTTTCAAGAAGAAATTTTGACCTGTCATACTAAATACATTTATTTGCTAGCAAATGGTTAGATCCGGTCCACCGTCCAACTCTTGGCTAGGAGAAAGTGTACTAAATCTGTCTTTTGAAAATTCCAAATTTTTGTAATTTTTGGTTTCCTAATTCATCACACCTATTGCAATGTCATCAGTTCATTCTGGTCATAGATTTTCAAGTTTTGTAAATGAACACCCCATAATAGAAAATAATATATTATAGCACATCTTGAATTTCACTTTCACTGTAAAAGGATCCTGCCACATGTCAGACTGTCATGGCATATTAAAACTAATTTTAATCATCTTTCTAAGAAGCACAATATGGAGGTAGAAACCCTTGTGTGTTTATCTATTTATGGTTGAAATATTATGGAAAATAACACTTTTCATAATCCCATTCAATAAGTAAACTGATAATATATAAGGTTTCATAATAAATAATAGACACAGTAGACTTGCCTCAGGGCTGACTTGTGACAAAAATTATTTTTGTATGGTAAGTGATTTTAATGTGATTTGATAAGGAGATATTGATATGACTTTTAATTATCTGGTCATCAGTAAAATTTAAATTTGATTACGTTTTTTTTTTACCCAAGAAACAAGCTAGTGACTTCCATATTTTGCATATTGTGGATCCTCTATTATTTGTGAGATACCAATTATTGTGGATTTCTTGGGATCAGGTGCGGTGAACAATGAATTTAAACATCAAGGAAATTCGCGAATTTTCTATATGCTTGTATGCAGACTTTTGCAAACCACTAAATCAAATATCCACGAAAATGTAAGTTTTCCTGAATGCACGAAAATTGGTACTCACAAAAATAAACGAATCCACAGTATTTAAATGCATATATTTGTCCACTAATTTGATATATAAAACAAATATCCTTCTTTAAGCAAATCATTAAGTAAAGGCAATTAATATGAAAATTTTTCTTATGTAAACAATGTAAATAATATCCATTAAAGGTATATTTATAATAGTATAAAATACCCAAAATATTAGATGGGTCAAAATATGGAGCTTTTAATTATAAAGAAAGAATCAGTCTATGTGGTACTTGAAGTCTATCAACAGAAATCAAAACGATTACTTTAGTTCAAGTTTTAAATAAATTGACTTAGAAATAAGAATTATTGTGGATTCATTATCCTTTGTGGGATAACAATGTTCTTGGACTTCCTGGGTTAAGATGAAACTCGAATTCAACTGTTCAACGAAGTATAAATTTCTATAGGTCTGTATGCAGACTTTGGTCAAACCACAAATTAGATATCCACAAAAATACAACTTTAGCCAAGAAATTAAATGAATCTACAGTTCTCTGTTCTCAAATGGTTATGGAATAATTAAACATATAACAAACAACATGTTGAATGTAAACTTTTTTTTTTTTTTTCAGTAATGAACAAACCTTAATGACAACCCCTACCAATAAAACCACATCCCGTGTTCCCAAGCACCCTGCTACACGGGTCTTGGAGGGCGAGGTGGAGAAGTTGGAGAGGGTAGGTAGCTTTCATTATTGATGCATGCTGATATAATGGACAGGAAATAGTCTGTGAGAAAATCCATCAATATGTACTTGTTAACACCAGTAATAATTATCAATATTACATCATGTCTCTGTAGCTTTAGTGTGTTATTTTGTGTAATAGATGAGGTATCTAATTACTTTGATGTGATACAAGTAATGGAGAATGTCTTAAGTTTTCCATTTTTCCTTTCTGCAAAATTCATTACATTTAAAAAAAAAAAAATTTGAGAATAAATTCCAGTTTTCTGTTTGTTTGTTAATTTTAGAAATGAATTCTGGTAATGTGATTAAAAATAAAAAGTTTTTGCCCTGAAATTAAAAATAATGAGAACCATGTGCCTTTAAATGAAAATAATTAAAAACAAATATTTGTATTTTTTTCAATTTCTGAATTCTTTCCTTTTTAATAGTACACTAATATTAAATATAAGTGCAAAGTTATTGGGGCTGTTAACCACCAATAAAACAAAAAAAACATAATGGCTCTAAATAGTGTTTAAAAGAAAAAGTTTGTGCTAATTTTCAGACTAAAATAAAAAAGATATTTGATGGATTTTATTGCCCTGTCCATTGTGTTTATCAGCTTTATAGTTGTATTATAATGCTTGTAGGTAGGCTAAAGGGCTTTTTGCCTGCTTTTTAGAAGGCATTTTTTGTTAAAATTAACAGCAGATTTTGGTTTTTCTTGAGTTTACATGTTGTAGGCACATTTTTGATTTGTCTATTTGTGTTTGTTTTTAAATGGTTTTATTTTTGTTGTGCATACTAATTGATTTGGAGATGAATATTAAAGTATTTATGTAAGGTGATTGTTTTTTTTGTAATTTGATTTTTTCAGGCATTATTGTTGTTTTTTGAACATTTGATACTTGAATATCTTTTTACTTAGAGAATATGTTTTTATACGCCGGTTAAGGGACGTAGTATGGTATACCCTTGTCCGTCTGTCTGTCTGTCCATCGTCAACATGTCAGACAATAATTCAAAAATGCTTCAAACAATTTTCTTGAAACTTTGGTGGATTGTTTATATCTATTAATGTAAGCTCCCTTTCGATTTTTATAAATTTAGATTTTACGTTTCCAAGTTATTGGATTTGATTTATAAAAAAAAGGGGGGATTTTCTAGTTTTTGGACAATAACTCAAAAATGCTTTAAGCAGTTTTCGTGAGATTTTGGTGACTGGTTTATATCTAATTAAATAATCTCCTGTTAGTTTTTTATAAATTTGTTATACGACATTGAGGAGTTATGGAAATTTATTTGTTGAAAAAGGGACGGGCTTATCATGCGCTCATGGCGCAGCTCTTTATTTTGTTCTGAGAATCATTTTAGAACTATCTTTTGATTAGAAAATGAAAGAAATGATCTCAAAATTATTATTACCTGGAATCAAAATTGAAACAGCGATTCTGTTTTTTCTGATGTTTTATTTGATGTCTCATTAGCTATCTTGAGCAGAGGAATATCCTCAGAGGTCAAGTTCAGATCAGATGATTAATCAAAAACCTTTTCCTTACCATGGAAACAAAGGGTTGTATACTTTATCATTGTAAAAAAGAAAATACTGATTTTCTAGGTCAGAGGTTATTTTAAGCTGAGTGATTTTTTGACTCACTATCAAAATAAGCAAATTGGAGGAGACTAGACAGCCTAGAGGAGAAGAACCCTATTGATTTTCATGTTAAAAAGATCTAAGGTCAAGGTCAATCCTTGAAATAAAAATCTTTTCACAGTTAGCAGTGCCTGTTTTTCACTTAATTTATAACTTTGGTCTAAGTGATTTTTTTGAGGCAATAAGTTTTACCCTTGCCTGTCCGTACGTACGTACGTTCGTCCAACCGTACCTCCCAAAATTAGTTTTCGTTCTCTAACTTAGGTTTGCCTCAACCAAATGTTATGAACCTTATGCACAATGCTTATAACTACAAAACACAGATCAAGTTTGAATTTTGGTTTTGTCACTTTAACCGTTCTTGAGTTTTGTTCCTTTATATTGTTATATTCAAGCGGGGGCATCACCTGTGTCCCATGGACACATTCTCCAATTTTTAATTTTCCCATACCAAAACATGGACTTAGCCATGTTTGCTTATCATGCTTATTGGGAGTGGGCAGGCTTTGCTCGTTTTTTTTTTATCTTAGAAATCTTAAGTTGGAGAAGGACTTACTGAGTATGTATGTTGGAAGACATTGGTATTTGGTTAATATACATGTTAGATTAAAAGATAATTATAAAATGTATTATATTTATGTGTAAACAATAATCTCTTTTAATAGACAGTCAGTGTGACAACCAAAACTATGTTCTGTAAACAATGTTTTGTCACAGGTCTGAGACAAAAAAGACACATTTGTGTATTAACTGCAACAAAGCATGAGCTTATTTTATTAATGAATGAAAATTTAATAAAATTAGAAATAAAAAATACCAAATGAATCAAGTCCCAAATTATGTGTTACTTTATAATATCAAAATAAAATTATCGTGGAAGTATTTTCAAAATTCAAAATATTCTTAGATAAGGCCTGTATTTTATAACAAGAGAAGCATTCTTTTCATAGGTTCTCGCTTTACTTTTTTATATTTAACATGAGATAATTGTTGTCACACTGATGTCTATGAATAACACCACACAGTACTTTATTTATTGCTTTACACTAGACTTATGGTGAAGAAGGTGAAGATCTGCAGTATTTCGATGCTTATGAATTTCCTCCTTCTATCAGCGACTCCTCCAGGGTGAAAAAGGTACCTTCCCATAATCCTGTAGTATGGAGCTCACCGTAATCTTAGCATGGTTATGGGAAAATCCTTATTATATGTAAAATTTCTTATTTATCTCGCTTGATGCCACTGACCATTGCATGTTACAAAAGGAAATATGATTTCTTTTTCTTATGTTACAAATTAACAATTAAAATGTTGCTAAAATATTTTTCAGCATTTATGATTTTATGATTTTTAGGTGGTCAATGGTATAGTGTGGTCATTGTCATTATTGTCAATCTGTTAACACGATAGTTTAATAGAGATAGTTTTATTCTTGCTTACAGATTATACAAATTTTTTAAATCAATGTTTTGTTTACAAATAGGGATTGTGCCCTAACTACAAAATTGACCAAAAATAAAATTTTTAGTTATTATCATCATTTGGCATCTGTCATTGCCTTTTTCATTCCAAAATCCTCTCAGAGACAACTGGACAAGGCAATCTATACATAAAAGTGATGTGTGATGGAAAGTTAAGTTCATGAGTTAATGCTATTTTTACCCATTATTTGAAATTTCTGTATTTAAGGTATATTTCACCTCTTAAAGTGCTGAACCAAGCACAACATTAATGATCCTTCTTGTGTATGGATATTTATTAATGAATTTTATCTCAGTGAATGTATTATCCAGCATGGCTGGGTTGACTGAAATTGTAATGAAAAAAAATATCAGTAAAGGATATTTATTCCAAGTTGAGCAATTCAGGCTTCTAGGAACTTCTAGTTTTAGATTAAATCCTATTTGGATGCATTTTCCCTATTAAAATTATTGTATTTTGGTTTGTCCAATTTTTTTGTATTAACTTTAATTTTTTTATACATTTTTCTTAATTTTCTTAATGGTCATCGATTGGTGTGTGTTTTATTTCGTTTACTTATTTTATTTCTTACAGTGAGCAGCTTATGTCTATGCAAACCATTTATTAAGCAAAAAATGGGAAGTTAGTGTATGGCTTCTTTGAAAGTTAATGTAAATACTGATAATATAAAATAGAAAAGGTGATGCATTAGCACATGTTGCATTATTTAAGAGGTTTATATAATATGATCAATTCCAAATGATGAATTATAACTTCACCCTACAAAACATTATATTTTGTTTGTTAAATAGACTATATTTGTACATTGTAGGAAAATAAAAAATGTATTTGTACAAGCTTTTCTCTTGTTTCATAGAGAGTACTAATGCATTTTATATTTTCGTACAATGTACGAATATTGTTTTTATCATGCAATTTAACATTTATGCTTAAAGTTGTATTTTTTTTTTTTTACTTCACAAATGTTGGATTTGTTTTTTTTTAATGAAATCAGCATGACTTAAACGCGGAGAGTGATGAGGACCCCAAATTGAACTGTGATGTAAACAGTAATTTGAATATAACCGGTTGCTCACAACAGAAGCTGGGTACCAGGAGACTATATGTATACTCTTCATGTTATCTTGTCAACCTGTATTTGTTTAGTAGAAAGGTCGATTGCAGGATAAAATTTTGTTAATGTTTAATTAGACATAACCATAAATGTTCATGCAGTTTCAGGGCTCTCGCTCAGTACTACAAGTACAAAATTTGTGCTCGAAACATCAAATCCAGCATTTTGATTGGTTAATATATGAGTCTGAGTACGATATTCGTGCTCAAAATTTTTTTGATCACAAGACCTGATCAGCTCCTTTGAATAAATTTAGATAACTTTTAGCACAATCCTTCCCATGGGTGGACTGGAGTTTTAGGATTACAATCTTTATAGCATTTTTTGTAACAATAATTTTGATTGGATAGCATTGACAAATATCATGGCATTATTCAAAAATTGATGTCATCATAGTATTGTTCATCTTGCATAATTTGTTTAGACTTACATTTGAATGGGCATAACAGTATGGTATTAGGATATTTGCTTGCATCAGTCTATGCCAGATTTAATGACTACTGCAAAAATGTTTGCTATCTCTGCTTAAGCCTCTTCAGTAAATTTGATTTTTAACCAATAAATCTTCAATTGATGTTATCAAAATACAGTTGTTTCATTTTATGTGTATGCAATATGGACCAAGAGCTGCTTATCCTTTTATAGTACTACTATATTATGAAAGTTCGTTGTTTGTGAAACAGGTGATTGTAATTAATTTTACTCATTGAATTAAGAATGAAACATAAGTGGAACTTTGCTGTCAACCTTACACATTAAATATGTTTAAAATTTATATAGTAACTTCAAAATGTAGAAACCATTCTTACAGGTTGCAGCATTTAAAACTGTTTTAATTTGTTCATTATTATTATTTTGAAATGAATGAAAAGTGATCATTTGAAGATAACATTTATTTATGACACATCTATTTTTATGTAATTTTCCTGATATTCAATTTACAGGTTTGTAAATGAATTGTGCAGTTGTATTAAATGAACATTGCCTCATTGTATTTTGCAGTGCTAATTTTTGCATGTTAATTATCTTGATTGGAGTTATCTCCCCTAGTATAGTCTACCTGCACTCTATATACCTTTCACTGCTTGATGCATCTATTTATTGATTTTGTATATTCTTTAAATATGCAATATGATTCATTTACTCAGTCTTAATATAATGGTTCATATATTATACATGTGTGTTATATTGATTTTCATAATTCTTTTATAACTGGTCTCAAAGGACTTCTTTTGTAACATATAATTTCATATCATATCATGGTCATGCCAAAAAGATATACTGAAACAAATGTTTTTTGAAATTATGAATGTGATTTGAAACATCGATTAAACAATTTGAAAGGAAATTTTCTTTAATTTTACAAGTCATTAATTTTGATTAATATAATTTTAAAAATATGAAGATGGGGCATGATTGCCAATGAGACAACTCTCCATCAGAGACCAAATGACTTAGAAGTTACTTGTTTGTGATATCTAATCTGTTTTAATTAACAGACCCAATTAATAGAACACACCTTAAATCAAAGAAATTAGAAATGTTTTGAGTTTGTTTAACATTTTGTTTAAAGTCAAATAGAAAATGATTTAAATTGAACAAATAGAATTTCCCTTTAATTGCATATGTGTCCAATAAATGACTGACCAGAATAAAAAAAATTTCACAGAAAATTTTAAAAATATACCAGATACATAAAAATGCAAAAAAAATGTTTATAAATGTACAAAAACTTAAGAAAACAATATTATTTACAAATTTGTGTCTGACCTGAATACAAGTCCCTAGGTCTGATATATGTAATCTTTACATCTACAATTTAAAAATCAATTGTATTGATTGTGCATGGTGACAGGTGTAGGCTTAAATACAGTCATAGTATACTTTTTGTCAGTTTTTTTTTCTGACGAAAGGAAGGATCAAAATAATTTTCACATAAGGTAACTAATTATAACTTATCAGAATTGATGGATATAGATAGGACAGTGAATCTACTATGGGAAAAATGTTTTCATATTTGTCAGTAACAAAACTTTCGTCAAACGTCAGTGAAGTAAGTTGTGTAAAATTTCTTAATGATTTTGATTTAAACCTGTTACCATAATTGTCTTAGATTTTGAGCTTAAGATAGATAAATTCAATGATTATCTGATAAAATTGTTAAAGATTTGTTCCCAATATTTAATAGAGATTAAAAGATCAGTTTCCTATTTATCAGGTTAAAAGAGTTTAAAGAAAATACATATTCCAAACTAAAATCTTCATGTCATGCATTTTCATCATTTCTCTTTGATCTAGCATCAGAAACATAATTTTCATAACTCCCTATTGTACCTTTATTATGGAATGTTTATCAATCAATTTCTGAGCCTGTTACTAAAAAAAAACTTGAGGTCCATAGAAGCAACAACTCATATCGTCTACCAAAATAGACCTCCATAACAGCTGTACTTTCTGAGCTATCATTTTTTTCTGTTAAAACCAATAGTAATGACTTTTTATAGATAACTATTTATATAAATTGTATAAATGTAGAACCTATTTAAACTTTGACCTTTATATGTATGTTATATGAATGTTTAATGAAGTATTATTGTTATTTTACAGAATGGCTTGAGAGACAGAATGGACAATAAGGAGACAGTAGTACAACTTGTACAGGTATACATGTAACTTATTATTATAATCTATTCAAGCTTTGTCAGATTATAAAAATTTATAATTATTTTATGAACAAATAGAACTTGTTTTTGGTGCTTTCAATACTTCCAGAAGTAAGGTCCTGAAATAAATTACATCCTACCATGAATTTCAAAAGTAATTTTGTTCATTCCAGAAATTTTCCCAGCCAGAGGTTCTGTATTAAATCATATCTTCCTTTGTACATCTGCAGATATCATGACCTAATCAAAGGTCCCTTTTTATGAACAAATAATCCCTCATCATCTACAAATGACTCAGCCAGAGTCCTATTTATGATCTAATGTTCCTTCACATATCTATAACTGACCAAGCGAGAGGTCTAGTTTAACAGTTGATATGGATAGAAGATAATTGGAGTACATTTCTGTTTTAAACAAATGTAGGCATTTACAAAACAAAATAAAAAGAATAATTTTTTCTGACATTGCTCATTGATAAAGTCATACTTTTAAGTTGGATGGCATGTAAAACAACGTGGCTTTAATTTATTTTCACTGCTGGTTATTGTAATTGTCTTATTTTGTTTTATATTTCATTTCTTTTATATTATCTATGGAGATAATGACAAAAAGCAAAAAAATAAAAAAAAAAAAAAAAAAGAAACGATAAAGATAGAATGAATAGATGAAAACTGAAGCTTATTTCATCAAAACCAATTAAAAGTTCATTTGATACACATTTCAATATTGCTTCATTATTGAATTTTTATATTGCATGAAGAAGTAATTTAGTTAAACAATATTTTAATTGAAAAATAAGCATGATCTTATTCAAACTATTTTGTTAATTATGTTTTTCATGTTTATGAAATTAATTTTATTTAGTTACGAAAAATTTATTATTTATCTGAAGGGCGATGCTGGAAATCAGGTAAAGTAATGGAATTTACGATAAACTTATCGTATTAATTCTGATGCTATTTTTGCACTGGTCCCTATTACCTTCACTTGCCTTAGACCTGGGCTACATTTGGTCTGTGGTGGTATAAAATACAGAAATATTTGAAGTTAATAATATCTTTAAGAAGCAGTTTTGTTATTTGATTTTATAATGCATTATGAAAATAATCTGACTGGTCAATGACACTTTGGTGACAGCTGAAAACAGAAATAATGTTAAAACGTTTACCTTAAAAAGGAAGAGGCATATTTTATTATAAGTATAGCATGTGAAATAACTATTACCTTCCATGCTGGCTTTAAAGTGTAAAATATTCTGAAAAAAACCTGATACTAGTAAGCCCCCAAAAAATCGATTAGATTGTTTCCAAATACTGCTTCATACTGATGTTATTAAATAAGATAATTTTGTACAAACTGTGTGTGTCATTTGGAAGCAGTAGCTTGTTTTGTGAAAGTCTGCCTATCTCCTGGTAATTTATCTCTGACTTTGTAACTGATGAAATTAATCTTAAAATTTACAATTTTCTATGTACTGATTGGCTAGGTTGCACAGATTTAAGATATGTTATTGTGATTAACTGAAATACAGAGTACCCTGTACCTCTTTTTACACATGGACAAATGAGGACGTTTTGAAATCAACTCCTCCTATATTTTTACAAATGATTATCTAAGACTTCACAGAATATTTTAACATTATTAGTAAAAGGAGATGTGGGTTTCTAGTCAAAATATAAAGGTTTTGCACCTCCTTTTGTTGAAGCAATAGGAAATTTTGACTATTTTTCATTCCTTTAAATTAAATTGACCTCTATTGTGTAATATAATCCTTTCCTTATGCTTTGCAAGATATATGTTTAAAACTGAAGGTTTGCACAGAGAATTGTATTATGGAAAATTTTGACCATTTTTAACAGTTCCTTAAAATAGGATTTAAAACTTTCTGTGTGGTTTAAAAACTTACTGTGCAACTCAGCCATTTGAGTTGATGACCAATTTTATTTTTGTAGGTTGTAATCTATTAATTTTTATCAAAGATAAGATTAAAAGTTGTTCTAATTACTTTCATTTGTTTTATTTTTGTTTTCTTCATACTTTAGTTCATGAATGTTAGCTGTAGGATTTGAAAATTCAGTGTTTAAATTTCAAATAAATCAAGTCAGACCAGGGATTTCTGTAATCTCACTACATAAATGATGCTATGAAATGTGACCTTGAGTTACCCTCTGGAAATGTAACCTTGAATTGTCCCCTGTTAAATGTGACCTTGGTTTCTATGTTTTTGGTATCCTCTGTTTAAGGTGTCTTTCTTTTTGCCCAGGCATATCTTAAAGAGGCACCACAAAAACAAGAACATATTTTACAGAGGGAGGCAATATTTACAACAATGACAATGGCATGAATAGTAACACAAAGTCACATTTCAGAAAGGGATCGTTCATATAGTGTGGTATTGAGTTCACTTTTGAAGCATGAATTGATAAGTCACATAAACTAACAAGACTTACTTGCATAAAAAATATACAAAATGAAACAACAAAACTATAGAATCATCATATCATATCGGAAGCATGAACTGATCAGTCACAAAAACACTAACAGATTTTTGCATAAACACATGACTGGAGAGGTCATTAAAGGGAAATAACTTAAGTACATGGATCACAGTATATCATTGATAAAATGTTATCTGACATTGAAAAACAATGTAAAATTACTACCTAATGTTGTTTTAATTAATGATTTATTATTGTTTTATTATCATTCTATTAAAGATTGATTGATTGTTGACCACTGCAATAGTATCTTTTACTAGAACGATGGTTATGATGATGAAGCTTTATGACAAATTGTTATATTTTGTTTTTTTTAAGAAAGTAGAATAATATTAGATTATAATGGAGTTTTAATTATTTTAAATGATAAAACTGTATTCTTTTTATAAGTAATATCCTCAGCGCTCGGTTTATGGCTTTGAAAATCTATTGTTTCTTATCAAATTCTGCTAGTTCTTGAAACATAAAGAAATAAACATTTAGCTTCAGAGTGATTGAAGAATTTTTATAAGACTTATTGCATGAAATCTCAGTTTCAGTTGTGCAGTTTTATTAACTTTGAATTTCATCTTAGGATTGTCTGCTTAATAATTTATAATAATGTACTGTATTATACAACTTTCATCTCTGATCATAGTCATTAATCATTAATTATTTACATTCTACTTGTTGAAATAGAAAGAGACATTTTTAAGATTACCTAATGATTTAGATATTTCTTAAATACTAATATAATTCTGTGTAACATTTAATAACAGAAAAAGACAGCAGTGGTGCAAGAGAACATGTACACAAGATTGCAAGCCAACAAAATGCTAAAAATACCAATTTGACAAAGAAACAGATTTTAGAAATGTCTAAAAGAGGCACATTTCTGTTTTAAAAAAAAAAAATTGGCGGTATTTTTTTTGGGAGATACAAATTTTATGACAGGATATTATTGCTACACTGATATGTGACACAGTCTTCTCAGTAACTAATTGACGCTTAGCGGGTTAAGTAGAATTTTAGGTTCCTTACCATTTTATATCTCAAGAAATTGTATGCAGAAAGTTGTGTCAAACATACTTTCTTGGTATATTTCTTTGCCACTAATTTCAGAAGATATAAGATGTATATATTTATATTTCAACATATAAGTTTATCTTTTAAGGTGCTGAAATACTCCCAGTCAGACTGGAACAAAATGAAACAAGAACTAGAACTTGACTTCCAGACTAGGCTGCTGAATAAAGAAAGAGAATGGGGTAAAAGGCTAGCTGATAAAGAAAAGACTACTTTACACTTACGAGAGGAGACTAAAATCTTAAAGCAGTCTAATGATGATATGAGGTAAACATATAAAGTCTGTTGGTAGAAGTCATGGGCTTTAATCAATCTAATAATGATATGAGGTAAACATAGTCTGTTGAAAGAAGTCATGGGCTTTAATCAGTCTACTGATGATATGAGGTAATCATAGTCTGTTGGTAGAAGTCATGGGCTTTAATCAGTCTACTGATGATATGAGATAAACATAGTCTGTTGATAGAAGTCATGGGCTTTAATCAGTCTAATGATGATATGAGGTAAACATAGTCTATGATAGAAGTCATGGGATTTAATCAGTCTAATAATGATATGAGGTAAACAGTCTGTTGAAAGAAGTCATGGGCTTTAATCAGTCTACTGATGATATGAGATAAACATAGTCTGTTGATAGAAGTCATGGGCTTTAATCAGTCTAATGATGATATGAGGTAAACATAGTCTGTTGGTAGAAGTCATAAGATATAACCAGTCTACTGATGATATGAGGTAAACATAGTCTGTTGGTAGAAGTCATGGGATTTAATCAGTCTACTGATGATATGAGGTAAACATAGTCTATGATAGAAGTCATAAGATTTAATCAGTCTACTGATGATATGAGCTAATCATAGTCTGTTGGTAGAAGTCATGTACTTTAACAACATTCTGATTTATATAATTTATAAAGAATCAATAGGGGAAATTCTGGTTATTTCGATCAATAATCAATTGTGCGTTTTTAGAGATGGCTTCTGTAGAGTTGACATGTTCGAATTATAATGACCAAATTGCGTCGGAAAGACGCTTTACTTTACATGCATACTTCTCTGCGTTTTACCTTCATTTACCAAGTAGTAACGGTAAAAGAGCAATAGATGCCGAGATCTAATTTCGGCTAAATTCGATCAACGATCGGTCAATTTCGGTCACACATTCGGTCAATTTCGATCACACAGTCTGCATGTTCTTACCTTTTGGAGCACCTCATTTTACCACACTTGTGAGCAATTAACGATCTTTACAGGACAGCAATTAGGATGACAGTCTTGACAATGCCAGTTTTTATTAAATATAATACTTGCATGTTTGTTATTTCAATGTTATATATGTTTGAATTTTTAAACATGCATGCCTCATTTGATTAAATCTGTTGAATGTTCTCATCGCTGGTTTATTCAGGAAACACGTACTTGTATTTGGGTATAACCCCACTTTTCGTACGCAGGATTCGGGGTTGTTTTTAGAGCGTACGCGGTACATGTACATGTACTACCGTACGCAGAAAAAAATATATGTTCTATGTTACAACGTACGCAGATACAAAGTTTTGCGGGACTCAATAAAACAATTAAAACGTACGCCGTACTCACTGCGATTGTTTTAGCGTACACTGGACTCAATTTATGTACACATGTAGCTAAGCAATATATAGTCCCTGTTCATTGTTAAGAAGAAACAAGTTATCTGGTGTCACAACAATCAGTTTGTGTGTGTGTGTGTTTTTGCTTCTTTTTTTTTTTTGGTTCAAACTTTCTTTCTCTCCTTTTTTTTTGTTTGCTTATTTGAGCTTCCGTGTGACCAATGATTTTGTAAAGTTAACTTTTACGTCCAATCCAGTTCCTGAGAAACCCAGTGTGTCTATTTTTTTCATCAAGGCAGAGACAGTTATCAGTTCATCATTTAAAATTATAAAAACATCTTCTCTAGCCAAAAGTTACGATCCGTGTAGAGAATAATAAAGTGATTGTAACTTATGCTGGCAAAGATGAGGGTTGAATAATTTGTTTTCTATCTATATGAGGTCTTCCAAAGAAGTGATATAACTTAAGTATAAATAAGACATTGGTATAGGCTTTGCTCATTTTGAAGGCCGTACGGTGACCTATAGTTGTTAATTTCTGTGTTATTTGGTCTCTTGTGAAGAGTTGTCTCATTGGAAATTACACCTGCAAGTCGTGAAGGAGGAATAGTGGACAACATATTGAGGACAGACAGACAGACTGGCATACAATGTAGACAGATAGGGTTAAACCTTTAGACCCCAAAACTTCGTAAGTAAGACAAGTACTAGTAACCAGGAACTTTAAGGCACCAACCATTTTTAATTTAAATTTTATACATTTATATCAATTTCCGATCTCACAGCTTTTATTTCCTTTTCTATTTGTTTCTTAGCATTTATCATTTCTCTAATCTTGAGCCACTTTTCCTTTGCTTGTTCTTTTTTCAGTTTCATGTCCTCGATCTTTCGCTTGCTCTCTGTTACTTCATCAGATGTCAATATTCTGTGTCCTGTCACAGAATTTTTGTTTATTCGAGCCTTTTTCTGCGGCGGTTGATCAACGCTAAAGATATCATTTATGGATGCATTCCAATCAATAGTAGTTGACGAACAAGGTGTAGATAGGGTCTCTGCTACTGGTTGAATCACCGAGTCGACTTCGTAAATAACTTCACTGAAACTGCTATCGAGGGAAATCAGGGATTCAACTGCCTCTCTGGTCTCAATGTCAACAATTGGTAAAAGAACATCTGCAGAGAGAGTGTGCACAAAATGCGGATCTTCTGGACTTCCTGGAACATCGATGACATTCTGTTCGTATGACTCCACTTGAATTTCATTTAACGGGACGGTGTCAGTGATTTCAGTAATGATACATCTAGCTTCGGGGCTGGCTGTTGGTTTAGTCCTCACTACGGTGACTTCTTCTACTCTAGACTCGGTTTCGAAGGACCTACGGATCACCCATTGTAACGGGTGTTCATTTGTGTCAGGCTTGTTGGTATCAAAGGCAGAGGCAGGAGCAAATGCAGCAGATGGAATGTTTAAGGGGTTCCATGGGAATATTCCGCACGATCTGAATCCTGCTATTATGTTCTCTGGTTTGAATGCCGTTTCGAATGCCCTCCTGAACAAACCTGGCCAAGTCATTTTATTAACAAGATTGCCAGGATTTTGGCAATATTCTGAGCAGATCCTATCATAATTTCTACTTAGAGGACCAAAGACAGTGCGATCCAAGGGACAGAGATAATGTGTAGTGTGTGGCGGTAGAGTTAATAGTGTTATATTATTTTCCCTAGCTTTTTCTATTAGCCCAAGCACTTCGTGTGAATGGGGACCGTCCAGTATTAGAAGTTGCGGCCGCTGATTTCCGCATTTCTTCAAAAATATGTTGGTGAACCATTCAATCCCTGGGACATCTTCCGTCCATGCTTTGGCTTGGTAAGTCCATGTTGCACCTACTGGCCCGTCTGCGGTGTTGTAGCTCATTACTGCTTTTTGTGTTTTTCCTTTGACGATAATAAGTGGGGACATTCTGTCACCTCGAGCATTGATACACCCGACTATTGTGTTTCTTTCACGTGTATTTGAAACCCTTCCAGGTATGGTCCTAGACGATTTGGCAGCGACTACTTTGCTTGGGGTGTGTTCAAGTGGTACACCTTTCTCGTCCATATTCCAAACTAGTTCTGGTTTATCATTCAACCCTAACCTATTCATCTCTTTCTTTAAATCCAGAAAATACTCCCCTACTTTTACGGAGTTGAGCGCTCTTGCTCTGATGCTTGTCAATTTGTCCGGAGATCTAAGTGTAACAGTGGGATTTCTTCCCTTAAACCCATACCACCAGTCTTTACCTGGTGTATTGTTTTTGAAGTTTTGATCAAGATTAAGCTCTTTGACTAAGTTCCCCACCTTTTCCATTACTTGGGCCTTATTCATGCCCAATCCCATTTCGGCAGCTTATGCACATTTGTTTACGATTTGTTTCTCTATTTCTATGGGTATTACTGGCTTGCGTCCGACAGGTGTGTTATCTTTAACTCGACCACGCATGTGGTCGCTGAACGTGGCTTGGGGTATTGAATAGAGAGATGCCGCCTTTCTCTGTGATACTCGCCCACTCTTGATGCCATCTATTGCCTTGATGAAATTTTCATCGGTATATGTCCTATAAACACTTTGCTTCCGTTTCTTTGGCATTGCTGAAAATTCATTAAAACACAATATTTACAAGATAATTGATAACATAGAGATAAAATGCATTTGGAGACAAAACCATAAAGTCATGCATATGACAGAGACCTTAGAACTGGGAGCCTATGAATGTTGGAAGTTTATTAAATCTTTATAAATAAATTTTGGTTTGCAAATTGAAACCGATATTTGCAGCATTTTCATTCACACCTGTCAGACTTCAGGTGCCCAGGTGAGCGATTCATGCTCCTTGGAGCCTCTTATTATGTATATCGCGCTTCATCTGAGGAAAACAATAGAAGTTTATTTTTAAAACTGCAACCAAAAGATTTAGCTCTTATGAGTATTTTGTAGGTCTATTGAATAAACAAATTGTTATATATCTTTTTATTTTTCATTCAGATAAGTCACTCAGCATCTTTGATTTCAAACTGGAAACCATGTAACTTTAAAATGTCTGTTGCTGATTTCAAGTTTATTTCTTCATTTACTTTTAATCCAATGGTACATAGCTGCTGAGGTCCCACATGTTTGTTCTTGACCAGTGCGTCTTCTTTTGGTTTTAGTCTAATCACGTTTGATATGTTCATTTTTAGAATTCTTGTTATCACAAAAGAGTGATTTTTCTTGAGGTAGGCCTTCCTTTCCCCGTCGTATAGTATGGCCACTGCATTAGGATCCTTTGGATTCTATGGTTCCCGTTTAACCCTATACCCCAGCCCAACTTCCAGATGTCGATGTCCCCAGTGGTGCATGCCGACGGCCAATAGATTGGGTATAATAAGATATTTCATGCTGCAAAAATATATTTAATATATGAATTTGGTCAAATGTGGCATTGAATGAGTATACAAGTTAACGTAATCGGATATATGGCATGGTTTCGTGTATATAATATTTGAATCCACTGTTTTCGCAAATTATAGTAATCTTTTAAGAACAAATTCCAACAACCCATATAAAAACAACCATTTTGCAGCGGAAGAAATCGGACAATGACACACCCACCGTGCAGCCGAGTAGGAAAACAGCAATCTTGTGAACAAAATAATTAATTTGAGGTACATTAGTTTTACTATCACATCTTAGGTCATAGGTAAATGTTTATGGTTTTGTCTCCAAATATAGGAACTTATTATTTTAATGTCAACAACATTTACTATTGTCTTTGTATTGTTTTATAATGTTTGCTACTAGAGACATAAATTTGTCTCTGTTTGTACCAAGTCAGGAGTAGTCTAGGCAAATAACTTTGCAAATTTTTATTTTATCTTGTCAGAACTTCACATTTCGACATTTCACTTGTTGTTCACAGTATATTTTGTTACTTTCGTTACATTGCCGGGGCAGATCCAGAAATATTAGAAAAGGGGAGGGTCCACCCAGGGTGCAGGAAGAAAGGAGACATTTTTTTGTCCAGTTTTGCCGAAATCTACAAAATTTTCCAATGAAAAAGGGGGGTTCCTACCCCCGGCACCTCCCCCTTTCTGGATCTGCCACTGCAATGATCGATAATTACTCAAATTAAAGATGATTGTGATATAATATCGGCAATTTTATTTTTTAAAGAAAAATCATCAGAAATCGTCATCAGTATTATGAATATCCATTTGTAAATCCTAAATGATTTGAATAAAATATAAAAGGATGTGATCGAAATTAGCCGACAATGAGAAATTATGTTGCGGGTAATTTTCGATCGTTTTAAAAGTCCTATAACAGTGACAGAAATAGACTTTAAAATGCATACAAGAAGTTTTTCTATTCTTTAACATTATAATTTCAAGAATGAAAGGTTTTAACACTAAAATGATATGTTTACTTACTTTTGTATAGCTATAAAACCGTTTAGTAAAATCCAATAAAGTTTTCAAAATTCCCTCGGAATTATGGGTGTGGCAGAAAACGGTACTCTTTGGCCAATCAAACGACGCGAAACAGATTGCTATCATGTGACACCCCATGCACCTGGTCGAGAGAAATGCCGCAATGCGACATAGTGTATTGGCTTTACAACAGAGATGGGGACAAATGTACTAAAAAGGGTTAAACGACGTGATCGAAGTTGCCCGCGTGATCGAATTATCCCGAATTTCCCCTATAAGAATCATCATTTTTAAACTGAACAACACACAGTTAAATGAATGAATAGAAAATAGCATTTAATGTTTCTAAATATATTTCTTACACTGAAATGCACATGCATCTAAATAAAAGCACCATATATTATTATTATATACATCATTTACTTATGAGTTATGTTTAAATATTTCAGGGCTATTGTAACAGAATTTGAGAAAACTATCTCCCAGTTACAAGGTAGGTGGTGTTCATGTATTGTTTTCTTCAAAATATGGAATTATGGTTGCAAATCAGTTAATCACAGCTTTAATTTCAAATATAAACCACATGCTCTCTGCATAAACACAACTTTTCAAATTAGTCTGCAATCAGAAAATAAATTTTCAGTAAAAAAAATTCCATGACAAGAAAAAACTTTGTCACAGATCAAGAATAACTGTTGTTTTTTTTATTATTTGGTGTACTGGTGCAAACTTTAGGTCAGTTGTGGCATGTAAAGTTCTTAATTGCAAAATTAGTGTAAGGCTGATTTACCAATCAAAACATTTGATATTTAATGTAGCAGCTTTCCTTGTGACTTTTTTGGTAATGAATATTTTGTATGTTATAGCCGAGACAGAAAAGACTTCAAGCGATTCTCAGAATAGCATGGAAGACATAATTAAGGAAAGGGATCAGGTAATATATTTTGTTATATATAGTAAAAGATCATAAAATGTATGTTACGAAAGAGTTTGGTCAACGAATGTATAGTTAAAGGAATGGGACTTTGTAGGTATATATATTTAAGAAGGGAGAACTTAAAAAAATATTATTAAAAGAAGGTTTTAAAAAGGTTAGTAGCTTAACGACTTTAATTTAGTGGTCTTTTCCCAACATTTCATTCTTTTCTAATGGCAGTTTAAAGTGATTTCCCATTTTCACCTTATTTTTAACATTTTTGTACCGTAAATGCAAAAAAGATCAAGTTCATAATTGACAAAATATCTTGCTGCAATTCTTACATTTCTACTTTTTTATGTCAGTCTTCCATATAAATGTATGCTACTGGTAGGGGAAAGGAAGTTTAAAAACTAAAATTTTATACCTGTTTTAGATATATAACACTGCAAATTCAGAAATTATTTCGATTTTTTTATTAACATGAAAAATAATACAGAATCAGGTTTGCAATAATAAAAAATCATCTACATAATTTCAGTAGAGATTTTTCTTAAAAAATCACAGATATCAAATTTTTTCCAGAGGTCAATGATTCACTATAATAATTAATGCATTAATTTCTGAATTTACAGTATTAATTAGTTACCAGTATTATCTGTGTCCTTTTATTAATTCTACTCTTCTTGAATGTGCATTCTATCTTCTTCAGGCAATAGACGATCTCCAGGGTGTAGAAATGGCTTTCTCAGATTTACACAGAAGATACGAAAAGACAAAATCTGTTGTAGAAGGCTTTAAAAAGGTAGTTTATTTAGAAGAGTTTACATATTTTTTAACATTTAATTTTGTCAATTTCCAAGGTATTTAAATGTAACATTGCCAGATTTCAACATTACACAGTAGATGTAATAAAGGTTGTATATGTAATCTGGCATTTATTTTTTGACACAGTCCAAATATTTATAAAGCATAGTCATGTCACTGTATGGCAATCAACAATTAGAGTATTTTTTTTAAGTGGGGAAACTCAGAATATCTTTGGTTGACCGTTATGGAATAACCGTTTCACAAATGATATCGGATGTGTTCTTTATGTCGTAACTACAATACCCTTCCCTTTTCACGAATGTGACTTACCGAATTAGACTATTTACTGGATTTGTAATAACATAAGCAACACGACGGGTGTCACATGTGGAGCAGGATCTGCTTACCCTTCCTGAGCACCTGAGATCACCCCAAGTTTTTGGTGGGGTTCCTGTTGCTTAGTCTTTAGTTTTTTATGTTGTGTCATCTGTACTATTATTTGTCTGTTTGTCTTTTAATTTTTGGCCATGGCGTTGTCTGTTTGTTTTCGATCTATGAGTTTGTCCCTCTGGTATCTTTCGTCCCTCTTTTAAACAGATTCACATCATAAATGATTTTCACCCTTTTTGTCAGGTAAAACTTTTATAGTTCAAACTGTTGCCAGAAAGAATCTATAGTATAGTGAAAATAGACCATTTGAGTTTTAGGGTTATTTGATTATTTCTCGAGTGTAGGTACAGGAAATTAAATGAATTGAAGCTGTATTAGTGTTATCATTATTTTACAGAATGAAGAAGTTTTGAAGAAATGTATAGAAGACTATCAGTCAAAGCTGAAGAAATCAGAAGAAAAACTTCAAATTATCAAACAACAAGCTGAAGAAAAATTAGATATGTAAGTTTTATATGTTGTAACATACCCAGCAGTAACAGAAGTATTATGGTATATTATTGTCCATCTGTCTGTCTGTCTGTCTGTCTGTCTGTCTGTCTGTCTGTCTGTCTGTCCACTTTGCTCAGATAAATGTAACTTTTATTATCAAAACTTCAACAATTCAGAGCAATCTCATGGATTTTAATGAAATTTAAGAAATCTTTAGTATCATAATATAAAGCTCTTTTTAATTTCAATGATTTTTTAGAGTTGTCCTTCCAATTTTTAAAGTTATTAAGACTACTGCTTGTGGGTATTTTGTTATGGAATGCTAAGGGATAAAAGAAACAATCTGAAGGTGTAAGGATTTATGATTTCTCAACAGTTCTTGGGAATTAACTAGCTTTTCATTATCATTGTATTATTACCTTTTACAGAGCAAATATAGAAATGGATAAGTTACGGAAATCAACTTCCTCTGATATGGCTCGGTTGGAGGCAGCAATGAGAAAGGCTGATTTACAGGTTGTTAGTCTACATAATTCTTTAGAACAAAAGGTAAGACATAATTTACATTTTAACAAATGCTCAAGCTTTAAAATGAATCAGCAATATGAACTCTGCCAAAATCCTGGGGTTAACCCTGGTGGTCTAGAAGGATAAACAATTCTGCTGCTCAAATGGCACCTGTCATGATATACAGTAGACTCCACCTAATCGGATATCGGCTAAACGAATATATCGGCTATTGTAATATTATTTCAAAACACCAAACCCTTCCCTATATGTTTAATGTTAATTTAATCGTGTAATGGAATATCGGATATAAGAATATATCGGCAAATCGGATAAGAATATTCAGGTCATTTTGTTCAAAACCATGCACAATCGGATATTTTCAATGTTTTTCTGACAGGAAATGGACCCGGAAGTTACGAATTTACAATCTTGCAGACAAGAAGATTTTGTTTTTACTAAATAAAAGGAACTATTTCTTAATAAATTGTTGTCTTTAATCATTGTCTTCCTTTGTCATGTGAATTAGATGCCCTTTTACTTCAAATGGTTTAAATTTATTTATAAAATATGCAAGACTCAGTTGACAAGTTCAAGAGTTGACGTTGCTGTTTGGAGAATTTTTATTAAACTCTAAATGTTCACAGAATCAGAAATATAATCTAAACTGAATGTACCTCCTTCTGAATAATTTATTGCAATATAAATATAAATCCCTTTTGACAAGAGAAATCTGACTTTTGTCAGATATATTTTTTTCGCATGTGCAAAAGTAACCACATGTCATGGACGCCATTTTGGATGTTTACAAATTTGTGAGGAAGCCTTTAGAACTATGATCTAAATATAAATAGACTTCAGAAAACGTAAACTTTATGCAATAATATTTTATCAATCATGATTATTTTCATAAATTTAAATTTTATTATTTAAAGAAATAAAATTATAACAAATACGATTTTAGTTTGGAGATTCTACACAGACATGCTTAGATCTATTTATAGCCAAATTAGTTTACCTGTGTGATAATGTAAATAATGGATATTAATTTGCTTACAAAACAAATAAAGACAAACTATGGATGGTAGATAATAATTCACATAAATATTTCAGGACATTTGATTTATTTTAATAAATAAAGGATTTAAAAACTGCAAACAAATTTAATCATTACATAATCAGCTGATAATTTTTTACACAAACATCGTGGTGATGTAACTGATAAAAATCACTCCATCAATCCTCCAGCCCTTTCACATATTTAGCAATTGTCAGGGTTAGTAACATCTCAGGATTATATCTACTCATTATTGCAGAATATTCAATGAATATACATTCATCGTCTAATTGAATATATCGGGTAATCGGATATTTTTAGCTGACATTTTGGGTATCCGATTTGCCAGAGTCTACTGTACTCCTGTTCAAATCTGTGAATGAAACATATATGGTGATAAGTCTTCACACAATTGATAACACATTACAATGAAAATAACACTATAAAATTGGTGCATCCAAAAGTATACAGTTATCAATCAATAATAATACAATAATACACATTCAAATAAATAGTTTGAAATTTATGACACAATTATGCTCATTGCTAGATTTACATTGCATATTATGTGTGGATTACTCTGTATAAATCAAATAATGATTTGAGAATTGGATGTTATCACAGCTTGAAATTATAAAATACCTACGTAGTCGTAGATACTGTAAAAAAAATATTCTTTATAAGCAGGAATGTGCAAATTATAAAGCACCAAGAACCTAATTTTCTTGGCTTTTTATAAACTGATTTGACCTGACAAACGCCAACAACCATTAACAATGTAAAAAAAAATATCACTAAATGGGGAATGTGCCTCTGAAATGTATGTGTCCTATACAGAATGATTATTTAGTATGTAATGTTTTATGTTTTAAATGTTTCAGGTTAAAGAAAATGAAGAATTAACTGCAATATGTGATGAACTTATATCTAAAGTAGGGTCAGATTGATGTTAATAGAATGTACAGGTTTTTTTTATAGCTATGATCCATATCTCGTGTGTCAGAGAGAGACATTTGCATGCTGCACAAAAATATATTTAAGTTGAGAAAAATAACAAATGAAATCAATAGTTAAATTTCATTGCTTTTTGTAATATAAGCCTTGTGAAGTTTTGCATTGGTATATAGAGCAAATTAGTAATCAGTTATTAAAAAAAAAAACAGACAGAAAAAATAAAAAGATTAAATTCAAACTTGTTATTAGAAATACGGTTCTTGGTCCTTAAGGGACTTTTAAGAATTAGATTTATTACATGTGTGCATTTTGGACCACTGGTCAGTTTTGAATATAAGCTTTGATTTTTCTTTATGTGTTTTATAGAGAATGCATTAAATGTTGGAATATTTGCATCAAATTGATTTTAAATACATTTTTGTGTGGCAATGATTGTTACTTTTAATTCAAACATGTATTTCAAATTTAATTTCAACAGAAATTTAAGCAACTCTGAATACTGGTACTGTATGATAAACATAACGTAGAATTGTTTTTGATAAACTCCAAAAATGTGAAAAAAAAATATAGGCAGATATTTTCTCAAAATGATTATATCAAAGGGAGGTAATAATTAGTCTATTGAAAATATCAATTATCCCCCTTGGTAACTATTTTTTATTTGATTCATTCTTAAATTGAAGCACTCTGCTGAATTAATTGTATGTGCAGTGGCATTTTATAATGAAGTATAATTGTCAATGAATGAAAATGAGAATTAAGATCATACATGTATTTTTATCTACTTAAAGTGCAAACTTCTGATCACATAGCTTGCGTGCAAAATCCATATGTGTTCCAAAGCTTATGCAGCAAATATTTGTATATGTAGTCCATTCTACTATTGAACAATGGCTGATTATTGTAGAATTACTTCATAATTGTAGATGGTTAGACTTTTAGTTGTAAAATTAAAAATTTCATCATCAGAGTTAGCTCATATCTGAACAAAAACTATCCAAGGTCTTGTTGCTTATGATGACTGTTCAAAGGTCATAGGCAGAACAATGTTTTGTTTTAACATACAAAAGTAGAAATGAGATTGAAATATTTGTTTTCATTTATGCAAATATCTTTTAAAGACATAAGTGATCACAAAATTGCTTCAGACTTATCTATATTTTCATGTAGCTTTTCATTTTAAAAAAATGTCATCAAGAGCTGTTCAACAAATGTTACATGTTGAAATCAAGATTGATTATAGGTACTAGCTTGATGCAGTTGGTTTTATGTTAAATTTGCCTGAGGAATTTCAGTTTCAAGTGCTATCAGTTATAAAAATGATAGGCTTATCAGTTGCAAATAAAATGTATTTAAGTACAAGCACCTCCTGATCACTTCTGAATAACCAGATATGGCTTTTGGCTTATGCTTCTTATAATCGGATATACACCTTTTAAAAAATAATTGTGCCATTTTAAAACGTTATTTAATCTTTTTTGTCATATTACAATTTTGAACAAAATATGGATATTTGCAAATATAAATAAGTAAATGTGTTATTTGTTATTTGTTATATTTCAACTGTCGTAAGTTCTTAGATATTACCACATTTTTGTCATATCATCATGTGTTGCATCATTGCTATTTTTAACTTGTTTTGTAAAAACAGATTGAAATTTTAATATTTTGTATGTGTAAGAAGTTATAATATTAAAATATTTATTTATAATATACATATTAGTATGGTTAGTTGTTCATGTTTTACTTAGCCATGACATTGATCAACAGAAATTGAACAAAGAATATAAAAGTCATGTCAAGCATTTTAAATGAGCTTTACATCAATATATTTCTATGTACCACAAAGAATCCTTCAAAATATATTAAAAATTTGTGATTTAACAAAAAAAAATCTGCCATATTAAATGTTATTTTCAAATTGGTTATTTTAATTGTATAGCTTTATTGGATTGTGAATTTTGATAACATTAAGACAAAAAGGGGGGATTATGAATTAACTATATGTAAAACAAAAAAAAATGTCTCAATGCTGTCTCTGTTTGGTATAAAATGTCTGTTACCTTGAGAAGAAATGCTGAAAATCTTCCTTAGATATACTAGTTCAAGGTCAAATTAATGATTTAATATACAAATTTAAAACAATTTGTGCTATGAAGAGAACCAATTACTTTAATGTATGTAAAGGAGGTTGACTTAATCAGTGAAATTGAAAACTAGACTGTATTAGATACATACATTAACTTCTCATTAATAAAGTCTGCTATATTATCCTTATGAAAAGGTTTAATGATACCTGGTTTTTTTTCTGTTGTCCACTGTATATTGCTAAAAAAGTTGTATATTACTGGTTTCCAGTTAGTGATGAGCTTATAGATGAGGGGTACCAGATTTAACTGTAAATAGTTGAACCTCTATAAAGGAAAATGTCTGTTATGAAAATGCAATTGACAGTACAGAGTTTTTATACCAACAACTGAATTATTATTTAAGTCCTTATAAATTTTGTCCCTCATAACATTAGTTACCTGAACAATTGTACCCGGATTGAAATGAATGATTTTATTGCACTGTAAACCATTTAGCAGACGTTAATTGGTTTGAATAAAATGAGCTTGAGTAGACAGAAATAGATATTGATGTAAACATTGTTATGGTGATCTCAGTAGTGATATTTTGTTTGTGTTAGGGTTTTGACAATTGTGCATGGTAGTGATATTTTGTTTACATTAGGGTTTACACATTGTGCATGTTTATGTTAGCGTTAAGACATTGTGCATGTTTTATTGATTTGACCATGTCCATGTTATTGTACAGTTTTGATACAATGAAGCCTTTTGTGATAAATGTGTAAGTGACCAATGATGTACCTCATTTAAACAAATTACTTATTTTCTGTGTCATTCATCAACCATACATATTGATATCAGAATTGTTGGTTTTATTGTCAATACTGGCTTACCATATACTTAGATTTGTGCAACTCATAGAATATATATGGACTAATATATGAGCTGTATGATTTCTTAGCTGTTGAAATCAACATAAAATTGAATCTGATGACTTGACTGGTTTCCACCTGAGCATTTGGATTTCAGTAGGTTTCAGTTTTAAAAAATCGCTTGTCTAATACTGTGGATTCATTTTTATTCGTGGGGTACCAAATTTTGTGGATTTCATGAGTACATGTAAGTTAACCATAAATTTAAATGTTCCAAAGAACTATAAATTTTCTTGTGATCAAACTGTGGCAAAACCATGAAATCAAATATCTTCTAAGATGTTACTTTTCCTCAATCCACAAAAATTGGTACCAACAAAAATACACGAATCTACAGTAGATTTGATTGGTCAGAAATTAAGTATATGGTATGTAAGTATCCACTATAATACCAAGCTTCACATATAAGTATATTGTATCTTGAATAATTTTGACATGTAAGAGTATATATGTAATACAATTTTTACGTTTTCAGTAGAGAAATCAAATTTAAATATGCTTATATTGAACTGCTTTTAATTTTTTATATGAAAAAAAATGCTGAATTTTATTATATTTTAAAAGTTCTTAACAGATTCTATTTAGTACTAATTAAACTAAGAATTAGAAATGAACACACTTTCTTTTTAATTTCATGGTTTTTGTGTTATTTGGCAGTGAGCATGGTAAAAACATTTTTTTTTAAATTTTAGGAATTTAGATTTTTTTTAATAAGAAAACCAAAATATGTTGTTCATTTATGACTACATGTGTCAAAGAAGGGTTGTTTTTTTTTTTAAAAAGGAAACCTTAATTTTAACTGACAATAGTAAAGTCAATGTCAGTGTATTGTATACTGTCCAATCAGCTTTTTCAATATGTATGAACTTTTTAATGTACCTTAAATTTTGAAGTATCTAGGTATGGCATTCTGTGTTGTATAAGAAGTGCTAAAAGACTGGGATTAATATTTATCATTCTGTTTATAATTCAGTGATTATGTTCAGATTATATTGTTAAAGCTTGAGACTTTCTGTGTTATTTTCTCCAGTTAGATTCACATATGAATATAAGAATAAGAAGATATGGTATGATTGCCAATTAGACAACCCTCCACCAGAGACCAAATAAAGTAGAAGTTGGCAACTATAGGTAGCTGTATGGCCTTCAACAATAAGCAAAACTTATACTGCATAGCAAGCTATAAAAGGCCCAAAAATGACAAATGTAAAATAATTCAAACTAGAAAATGAATTGCCTGATTTATGTACAAAACAAATATTATATACAGCAAAAAATGACAACCACTGAATTACAGGCTCCCGACTTGGAACAGGCACATACAGAATATGGCAGGGTTAACATGTAAGAGGGCATCCAACCCTGCCCTAACCGGGGAAAATGGTGCAACATCACAACACAAGAACAAACTACAAAACAGTGAACGTAAAAAAAACCAAAAATGATAAGCAGCAACAAATGACCACTTATGATTTGGATTGAGGTAAATGTTGTCAGCAACCTTGACTCCATTTCAAAATCATAATGGTGATCGATGTGCATCCATTATATAATATGAGAAATTGTGTGGGGTATACATCAATGAAACAGCAACCCAAAGACAAAAATAACCAAAAAGTCATCTAAAGGGCAACACACAGTCTTCAAGCTCTAAATTATTCAGAGTATAAAAGTTAGGAATAAATTCAACAGAAACAATCATTTATCTGTTAATAAAAGCCAATTATGCAATAAGGAATTGTAAACATTGCAACAAATATAGCTATACCAAGATTTATCAAAGGCTATTTTATTAAAAGGAAAACTTCTCTTTTATAAGAGTGGATAGTAATATAGTATAAAGAATAGAGAAATCATAATTGTAAATGGAGGCAAACTGACATACAGAGGATTGTACCTTATCCAAGTATTCCAAAGCATTTTACACTTCAGAAATAGTAAATACTGCAGTATTTCATAATCAGTTCCTCAATGATTGCAAGAGCATAAGTCAGAATCACTGAAACATGGCAAGTAGAACATTTATTGGAGACAGATATAAAATGAAATTCCTTCGGTTTCTTGTGTAATAACGAAGGAAGCCAATACACAGCTTGAACATTCTAAAATCATAAGTTGTCCGGACTCTTTTGTTAAGGAAAAGTCTGATTTTCAAACAAGACCCATGAAGAAAGTTTCCTTCTAGATTTACTTGTGTCAATCAAAGAACCAATACTCCCCATATTACTTGCAGTGATTCTACTAGTTTATCAGGTAAGTTTTTTTATGCACCCCTCAACAAAATAGTCATCACCTTGTCTGTCCTTTCATTCAATGGAAATACAGCTACAGTAATTGTATGTACATTTTTACTAGCTGAACATAGCAACCTTGGTTTTGTTTCACTTGTAAAGAAAACCTTAGAATATGAGATAGATAAATTAATCAGTGACAGCAGCAGCAGTGCTATCTAATTGTATAAAGCTTGATATTTCAAAAAGTAGATGAAAAAGAGCTAGACAGTTCATTACTTGTAAATGGATGGTTTATGGTCAAAAGTTTACATCTGCAATATGTCACATTTTTTTTACACCTTTATCATGGTTCAATGACTACTAAAGTCAATGTTGAGATTTCATGCTTCTGTCAGTTTCTAAGCTGCTATAAGTAAAGGGTAAATTATATTTGGTTTACAGATTATTTTAAGGTGGTTGACCTGCCTCTTTATAGTTCGGTGTCAGAGCAACATAATGTTTCCATTCTTTGATCAGTTTCTAACTTCTCAGTTCAGGAAAACTATATTTGTTCATTTAAATCATAGTAAGGGTACATGTCCTTCAGACAGGGGTCACCTGACCTTATTTTCATAGTATCAATGACCAATGTTTAAGTTTTTCCTCTTTTAAGTCAGTTTCTCAATTAAAATAACAGGTCAAATTTATTTGGTTTGTAGAATTGTTGTAACATGTTCATGTCTTCACAGACCACCACACCACATTTGCATGGTTCAATGATGAAATAAAGTTTTTTGTGCTTGGGTCAGTTTCTCAATCGCTTTAAGTTACAAATCAACTATATGAATCTCTATCTAAGTTTCATCTTTTTCTGACAGGGGTCACCTGACCTTGACCTCATTTTTAAGGTTGAATGATAATTTTAAGTTTTTCTGCATAGGTTAATTTCTCTTACTATCAGCTCTATAGATTAACTATGATTGGTTTATATAATCATTACTGGGTATACATGACCTTGATCTGTTTTTTGTTCATTGATCAATATTATTTTCTTGGTGTGTAAAGTAAGAACTACAGATGTGTAGCTTCCCTTGAGGCAATGAGGCAACTGCCTCACCAAATTTTTTATCAATAAAAATAGAGAAGATAAAGATAGATAAAATATGTATCGTTTATTCAAATGTATAGAGTTGAGAGTGAAGATGTTTCAAAATATATGACTTCTTTATCCTTTATGCGAGTATTCCTTAATCAACTTAAAATCTAACGATTAATTATATTTCCTGAAATGACCAAGGTAGATACAGAATTCTGGTTTTAGAAACAGACAACATAAACCTTGTAACAAAAGTGGTTCAAACAAGAGGTCAGAATTGTGAAACTGACATGATGCTTGATTTTTGTTTACGTTTAATAGATTTGGTTATCAACAGACACTTGGCATTCCCATGGTAACTAACTGTTCTACCCTTTCACTGACATGTTCCTTGATTCATACATGTATGAGCTAGGCTTCATAGTTCAATCAGTTATATTATATCCATCCATGCATCTCGCAACATTATAAAGTTGCAAGACATGGTTGATCTTAAACTTGAACATCACAGAATCTGTACGAAAGCAAACTATGGGTGGTCAAGGTTGTGTCAGTTATATTTGTTCTGATCAGTCACTGTTTTGCTTTGAATACCAAAAATAAAATTTAATCAATAGAGCTGAACATCGATATATAAATCAATGCGTATCAGATCTAGAACACTTGAAACAAATCTGTCAGGGATCCATAGGGGGCCTTTTGGATGACAAAATCTCTGTACTTGTCAAACATGCTCTCCTTTCGCGGTTGCAGTCGAAATTCATGCTCATATACTGGACGACACACTCTGCAGAACCTTTACTATTGAATATGGTTAATTTTGTCTTGAAAAGGCATGAACAATTTTTCCCTTGATGTAAGGCAAACAACAATCAAACCTGTATAAAAATCTACTTTTTACATTTTTTTGTCACGTCAATAGCCATAACTGTTCATTTCCCACCCACATTACAGTCTTTGAACTGTGTCAGGCTTTGACTCCCAAGTATCAAATCGTTTGCATCACTAGAAATAAGGGTCAAGCTACGCCACTGAACTATATCTAAAAGATTGTCAACTATTCAGTTATAATCAAACTGGCCACAGTGTGTGCACCCTTGTTGGTATGTACCGTAGTTAGGATTAGTTACAAATATAGTTTTGGTTTCATTCCAGGTTGTCTATATTCTGACTGATTTAGGGCTTTTGGTTTTCATGTTCCAAATGTTTAGTGCATTTGGTGTTTTAAACTTTGATCTAAACTGTCCTGAATAATGGAGTCAGGTAGGGTGGCATGTCTTCCTTTGTACTGTTACCTATGTTAATAATCCAGCTCAGCATGTCAGTCAAGTACAAAACATGGTTCTTATTTATATCACATTAATATTTTCTTGTCCTGATATGCATGTAATATTTGGCACTGGACATTAAAACACCAATTCATCATGATGATCATCTCAAGTGTCCCTGAAGAAGGTTATTCCAGAAACTTGTGTTGTATTCTCTGTAATAATTTATATATACTTATAAATATCAATTGTCATCCTGATTAAATTCATTCAAAGCAGTATTGACTTATTACCATTCAAAGCTTCACTTTAGTCTTGGAAAAATGGGTATATATTAATGAGAAAATATAGGACATAATAAACAAATAAATGAGGAATGTGTCCATGGGACACAGATGATGCCCCCGCTTGCATATAACGTTATAAAGGCACATAACTCAAGAACTGTAAAAGTCACGATACCCAAATTTGGACTTGATCTGAGTTTTGTGGTAATAAGCATTGTTTATAAGTTTCATAACATTTAGTTGAGGCAAACTGAAGTTAGAGAACGGAAACGAAAAATTCAGCAATTTTTCCATTTGTAAAGGGGCATAACTCTAGAACGGTAAAAGTGACACCACCAAAATTCAAACTTGATCTGTGTTTTGTGGTAATAAGCATTGTGTATAAGTTTCATAACATTTGGTTGAGACAAACTAAAGTAAGAGAATGGAAAGGAAAAATTCAGCAATTTTTCCATTTGTAAAAGGGCATAACTCTAGAACAGTAAAAGTGACACCATCAAAATTCAAACTTGATCTGTGTTTTGTGGTAACAAGCATTGTGTATAAGTTTCATAACATTTGGTTGAGGCAAACTTAAGTAAGAGAACGGAAACCAATTTTGGGACATTCGTAGGTACAGACGGACAAGGGTAAAACTTAATGCCCCCTCCGCTACGGCAGGGGCATAAAAAAAAACTAGTTTTTATCTCACCTGTAACGAAAGTTGCGGAAGGCAAGACATAGGGATTGCTTCTCTGGCGATGACGACGACATCGTCAACAATTGTAAAGTTTTATGCTTTTAAAAAATAGTTTGATAGGAACTACTTGTGATAGATCATTGATATTTAATATAAAGTTACATTTAATACTATCAATACATATCAGTGTGATTGCTATTTTGAGGCCCTGCCCCTAGGTCATTGTCCAGTGACTTTGAATTAATTAGCAATTTTCAATGTTAAGTTTTATGCTTAAGTTAGTTTGAAAGCAACTACTTACAATAAACAACAATATTTTCTATGAAGTTACATTACTGTTTGTACATCTCAGTTTGTTAACCTTTTCAAGGACCTACCCACTAGTTCATGGTCCAGCGACTTTAAATTAATTAGCAATGTTGCTGGCCTTTTTCTGAATTCTATGAAGACAGGTTAGACATATCTCTGTGTCAGCAGATTATTATATTGCTGTATAAGGAAAACTATTTTTGTAGGGTTGCTGTCTTACTTACGTTTACCTTTATTCATATCCAGGTTGAAGGTATTCATCCAAAATTGTAACCGATGAAAACCTGCAGAATCCCACAGTATCATGACCACACATAAATAGAAATCAATATATCATTATTTATGTTTAATATCAAATAATCATTTATAATTAAAAATTATACATCATTAGAATCCCAAAATATTAGTTTCTGAAAGACCTCTCAGTAGCATGCTTAATGTAAATATATGGTTTCTGTATTTTGAGTTGCAATAACAATAATATATTGTCCTTGTTACATAGTAACTGATTCAATTTCATCTTCACACACGTACTGTATATCTTTTGTGGTTTTATCACTTTACTAAGGTAAATATGCATATGAATGACTATACAACGTACAGTTCAAGTCACATGGTGTCCAGAACAGATTGAATTCGATACAGACAGACTTCATAAAACTTTGTTTACATGGTTTTGTAATAGGTCAACAGAAATGGTTTCTGAATATAACACTTAAAAAAAAAAATTACCCCTTTTAACAAAACTTTGATACTTTGTACTAAAATGACTAAATATAAAATGAGGAAGATTGTAATAAGACTACTATAATTCTCACCACCTGAAACATTACAAGGTGAGATTCAAGTAAAATAAAAATATTATTAATTATGTGATTGTTCTATTATGAATTATGTAAATGAGGTAGGGTTATACATTTGGTTCATCAAGCATTGATAAAATAAAGCAAATTCAAAGCCTTATAAAACTATAAAAAAAATCATTTGGTTAAGCTAGACAGAAATGGTTCAATAATATGTAATAAGGCACATACGAGAAAAAGCAAAACTAAGTTTTGAACTATTTGAGGTTTTGCTTCGGAATGTTATATTCCATCCTTGCTAATACAATTTACAAAATTTTTAGATCTTAAAAGTCATACTTATTTCAAATTAGAATTTAAGCACAACTTATCATCTTTTTTTCCAACCAAAATTAAAATTTTATATTGTATACGGTTATTAAATTATAATAAACTAAATTTTGACCTTTGTATTTTATCTTTATGCTACAGAACAAGACCATTATTGTTTACTTCAAAGAATTTCATTCTCAACTTTCTATTTTTCAAATGAAATGCTGAAAACTGGGGTTAGTCTGATGACCAAAAAAAAATTTGTTTGTTTGTTTGTTTGGCCTACATAAATTTTTTTATAAGTACACTATTTCAAATAAGAATGTATCAAAATTTTTTTTTTTCTTTTACTATGTAACAATATCATTTATCAAATGAAAAGCCTATAAATACTTGGGTGGTTCAACGCAGCAATTTATTTGATAAAAATGCAAAATATAAAATTTCATTAAAACACATAGTGATCAAGAAAAAAACTATTTTCTAAATATGTGAAAAGTGAAAATACCCAATTTTCACCAATATCATAATGTTTACACATTTTCTTAAGGATTGTCAAAACTGGTGGTAGAGGAATGTTTAAGAGTACAAAAACTGACCAATGACAAGAACAAAATATACATAATGAACATAAAAATTAAAAATCTCTTTCGTATCGATCCTTTAGACATTTGAAAACTTGAATGTTTATCTGGATTGGGACTATTATACAATTGCTTGATCGTTTTGATTTGTAATTTTCTTTAAAAAAATACTTTGCTGTGTAAAAAACAGCAATAAAAATATTTTTTTCCTTCACTCACATGAAAATACTCCAAATGTGTGGCTTTCAGCATTAAATTTGACATATGTTTGATTTGATTTTACATCATATCATTTCATTACAATGATACTGAATCAATGTTGTAAACTATTAATTGTAAAAGATCTAATTTGACTCTCCTAGTCATCTGGATACATTGGACAGTGTATTTGTAGAATCAGTCCCTGTAGGGCCTGCTGCCTGGCTATCATCAGTACTATGATCGTCATAAACCACTACTTTAAATATAGGTCCTGACTGCAGTAAAACTTCGATAGCATCCTCACGATGAAGTTCTTTTAATTTCGAAATCAACTGACCGATGGTTGGATTAGTACACACCTTTGACCATTCCACTAACACTCTGTCCGTCTTACTTTCTATATTCCCGTCAATAGTATCTAAAACAGGAAGTAAATGTTCAAGACCTAACGACACTGCTAGAAGACACCAATCCCGACCCATCTTATCGACAGGATCAAGCACTTGAGCAAGGCGTTGTCTTGAGTGTATTGTTAAATGAGATACCGGTAAATCTACTCCGAGACAGATATTTTGGACTATTTCGTTTGAACCCATGCAAACAATGTCTGAGAATTCTTCTTGTTTTGAATCACACAGAGTCAAGCATGTTTTTTTCTCTAACTGCATCTTTATCATTTCCTTCGGTGAATATGCACGGACATTTCGATGGTGGTCCTTAAGTTCCTGACTACTAAGAATATGTCGTTCTGTACAAACTCCAGGACAAACATTAAGTATCACCTGTTCTACAACATTGATAAAATCCTCTAGAAAATAGAAAATTTGCGTTCTCTTATCATTCGGTCCTCTTACTTTGATTTCAATACAGTCAAACATTGGGTCCATACTTATCATTCCTTCTAAATCTGCACAACAGTATTTGGACCCATAATGCCACTGATACAACTCAGCCTCGGGATCTTCAGTCTCATGGAGAACAGTCCGTCTTAAAAGAACCTGTACCCTTGGAAACAAATGAACTAACTGGTTCACATAAAACGGACTTGACTGTATTCGGACCCCACCATATACACCGTCTCCAAACCTTTTGGTATCTCTCTGCCAGAGACCATTTAAAGTTTCTACAAAATTTAGACATGGGAATTCATATTCTATTTCTCCATCTGAGTCACACTGAGTACAAACTTCCAATGTTTCTAAAACTTGCAACAAGTCTAAGGCATCAGTCTCTGGATACATCAACTGGAAATCATCTACGGTAAAACAGCCAGTGATGCGAGACTGGATGATTTTCTCGTGTGAAATCAGATTTCCTATGATATCACTACCGAGCCAGTGTGGATTTAGTACAACGAGATCCTGGCCAGTATCACTTTCAAGGTAGATCACCTGAAATAAACAAGTGTACATTTGTAAATCACATTATTGGTGAACTTAACTCATGATAGGTATGACATGCTATTCCAAATCTATTCCAGGTGTCAAAGTTGGTTTTTGTTAAAAAATCACAAATTTTGAGCAAAAATACACTAATTTATTGAAACACGACGATATTAAAATGTAGAACATATCCTGATTTACTTCCTGGTGTAAACATTTTGGTGAAAATTGTTAACCCCATAATCATGTATTGCTTTGGTCGATTCAATACTAATTATTTGTTTTGTGTCTCACAGAAAAAATGTACAAGCAGGGTCCTTCCTGAAATGTCAGTTTTCTAATATGTATTGTTATTCAATAACAATAAACACAAAGTCATAATTCTAATATTGCCTTTAATAATGCAAAATCGGTATGTTGACCTCCAGGTAACTTTCTGTGTTCTGCGTCTTTTGGTTGCTGTCTCATTGGCAACTTCTGCTCATATCAAAATAAATCAAACAATTTCCCTGTGAGACAGTCTTCTTCTTTGGAAGAAGTTCACAGAATAAGTATCACTATATGACGATTTTATAAGATGTGGCCCAACAAACACTTTACCAATTTTTATCAATTATGGACTTTTGACGAGGTCCATATGTTATATATGGACCTGTTGAGATTATATTGACTGAGGATGAAGTCCGAGGTTCAATATAATCCAACTGGTCCATATATAACTTATTGACTGAGTGAAAGTCCTTAATTTATGTATAACATATGTAGTAGTGTTTTATGGAAATGGACTTTAATGTTTTTTCTATGTATTTTATATTGTATTATGCAAGATTTTTAATATTGACCAGCAATATAAATATATATATATAGGCATTTATATATTATATATATAAATAGAAACATAGTGTTTTTAAGATTTTTAATATTGACCGTCAATATATATATAAATAGAAACATAGCGTCCATATACTTAAATACCCTTTGAATCATATCATCGTAATAACCAATGAAAAAAGTTGAATGCAATGGTATACCATTGTAATTTTTGGTATTATGGCTCTTTGTTCATGTATCTTAATAATGCTTAGTTTCCCAAATAGAGGAACTTTGTGTTTGTATTTTGTGTCTGTTGTTCAAAGTTTTAATCATAAACACAATAACATGGTGTAGTGTGAGCCACTGCTCATTTAATTATATCCAGCTCTTGCCTTTGAGTCAATAAATACATATACACTGTTTCTGTAGTCTGGTTTACTGTTTGGTGATTACTGTTAACCCTATTTATGTATTATCAAACAATGTGGAGGCAGACAACAGAAAGTAGATAAGCACATATTTGAGCTTACCAATATCAAATCAATATTAAACCGGGTACCAAAGATCACCACCAAGCTATGACTTGTAGTAGTTGTTAATAAAAATGCAATAAAAATTGCTTAAAAAGACATCAAAGTTCAGAACATGTTTGTGCAGAACAGGAAGAAGATAATTGACAGATCTGAAAATATGTGTCACAGTATAACTTACCATTATGAAACATGTTAGGAAATAGGAATAAGATCTAATATGCAAGTACTGAGCAAAATATGAAAGGTATGTTTTGCAGATGAACATAGGTAACCAGTATAAAAATTCAGTATTACTAAATTTCATATAGACACCTTTCGAATTTATTCAGATATCATATTAAGAAGTTAAAGCGAAAACCCATCTATTCTTTAAACTTTTGTATGGGACACTCCCCTTGCTTATAATCTGTTCAGCTGCATTTTTTGTCTAAGCAATGTATTGTGTAGTTCAAGGGGAAAACTCACCTCTCCTGTAAACTGTAACTGTTTAACCAAATGCTTCATGTGTTCATCACCAGCCAATGGATTGACCTTTGCCCTCACATAATCAATAAACTGCTGCCAGGACAATACAGGAAATGATGAAGATGCTCGTCTCCATGACACTAGCTGCAACACCATGGCATCAAAAAATCTACTGGACTTTGGTAAATCCTAAAAAGAGCAGACATTAATGTAGCCTGTGTCTCTATACTCACATATGCTGCATTATTAATCTATACTTGTGTATTCAAAACCATAATTTGTGTGTTTACAACTTATCAAAATGATCACTCTTTTATCTTGTAAGTATTTCATATCAATTTCAACACAATCTTACATAACACAACAATTTTTTTTTAAATTTTCTTCAGGTCATGTAAACAAGTCCTTTAAAAATTTACTTTTATTTTAGAATTTACACTTATTGAAGTAAAGTGATGAATCGACAGCTATAAATATTTCATCTAAGCCAGGGGACACAATTTAAGTACACTTACTTTTGAAATTTGACCTTTTACCAAACACAGCTGATGTTTAATTGCTTTCATATCATGAGATGAGGCAGCATGAGCATCCATTATAAATATCCTGTCCACTAGCTCTATATCTGACCCAAACATCTCCTGGGCTCTGTTATATACTGTCCTTATATTGTCTGTGGCAGTATGCTCTCCTCTAGAATTCTTAGGACATCTCTCTTTGTCAGCATGTGTGGCTATCAGTAAGATCTTTGGTCTAACAGGCAGTCTTCCACTGTACCCTAAAATTAATTTCATAGACTATATATCAAGACAGATTGTTACTAAATCTATAACAAAATTGATAAGGGAAGACTTAGAGGTTATGTTTCCAGTATGGACATCAACATCTGTTAAACTTTGTGAATAGGTCACTTTAAGGGGAATCAATAATGGTAAGTCAATGACATTTAATATGCAGTTGTATAAGCATTGGCATGGAAATTATTTGGCTTCACTTCCTCAGTCACGGTCCTTGGACTTGAAATTTTGCAAAGTTCACATGTTAAGGTGTTGCCATTTTAATTTCAACATTTGCATTATACTACATGAATCAAAATTAAATACAGGTGGGACATATCTCTGTGTCAACAGATTATATCATGTTCATTTGTCTATTTTCAAAACAAATGATATTGAGTTACTTGTATTCTTGGACTATTTGATTGTTCAGTATTGTTTGCCTTTCAGTAATTGCGGATATACAATTGTTACAATCCCTTTTAAAGAAGTTGGTTCAGATACCAGAATTACCAGGTAATTCACAATTATTTTACCGCAAAATCCATTCACTTCTTTAAACTTATTTCTTAAAAATTGGTAAGTTCAAATTCAATATAATCATGAACTATTTCAAAATTTTAATGAGCTGAAATCAATAAAACAAGAGTGAAACAGTAAGATTCAGGCCATGTAACAGCTAGAATCTGGTTATGTAACAACTAGATTCAGGCCATGCAACAGCTTGATTCAGTCCATGCATCAGCTAGATTCAGGCCATGTAACAAAAAGATTCAGGTTGTGTAACAGCAAGAATCAGACCATGTAACAGCTAGATTCAGGTCATGTAACAGCTTAATTCATTTCAGGTAACAGCTAGAATCAGGTTTAGTTTCAACTAGATTCAGGCCATTAAAAACTAGATTCAGATTCAGGCCATGAAACAGCAAAATGCAGGCCATGTAACAATTAAATTCAGTTAGTAACTACTTTTAAACACTACTAACATGAAAATCCTAAATTCATTGCACCACTACACTTTAATCTAAAAACAACAAAAAAAGACCACCATTATTAGATTTTACACCAAAAACAAAGTACCTTTAATTACATCATAACTGGTATTTGTTTCATCTGAAATATCTGAATTCAAAGAAATGAGCTAATTTATATTTCTGATCATTCTTCTGTCTAAAATTCAAACTCTAAATTCTTTCTATGAATTTTTTCAAAAATCCCTCTAATTGAAATGACATATTGAGGATTTAAAAATTGTCATTTTCAATACAGATCGTTTATATGTAAAAAGCCTACTGTCGAAAATATTAAAATAACAAAGTTTAGAATTATCTAATTTTGTCAAATATACATAAAAACCAATTTAGGAATTCCCAAATTCTCTTGTTAACATTATTTGAAATATTACATAATACAATTATAGAAGTATAAAAAATAACTTTATTTTGAAAATGGAAAAGCTTATAATGACAACATCTAAGCTAACATCAAACATTAAGAGGAATCAAAATACCTAAATACTGGATTATTGCTGAAATAAAGATTTAAAGAATGAAAAAAAAACCAATGTAGGTTACATTGACCTTCTTTTGTTGGATTGTATCAAAACATCAAGTTATATATTTTCCTAAAACCAAACTTGCACATCTAACATAAGTAAAGAAGATGTGTAGTTTAACTTGGATATATGCTGGTAGGTTGCTTTGGTATCTAGTACCAATTTTTCGTGGATTTCATGGAATAGGCGAACTAGAAATTTAAATGTTCAAAAAAGGTACAAATTTCTTATAGGATTGCATGTAAAATTCCAATTTTACGTACAATCCTACAAGAAATTTGTACGTAGTTTGAAAACCATGACATCAAATATCAACGAAAATATGAGTTTTCTTCAATCCACGCAAAATCAGTACACATAAAAATAATGAATCCACAGTATCTTAAATGATGTACCTAGTATAAAGTATAAAATGTACATTAAAGTACCCCAATTTTTGACTTTTTCGCCTATTATATCTGTTTGTTTTGCTCACACATTGTTGTCAATATAATGGAATGCTATATGACTGTCATACAAGTGAGAGGTTTAGCTAGCTATAAAACCAGGTTTAATCCACCATTTTCTACATAAAGAAATGCCTGTACCAAGTCAGGAATATGACAGTTGTTTTCCATTCGTTTGATGTGTTTGAGCTTTTGATTTTGCCATTTGCTAAGGGACTTTCCGTTTTGAATTTTCCTTGGAGTTCGGTATTTTTGTTAATTTACTTTTTTCTTCTATAGACTGGAGGCTGTTAACACTTCCAAAGATGTCAACTTACTCTGATTAATATGACCGAAGATTACCTACTTTACTTATCTGAAACTAAATCTGAAAGATCACTTAGTATCTGAATTCAAATATAAAATCTAAATCATGAAGGCAAGAAATACAAGTCACAGTGACCTTTTTTGGCTACAGTTGTAAGCTCCCCCTGATGCATTTTACAAGTTAAAAAGTATTTCAGACCATGACAGCATACTTAAAGCATATATCTTTTTTGCTAATCAAAATTTACCTAATGGTAGTTGTGGCGAAATCCTGCCTTTAATGAACCCCAGCCAGAATATGACTTGGGCCACTTGCTCAGCAACATCATCACACAAGTTAAACATCACTATGTTTATACAGTTTGTATCTCCCATGAAATGGTCATATAACATGTAGTAAGGTTCATAACCAGAGAAATCCCATATACTCAGTTCTCCTATTCCTGTAAAATAAACAACATTAAGTAAGGTTCATAACCAGAGAAATCCCATATACTCAGTTCTCCTATTCCTGTAAAATAAACAACATTAAGTATGGTTCATAACCAGAGAAATCCCATATACTCAGTTCTCTTATTCCTGTAAAATAAACAACATTTAGTAAGATTCATAACCAGAGAAATCCCATATACTCAGTTCTCCTATTCCTGTAAAATAAACAACATGTAGTAAGGTTCATAACCAGAGAAATCCCATATACTCAGTTCTCCTATTCCTGTAAAATAAACAACATTAAGTAAGGTTCATAACCAGAGAAATCCCATATACTCAGTTCTCCTATTCCTGTAAAATAAACAACATTAAGTATGGTTCATAACCAGAGAAATCCCATATACTCAGTTCTCCTATTCCTGTAAAATAAACAACATTAAGTAAGGTTCATAACCAGAGAAATCCCATATACTCAGTTCTCCTATTCCTGTAAAATAAACAACATTTAGTAAGGTTCATAACCAGAGAAATCCCATATACTCAGCTCTCCTATTCCTGTAATATAAACAAAAGTAAGGTTCATGGGTTGGAAGATGAATTAATATTGTCATACTTTTCTCAATACTTAATCATCTAATCATTTATACATCATGACACAATAAATTTCAACAGAAATCATGAAGATAGTACTTTTACTGTTTTTGTTTGAATTTGTAAAACAATTACTACTTTTTTCCTTTCCTTCATGTCTGTCCTTCTTTAATAATAATGAGGGGCATCGGTGGCCGAGTGGTCTATGTAGTTCCACCACTGTATCACTAGACTGTCAACACTGAGGTTGTAAGTTTTAACCCCGCACATGGCAGGTGCATTTGACTCCAAACTTAATTGACTAAGATGTTTGGTTTTCCTGCCAAAAATCGTGGTTCTCTCCAGACTTCCATCACCAATAAAAACTGACAACCACGATACAGCCAATAGTGTCGAAAGTGGCGTTAAACACCAACAGTCAAATCAATCAATCAATCTTTAACTTATGATTTTTGATGCTCCATGGTATCTTAAATTCTATCAAAAATATACTTAAATGAAAGTATTTTATACAGTAATCAATGAGTGTTTTAATCAAAGACTTTGATATCATAACTCTGAAATGACAAAGGTCAAAATTGAAGAAAAAAATATGGGGCTATTACACAGCACTCCCTTATCAACTCTGTCAGATTGAAAGAAATCTGCCATAACATACCTAAGTGCAAGATATGTTTAACTGTCCATCTTTGTAGGTGGTACGAAAGCAGAAGAAAGAGACACAGAAAAAGTTTTGTCAGTAACACAGATAACGATACTGTAATGTTGGTTATAACATACCTGATATGTTTGTCTGTTGTACATTAATGCCCTTGGTGTATGTTGGATTACTGACACTATATGTCAATGGTATAGGAAGACTGTATTGTCGCGACAGCTTGCCATCTCTTCCTGAATACAAAATAAAGCACCAGTAGTATATTTCACACAATTATTTCATTCAAAAAAAACTTTCACCAATAATAAATTTTATTTTATTTTAATCTGAACCAAAATATATGAAGCAGAATTGATTTTTTCCTATAAAAGCAGAGGTCTTAAACTACAATCCACTTCTTTAAGTGAAAAATATTAATTTCTGCAAAAGAATCCTTGTATATCAGCAAAATACTTACTTAAAAGTTGCAGTGATGTCCAAGTATGTTATAATTGACAGTACTGGGGATATTTATAGACATCAGCATTTCTTATGCCTTTTTTGTAAGTTTATAAATTTCTCCTTTTTGAATAATCAGATAAAGTTGTCTCCCCTTAAGTTATCACAATATATTTACCTTTAGTTAAACTCGTAGCTGATTGGCTGGACAGTTTAGTAGATGACCTCCTGAAGAATCCAGAAAACATGCCACATTTCATGGACTCAATAAATGTAGTCTTCCCTACACCACTAGCACCAAATATTTTCAGTTTGATTCTAGATAATGCTTGAGGTAATGGCACCAACTGGCTTACATAGACCTCTCCTCTGTCCTGAAAGAAGATTAAACAATTTCTAAACTGATTCTTCAATGTTTATTTTTTAAGGTTTAACTGAAGGAGATTTTATGCTTACTTTGCTCATAATCTATGAATATTTTGAAATTCATTAATTTATTTTCTTTTTAAAAGTTACTTAAATAAACAGAATGAATATATAGTCCATTTTGTTACTCTGTACAGATCAATGATCCCCCTTTATTTAATACAATTATCACCCAGCCTTTTGACTTTACTGAGGATATCAGAGATGTCTATGTAAAGATTGTTGGGATTTCTACACACTGATATTAAAATGTGAACACTTTTGGCAAGTGAGCACAGCGAACGAGCAAAAAAGCCTCACATTGTGTAGAGTCACTGATATTTTACGATATCAATATGTAGAAAACCAGATCATCTGTTTATCTTTCAATTTCTGGTCTTTTTATCCACCCTTACAGTTTTTGACGTCATTAAGCTTGATAAAGTCTCCTTACATATTGTGATGTCACTGATAATGTCTGCTCATGTCTTAAAAGTCATGATACGAGAATTCTGGAGCGTTTGAGCAGTGATATAGGTGAAAGGAAGGACAATGAATATAATTATCACTCACCCCTTTGACTTTACTGAGGATATCAGAGATGTCCGTATAACCTTGAGCCAATGCCATTATTTCAGCTGTAACACCATCCTGTTAATTAATTATTTTCCATTGTAAACATAATGTATTATAAATCATATTAAAACTTCCATCAATATACCTTATTCTCATCAAAATCTCAATAAGTTATCAAAAAGCTTTCTTGAAATATCTATTCTATAAAATATAGATGCGTTATTGTTTAACAAAAATGCTCCCTATGTACAGTATATATTTCCAGGGTCAGTTTGCCAGTAAAAACATTCAAGATAAACACCTATCATTCTGTTTACATCAATAAAATATTCTTGGCAAACTCTTATTTTTTTTGGAGTATAATGCCAGAAAAACATTTTGACATTCATATGCAATTATGCCTGTTGCTACTATTTATTCATTCATCATTTACACACATAAAATACCTTGTAGTATAAGTCTGGATTAGCTCCCCTTAATAACAATGCCCTGACTATTTCTGAATGTCCATCTTTGCTTGCTATATGTAATGGTGTAAGTCCTACCTAAAAGCATTAAACAAAAAAAATATCTGAATTATTTTAAACAGATAGAGGCAAAATAATATCAAGAGTATCTTAATATCCTAATTTGATCACCAGGCAAAAATATGGCATTTTGATATATATATTTACCTTTTTCACTTTTTACCAAAAAAACATCTAACGTTCATAAAAATCATCATTAAAGGAAAATAGCTCAAGTACAGACCGAATGATGGTTTAAGTCATAAGCTTCTTTTTTTTTTATCTTGTATTGCAGATGACTTTGCTGTTCATAGTATTTTTTATCTTGTATTGCAGATGACTTTGCTGTTCATAGTATATGTCTATCAATTATACTTTTCAAGATAATTTTTAAAGACAATATTTACAACTTTTTTTTCACAAATTTAATATGCATCTTTACAAATCTACATATATATCTAGTTTTCATTTCAGAATACTTCAGACATAAAAGTGATCAATGCACTATTTAAAAAAATTTTTTAAGGTCAAGTTTAACACACCAAAGTTGTATGAAAAAACCTATAAAAAGCCATGCCATCACCCTTTTACTGTAAATTTAAGTTAGAAAAACAATGTATGTCAGGGTTTTAGTCTATATAGAAGAGAGAGGATATAATTACCTTATTGACAACATTAGGTTGACATCCGTAACCACACATCGTCTGAACCACTGCTGTCATACCTTCTTTTACAGCACAGTGTAAAGGGCTGTCACCAGACTCCTACAAAACACAAATAGTTTACTTTAAAACAACAATGATTCCATGATTCACACCTTTTGATAGGAGAGCCACACATGCCGTTTATTTCTCTATAAAACAATTAGTCTTGCAAAAATCGGAAAGCATGCACATAACATCTTACATATTTCATTACTGATTTTAAACTTTGCTCATATTTTAAGTGTAAGACTTGATAAATAATGAATTATTCTTGCTGATTTTTTCAATAAATTAGTTGACCTCTAGATTTCTTTTCGGTCTTTTGTGCTTTTATGTTGCTGTCTCATTTATATTATCCCCATATCTTCTTTCCTTCATAGTTTTAATTTGACTAAAGTTAAATGAAATCATTTATAAACTAAAGTGCAAGACACTAAGCTTTCATACTGTTTTAGATGAAAGCACTGAAAAAATTGCTTTGATGCCAACAGTACTTATCATTTACAATTAAGTTCAAAATTAGACTGATCATATGAGTGCATAAACTTTTTAAATATTTTTTGAATATTGGGCTGCCAAAAAATGAAAGAACTTGAAAATCATTAGTCGATTAAAGAAAGAAAATATGAATCAATTATTTTATTTAAAGTTTCTGATGTTAATAAGAGATTTATCAATCACCTTATCAGTTGTAAAAACTACAATGACATAATCCTCAAGCCTCAAAATAGAAAAAATAATTGTGAACTCATTCTACCCATTTTTCTTGATATAATGTAAAATTTATTTTGTTTTAAATACAATCTGCCTCAAAGTCAAATTGATTATACAAGTGGTACATGTTATCATTAATCATTAAACAATTGATTTGTTTGTTTTCATTGCTGTAGTTTTAAGGGTAGTGCTTATGAAATGTATTTATTCTCTTAACAATGTGTGAAGTTTTCAGTATGCTTGGAACTGAAGAGGGTATCTTCTCTAAAGTACATATTTACAGGTCAGAGATCACTAGCCAAGATCTATCATTCTCCAATGGAATTCATGGATTAATATTTACTACATTTCTTTTGAAAATAAAATAAATTTTAAAAATTCCAATCTGATTAAACACAGATCCTGTGTCCAACTTGACTATAAAGGCTTACAAGGCTTCCAAGATGGCCACCATAAGTGTTCCAAACTATCTGATAGGTGTTATATATATAACTGTTGTACCTTTTTCATTTTTCTGATATTTTGATTTTGATATTAATATACAAGTTTTGCCAAATTTTCCCTTTATATAAACCATACAGACCTTTTCTACAGTATCAATATTACATCCAGCATGAAGTAATAACATAGCTATGTTGCTGTGTCTACGGTTACAGGCCAAATGTAATGCTGTGCATCCCATCTGTAAAACAAATATTATAGAGTCAACAATAATCTCCTTAACAGAAAGAGTGAATGATAATCTGGCCAAAGTAAAAGGTTTCAGATAAACATCAACTTACACTTTAAATTTTGAAGCACCATCGTCCTGAATGAGCTTGGTTTCAAATTATTGTGGATTCATTTATTTTCGTGGATTGAGGAAAACTTGCATTTTCCAGGAATATTTGATTTCATGGTTTTGCCAAAGTCTGCGAACAAGTCTATAGAAAATTTGTAATTTGTTGAACATTTAAATTCCTGATCACCTCTATCCACGATAAATAATGAATCCAAAGTAAACTGTGTCTATAAAATGTGATGGCATACGGCAAATTTGACCATTATATAACTGACATATTGTTCAATCAAATTCAATCAATTAGCCTCAATTCTACTTTCAGTATAACCTTGTATATATTTCATCCTTAAAAATGAAGTACTGTAAATTAGTGAATGTTTTTCTTTGCAAAAAATGTGCAGGATAGGTTTTGAAAAAATAATTAGCAGCTGCGTCAAGAGCACAGATTATTGTGTACATTGAAATTGATGCATCATTAAAATGAGATATTAAAAAGGCATATAATCAGAAGCAAATAAATTAGCTCTTTTAAAATATCACAAGGATACCCATAGGCATATAAATATTGTGTCAAAAATGATTGTTAAAAGTCCCCTAACACACAACAACACAAGAAATTTTCAAAATCAAAAGCCAGTCTACATTGATCAATCCCAACAAAAGTTTTAAGTTTGTAGTAAGCATACTAGAACTAGTGCATGACATTTAAAAAATGCCTTTTATTTATCTGACCATCAAAGGTACATAACTCTGGAATGAAATATCGGAAATTTAAAAAATAAAACAGCGTGTCATGTTCATCAACTCCATAAATTCCGATAATTATGTTAAGTTCCCAGTAAATTAATCCAAGCAGCAAACTTAAGTTATGGTACAACATCTGAATTTTTTTTACTTAAATCTGACAAAGTCTTGAAACCTATAACCCTCCCTGATAATCCCATGATTTGGACTTTTATTTACTTGTCTATCTGGTTAATGCAAGCACCTCTTCTAAGTATGCTCTGACCATTCCTGATGACCCCTTAGCCTGATTTTTTCATACCTTGTCTATCTGGTTGATTGGAGCACCACTATCTAACAGGGTTTTCACACTGTCTAGGTATCCCCTTGCTGCGGCACAATGTAATGATGTTTCTCCATCCTACGAACAAACAAAAAACGTTATATCAAATAATTAAAACAAAAAACAAGTTTCATCTTAGCTTAAATTGTTTCTATACAAAATAGCCCATGACTGATGTAAAATGTTTCTTTAATATATATTTTGCGTTACAACTATAAATGTCTGTTCCTATGTGGATTACATACATCACAATATAAAACCATTTTTTTCTCAAAATAAAAAAAAACATGATGACAAATCGTAGCATAAGAAAACAAAGTAGAAGTGGTAAGGTGAACCTAAGCTCCCAACACTGCAAATTGTATGATGGCTCATAGAAAACCCGGAAATTGCTGAACCTGACTTGGAGCAGCAGGTTTCTATCTTGAAATCATAAAAGATCCTTTTTCAAGTATATAAATCATTCATCGTTTGATTACTTATTCATTTTACTCCACGAATATGTGACTTATATTCATATATGTAAGATTTCTTCCTCTTCCTTTTTTTCCATAAAAGTTTCATTTTAATTTAGCAAGGGAATCTCAAGATTTCATCTGTGAAGTATTTGTTTAAGATCCTGAACAGATGGACGGAAGTATAAATGGACAAAGCAGCTACTATAAGCTCCTCATATAATCTTCTGGGGGTAGCATAAAAACAAGCATATTCTTTTGAAATAAACATGAAAAGTGACACAGGTGTATGTATCGTCTGAATAATACACATTGTCATCCCTGTTCTAGACTTGCTACATGTCTCTTCCTTATTTTTTTTTTTTAAAAGTTTAATTCAGTATACTGGCAGTTTTCAGTAAACATATAAATTAGTAAGAAAGAAATAAAAGAAAGGGAATTGTAGCAAGTCTATCCCTGTTCCTATTTTCTAACATTTATGTTGGAACGTTTTCCCACTTCCATCTAATTCTTGCCATCTTTTCATATAAGTATAAGAACCTTGTCACATGATTAGGATGATATTGATCATTAGACTAATGAACAAATTTTATACAAAATTATACAAACTAAATATTTGTATGTAAGTGTTTTAGTAACTACCTTATTCTGTTTGTTAAGATCAGCTCCACCAGAAGACAGAGAAGCTACAATCTGATTAAACCCGTGCCAGGCAGCACTGTGTAAGGCAGTATCACCTAACTAGATATATAAAACAAAAGTTAATATGTCAGCTAAAAAGTTAATATGTCAGCTAAAAAAGATAAAAGGTAAAAAGAGTGAAAGAAATAAAAGTGTATTAGTTCAATAGACTTCAAAATGGGTACCACAAAGGGCTTCCAAAACGGCCATATTTGCCAGACAATCTGTTCTTTCAATAAATGTCCAGAACCAGTAACACTGAAATGAACCTATACAAAAGTTCATGTGATAAAGAGAAAAAAAAATTCATTTATTAAGACCATATCCTTACACTTGATCCCCTATCATTGCGACCTAGATTGGCCTGAATGCCTCAAGTTGCAAAAGCAAAAGAGATTAAAAGTTGTTGTAAAAAAAAATGTCTGGCTGGCTCAATTTTGTTTTGGAAGCCTTGGTACTATGTGTATAATATTTAATTAATCTTGTTTCAAATGTGTTAATCAAAATTTTGCAACAAGGATTTTAATCATGATTTTAATATAACACTCTTCTTTGTAAACTAAGCCATGTATTAATTCAAACAACACATATGATATATGTGCACAACGTCACAATTAAACAAGTGTTTGGTATAAAGATATGGACAAATATCATCAGTATTATTGTTAAGATGAGCATGAAATAATAATTTTTTAAACAACGATACTGATGAACATGTATGTAGCTAAAAGAGTCAAAACAAGTCAGTTTGGAAAGACATGCTGAAAACTTCACTAAAAATTGTATGATTCATCTTTTACATATTTACCTTTCATTTGAAAAGTCTTAATAAGTGTCACAGTTTAGGTTTATCTCTATTCATCATTTATATTTTTTCTGCAGATAAATATTTTTTTTTTTATAACACCAAAATGAAGGTTTTCAGCATGTATTTTCAAATCAAAGGACACCAGGTCTACTGCTATAAGTTTAATGAAGCAAATAAAAATTGTTATGAAGTAAAATGTATATAAAGAAAATGACAGGACTTACCGTATCTTGCAGGTTCAGGTCAGCACCTTCAGACACAAGATAAGCAATAACAGCCGAATGTCCATACCGAGCTGCTACATGTAAGGCAGATTCTCCAGACTATCAAATATACAGAAAATCATTCAAAACTTTAAACTTATTAATTTTTTCAAAGATTATAGCACATTAACTAATGTGATTTCAAAAATTAAAAATAAATAAGCTGCCATAATTTATATAAATTCATCATGGCATTTATAAAATCAAATAAAACATTTCAAACAAATTTCCCAAAACTTTGACAGAAGAAAGCACAATGGTTTTAAAAAATAAATGGGGAATGTGTCCATTGGACACAGATGATGCCCCCTGTTGCATATTACGTTATAAAGGGACATAACTCAAAAACTGTAAAAGTGACGCTAGCCAAATTTGTACTTGATCGGAGTTTTGTGGTAATAAGCATTGTTTATAAGTTTCATAACATTTAGTTGAGGCAAACTTAAGTTAGAGAACAGAAACGAAAAATTCAGCAATTTTTCCTTTTGTAAAGGGGCATAACTCTAGAACGGTAAAAGTGATGCCACCAAAATTCAAACTTGATCTGTGTTTTATGGTAATAAGCATTGTGTTTCATAACATTTGGTTGAGGCAAAATAAAGTTAGAGAACGGAAACCAATTTTGGGACGTACAGACAAGGGTAAAACTTAATGCCCCCTCTGCTATGGCGGGGGCATAAAAATAATAAAAATAAAATATGAAAGTAAGGATGTTCGCTCTTCTTCTTTTTCATTTTTTGTGAGATAATTATAATCCTCTGGATTTATCCATGTAGTGCCATAAAACATTTTGCCCACTAACCCCTACTTTTCTTTTCATAATTAAATTACATATACCGGTAGATTAAAAAGTCGTTTTTTTAAATCTTATAAAATCCCTGTCATTTTTTCATAGTTTCTGAAAGAAAAAAGTGCCAATGTCAAATGTATAATAAAATGCTTTGCTGGGCGCAGCTTGATACGACCGCAGAGGTCGAACCCTGAACAGTTGGGGCAAGTATGGACACAACATTCAAGCTTGATACAGCTCTGAATTTGGATTGTGATTAAATATTTGACACAGCATAGGTTTCTGACACAGAAAGAATGTGGTCTAAGAACTTCAATTTTTTTGATTTACCTATTATGGTCCAATGTCCAAAATCAAAATACATGGTTAGATTCAGCATATCAAAGAACCCCATATATTCAATTTTTGTTGAAATCAAACAAAGTTTAATTTTGGACCCCAACTTGGACAAACTTGAAAACTGGTCCCATAATCAAAAATCTAAACACATGTTTAGATTCAGCATATCAAAGTACCCCAAGAATTCAATTTTTGTTAAAATCAAACTAAGTTTAATTTTGGACCCTTTGGACCTTAATGTAGACCAATTTAAAAAACGGGACCCAAAAATAAAAATCCAAAAACACGGTTAGATTTGGCATATCAAAGAACCCCAATAATTCAATTTTTGATGAAATCAAACAAAGTTTAATTTTGGACCCTTTTGACCTCAATATGAACCAATTTGATAGCAGGCCCACAAAATAAAAAATCTAAATACATGGTAAGATTCAGCATATCAAAGAACCCCATATATTCAATTTTTGTTGAAATCAAACAAAGTTTAATTTTGGACCCCAATTTGGACCAACTTGAAAACTGGGCCAAAAATCTAAAATCTAAATACATGTTTAGATTCAGCATATCAAAGAACCCCATATATTCAATTTTTGTTGAAATCAAACAAAGTTTAATTTTGGACCCCAACTTGGACCAACTTGAAAACTGGTCCCATAATCAAAAATCTAAACACATGTTTAGATTCAGCATATCAAAGAACCCAAAAAATTCAAATTTTGTTAAAATCAAACTAAGTTTAATTTTGGACCCTTTGGACCTTAATGTAGACCAATTTAAAAAACGGGACCCAAAATTAAAAATCTAAATACACGGTTAGATTTGGCATATCAAAGAACCCCAATAATTCAATTTTTGATGAAATCAAACAAAGTTTAATTTTGGACCCTTTTGACCTCAATATGAACCAATTTGATAGCGGGCCCACAAATAAAAAATCTAAATACATGGTAAGATTCAGCATATCAAAGAACCCCATATATTCAATTTTTGTTGAAATCAAACAAAGTTTAATTTTGGACCCCAATTTGGACCAACTTGAAAACTGGGCCAAAAATCTAAAATCTAAATACATGTTTAGATTCAGCATATCAAAGAACCCCATATATTCAATTTTTGTTGAAATCAAACAAAAAAAAAGTTTAATTTTGGACCCCAACTTGGACCAACTTGAAAACTGGGCCCATAATCAAAAATCTAAACACATGTTTAGATTCAGCATATCAAAGAACCCCAAGAATTCAATTTTTGTTAAAATCAAACTAAGTTTAATTTTGGACCCTTTGGACCTTAATGTAGACTAATTTAAAAACGGGATCCAAAATTAAAAATCTAAATACACGGTTAGATTTGGCATATCAAAGAACCCCAATAATTCAATTTTTGATGAAATCAAACAAAGTTTAATTTTGGACCCTTTTGACCTCAATGTGGACAAAGTTGATAACGGGGCCCAAAAATCAAAAATCTAAATACATGGTTAGATTCAGCATATCAAAGAACCCCATATATTCAATTTTTGTTGAAATCAAACAAAGTTTAATTTTGGACCCCGATTTGGACCAACTTGAAAACTGGGCCCATAATCAAAAATCTAAATACATGTTTAGATTCAGCATATCAAAGTACCCTAAAAATTCAATTTTTGTTAAAATCAAACTAAGTTTAATTTTGGACCCTTTTGACCTTAATGTAGACCAATTTGAAAACGGAACCAAAAATTAAGAATCTAAATACACGGTTAGATTCGGCATATCAAAGAACCCCAATAATTCAATTTTTGATGAAATCAAACAAAGTTAAATTTTGGACCCTTTGGACCTCAATGTGGACCAATTTAAAAACGGGGCCCAAAATCCAAAAACTTAATACACGGTTAGATTCAGCATATTAAAGAACCCCAAGAATTCAATAATAAAACCCCATTGAAATTGATCAAGAAATAAGCAATTTATACGAAGTATCTTCTTTTGCACAATACTGTGCAATTGAATATTTCTTGCTATTGTGCAATACTGTACAATTGACAATTTCTTGCTATTGCGCAATATTGTGCTATTGGATATTTCTTGCTATTGCGCAATACTGTGCAATTGAAGATTTCTTGCTATTGCGCAATACTGTGCAATTGAAGATTTCTTGCAATTGTGCAATACTGTGCAATTGAAAATTTCTTGCTATTGCACAATACTTATTATATAATAATTTACACATCCTGTTTGGTGTGTATCTCCTACCATATCATTATTATTTGCTTTTAAATATTAATCAGAAATAACCAACTTAAAATGGAAAATTTTAAAAGAAAAAAAAAAGGAAAAAAAGAAAAAAAAAGAAAAAAAAAAATCCCCCCCCCCCCCAAATTTTTTGAACCCCCTTATGATTCATCACCCCCAAACTCAATCCCAGCCTTCCCTTTGTGGTATGGTACCTTGCAGTACAATTTCAGAGAGATCCATACACTTGAACACAAGTTATTGTCTGGAAACTAGAAAAATGCTTATTTTTGGCCCCTTTTTGGCCCCCAATTCCTAAACGTTTCGGGCAATTACCCCCAAACTCAATTCCAGCTTTCCCTTTGTGATATGGAACCTTGTAGTACAATTTCAGAAATATCCAAACACTTACACACAAGTTATTGTCATGAAACTAGAAAAATGCTTGTTTTTTGCCCCTTTTTTGGCCCCTAATTCCTAAAATTTTGAGGCAATTACCCCCAAAATCAATTACAGCCTTCCCTTTGTGATATGGAACCTTGTGGTACAATGTCAGAGAGATCCATACACTTACACACAAGTTATTGTCTGGAAGTTACAAAAATGCTTATTTTTGGCCCCTTTTTGGCCCCTAATTCCTTAACTGTCTTACCATAACCCCCAAAATCAATCCCCACCTTCCTTTCGTGGTATTGAACCTTATGGTAAAATTTCATGGAGATCCATTCACTTAAACTAAAGTTAGAGTGCGAAAACCAATGTGTCTTCGGACGACGCCAGACGACGACGACGACGACGACGACGACGACGACGCCAACGTCATACCAATATACGACCAAAAAATTTTCAATTTTTGCGGTCGTATAAAAATCTAGAAAAATTCATTTCCCGCCAAATTTTTTATGGCTTATATTTCAAAAACAAGGGCACAGACCTAAAACTTTTTCTGCTTTTTAAGTTCTGTTATTTATATACTATCAATTTATGATAGTCTTTTAAAAAGCTTGTTATCTTGAAACAGAGTAGAGAACATCCGTAAGAACTGAGGTAGTTATAGAAAACAGCTGGTTCCCTTGAACATGAATTTTTTAAAGATACTTTCCACAGTCATTCTAACATAAAAATGAATATCTTATATATCAAAAAAAAATAAAATCACAAAAATACTGAACTCCGAGGAAAATTCAAAAAGGAAAGTCCCCAATCAAATGGCAAAATCAAAAAAACAAACACATCAAACGAATGGATAACAACTGTCATATTCCTGACTTGGTACAAGCATTTTCTTATGTAGAAAATGGTGGATTGAACCTGGTTTTAAAGCTAGCTAAACCTCTCACTTGTATGACAGTCGCATCAAATTCCAAAACATCAAAAAATTTCAAAATTCAAAACACATGCTCAATGTTGAACGGATTTATGTTTGCATCCCCGAAATGCATATGCTAACAAACTATATTCCTCTATGTCCTGTAGTGTCTTAGATCTAGACCTTAATGAGTAACTTAAACTTATAAGTCATGGTAACCCAATGTTCGTAAAGAACCTTTGTTAAATCCAAGATACATGCACAACTCTTTTCTCTTTGAAATGGTGCTGCTATGACCTTGATATTGTAACACAAACCTAACCAGAGTCATCCATAATAAATTACAAATTTACACAGTAAAGGCAATTCTAATACAGATAGCTCTCAGAATATTATCATCCTTAAAAGTTGCAAACAGTCATATATTGATAGTTGGTCAATTCTGTATGCTATAAGATTTTGGAATTTACCTTGTTTTGTGTGTCGAGAGAGACATTTTCTTCTTTAAGGTACTTTATGACTTCCTGTTGTCCTTGTCTTGCTGCCCAGTAAATCAAACCATCTACATTCTGAAATATATATTCAAATTATTAAAGGTGAAAGTTTAGGACTGTTTGGTTTTCTTGATTACTTGTTAAAAGTCTTCAGGGGTTAAGAATGTGTTTTGAGCACTTACATCTATTCTTGACCTCAAATTGTCTTTCTTATTTTTATGTGAACTTCATGGGTGACTGTCTCATTGATGAATATAATTCCCTTCATCTACTTTCACTTATATGGCCTAGTTTTATTATACGGTGTAACAATGGCTAAAATACATTTTCAATAAGGCGCTTGTACAATTGTAAGAAACAGCTAGTAAACCTTGCTAAATTTGTATAGAGAGCTGAAAACCAATTTTATATTGCTATCTACTGAGAAATACATTGGAAAGCTAATAGTTTTAAAAACTGTCAAACCTAAAAATTAAACTTTACAAAAGTCATTAAAGCATAAATAAATAGGTAATAGTGACCCAATTCTTAATGGATCATCAGAACCATTGAAGATGTACTCACACTTTGACTTGAGTTGCAGACTTATAGGTAAAAATTATCAAAAACCCACTAAAAATGTACCTTTTTTCAAAGGCCTTCCAATCAAAGAAATCATCTAATTGTGGAATTGTTCTTAACCACAAAAATATTTTGCAGAGTCTATCAATACAGATGTATATTATTTTATGTTGATAAGCAGAATCTGGATTGTGGAAAAATGCTGTATTTGAAAAATTTTCATTTTTTTAAAATCAAATCAACAATCTGTTTCTAATGTTTTTTTTTTCACCTTTTAACAGGAACTGCTTGTCTAGCAATGGGTAACAAGATCAGACTCTGATGTAGTCAACTATTTAAGAGTGTAAAGAAAAGTAAGATTTTTTTCATCATAATGCAATCAGCATGTTACCTGTATCAATCATCAAAGCTACTTGAAGATAATTAACAGGTATAAATTACTTTGTATATCATCCTTCATCGTCTATTTGTGAGATGTTGCATCTATTTGTGAGAAGTTGTGAATCCACCCATTGATAAATACTTCTTAATGTTAACATACTCAATGAACCTATCATGTAATTTACAAAGACAAATATCTGGTATTTCTGACTCACTTAATCTAAAATTAACACATTTTCTGTTTGGTTCACAACTAAGAGATTCACTAATGGAAGACTTGTACATTAAAGACTTTTAAATTTGTGCACTTTACCATACATTTCCTATGTCACAATACTTATGTTTATGATTGTTCATTGACGTTATTTACGCCAATTGACCTTGGGTCAACCTGTGTAATTCATAAGAAAAAAGCAACTAGAGATTGGTCCATTTAAAGAGAAGCACTAAAAAGGATATACTGAGAAATGAGCTAATAAAAATTTATACCCTTCTTGCTCAAAACTAAAAAAAAATGTTCAGTAAAGAATGACAGTTCTGTCATGAGTACCCAATAAAAAATCGGAAACAAAGGTTCAGGGGTACAGTGAAATTGTGCAATAAAAATGCTTAAAATTCCATTGAAATAATTTTAGTGGAGAATTTAGGGACGTAGAGGGCATACAAACACCCCCCCCCCCCCCCCCCCCCCTATTTGAAAAATAAACCCAACATTTTTTTACAAAAGATGGCCCAAATGGTCCACGATTTTATGTTTTCTGGAATTATGCTCCCTTTCAAAAATCCTGGATCCGCCCCTGAATTTGGAAAGTTTATGAGCATATGTAGCTATTGAATGTCTATCTCATGTAAGTTTAAACTACAAAGGCACTGTTTTGATATAAGAAACCCTAAAAAAAGTTGAACAAAACATAAATTCTACTTTCACATGTACATTTTAAGCTTCTATGTACGAGTTGGACCAGATTATAAAACAGATGTCTGTGGTCCAGATAGACCATACTATACAACAAAACGCTAATTAAAATTGCAATTTTAGTACACTGAAAGTGCTTTATAATAATTCTATGTCCAACTGATATTGAAAATGTTGTTTTCAAGTCTAGTTTCATTCTGAATTAATGTGTTGAAAATAAAAATCATCCCAAAATTCCAAAATTGTGGTTAATATTTTTAGACAATTGGAAAACAGTAGATACCTTATCCATTCAACTTTTGAATGAAAAACAATGTAACCTTATGCACTTTTAAATGTACAATTATGTTACTTAAAACAGGAAGTAGTTTTAAAAAACTGACTGTCACTGCAACCACCAGTAAGTGAGAACTTCCCTAATTTGTCATGAACACGTTTGTTCATCAAAATAGGAGTTTGACCAATAATTGATAACTTTTTTAATATGGAAACCCCCCAAGGAAGTGCTTCTGTACCTATCATAAATAAGAAAGCTAAATATAGTAAGAGCTAGCGATACTAAATACTAAGCAAATATAGTAAGAGCTAGCGATACCAAATACTAAGAGACACATGAGTCAGTTCTCTATCCTTATTCAAGTAACATAGGGAAGATATTTATCATAGAATAACTAGTCCAAGAAGTCAAATATAGAAAAATATTTAAAAAGTGACTGAACAACACATTAATTCATGAATGTGTGTAGAGCATAATTAATTATTAGAGTTGTTCGGTCACCATAAATATTTGAATTCTTAGATTAGATATTCTTTTTATTACATTGACCATGGTCTTTTTAATGGAAATGAAGTCAAAAATGCAAGAAACTGTATGTCTTTTTTTAGGAATTCACAATTCGCTTTAATGCAATGTCATTGACAATACACATTGTTTTATGACGTCAGAGGAGTGAAACAATAGGATTTATGACACATGTGAAATTATCCAGTTTTTTTTTATTGGGGGAAATCATGGTATTTCATTGTAATGTACTAATTGACCTCCTTAAACTGTTCCCTCTACATTTCTTAATTAGGATATATAAGTTATTGTTTTAAATTCAAGGAAATCAACATATACCAGTACTAATATGTAAGTTAAAAACTAAAAGTACAGGAGTCTAGTTTACCTTGTCAACAACATTGACATCTGCCCCTTTAGATTGGAGATATTTTATAATTTCTGTATGACCTCCGCTGGCTGCCATGTGTAAAGCAGTTTCACCATGCTAAAAATTAAAGATAATGCATCATATGTTTGTTCTTTGTGTAGTTCATTTTTTTGAAAAAGTGCTTATTTTGTAAACAGAATCTTTACAAGTTTATTGTCCATTATAAATCACAACTTCACCTACCAGTTCTTGTATACTTATAAAAACTTATCAATAAAGAGACAGACATAAAGTAAACATTTGTTTGCTTCTGTTTTCAAAAATATTTTGGCCCTCATCGATCATGAGGCTTGAATACTGTCTTCCAAATTTCCATCTTCAATGTACAAGCAAGTTAAAAGTTGGTACTTCCATCAAGTGCTCCAGGAGCACATTTATTGAGAGAAATAAAAATAAGTGTGTTATCCTCAACACATGGATATATATATATATATATTTTCTGTCATGTATTTCAAGGGTTAAAAATACTGACATGCTAGAAGGAACAAAATAAAACATGTACTACTATTACTGTAGATTCATTTTTATTCATGGTAAACCAATTTTCGTGGGTTTCGTGGGTCACAGCAAACTACGAATTTAAAACTTCAACACAGAATAATCTGGAGAAATGTGTATCTAGTCGGATGTTTATTTCTGGTTATGTCGTGCAATTCTAGTATAGTGATGACTTCAGTTGCAATAAACATGGTAACATAAAAGGTGTTTTTGAAATAAAATATAAAAGTAATTTGATTAAAATAAATACTGTAAATTCAGATATTATTGCGTGCATTTATTATTGCGATTTTTCAAAAATGGACAAAAATGCGAGATTAATTATTGCGATATCATGAAAATCTGCATACAGATATATGCAATAGACATCAGAATGCGAGTTCTTATTATTGCGATAGTCACCCAGTCGCATTATTCGCATTAATAAAAACCTCGCAATAATTTCTGAATTTACAGTAATCAAATCCTTAGAATATCAGTGAGAATTTTAAAATTGTTTAAATGGATTAAAATCGTTCAAGGCAATAACTGTAAGATACTGTAAGTTGTTAATTACCGTGTCATAATTTGGTTGATTGATTATTAAAAAAATCAATAGGATTAAGTACAGGACATTGCGGTAAATTTCACACCTTTTGACTTAAACAAAAATTATTGACAAGCTTTTTATAAGATAGATTAAGCTTTTTCAAATAAATTTCCTTAAACTGCTGGTTAAACATTTTTGTTTAATTAATTCTGGACAAAACGACAACTTTTCGTGATAAAATTTTAAAGGGAAAATGTAGGACACAAGCTGCATTTCAAACAATATTCCAACAAATTGTCGTTTAAGCAAGTATTTTTATTGATTCTGGACAAAAACGATATTTTTTTCGAAATAAAACTTGCCCAACAAAATATGTTATATCAATTATAAGCGTGTTTCTTACTTTTGACCATTTTCTAATGTCAACTTATTATGTTGTGATTAGGGTAAATAGCTTTCAATCAGTTGTACATCAAAATCGATGATTATGACAATTCAAAACATTTTCAATGCATTTCTATCTTTTGTTTTATCAGTATTCAAACACAGATCCATGAATTTATGAATCTGAAACATTTTTTTTTTTAAACAGCGATCCACGAAGAAGTGTCTTTTTTTCTCTATTCACGAAAATTGATACCCACGAAAATAAATGAGTCCACAGCAGATCCTAAATATTTCATATAGCATCCTGGTAAACAGGGAAATTTGAAATACCATCTTTGTTTCTAAAAATTATAGCATCACATCCATAACACAATCTATAAGAAAATCAATTCTGATAGCATCACATTCAAGAAATATAGCATCACATTACCATGATGCTAAAAGGCCCTGGGGAGAACACTGCACAGTACCAATTTTTCACCTGTATAACATATTACAATATGTTAAAACTCATAATTGAATACTTGAGTTATCATCAACTTGACTAAGCAAGGACTATATGCAAGGATTATAAAAACATAGGTGTCTTGAAAGAAGATTAAGAATTTTTGATGGTTTAAATGTTTTGAAAATCACTGAAAAGATGCAATGAAAACATGTCTTACTTGCAATTTACCTGACCACAAATAATTATGAATGAAAGGTTTTGTAGTTAAAAAAATGTGAAGAAAATTTGAATTTAAATAAACTACAACAGCAGTTTGTGTAAAAACCAGAAGGCATAAGTTGTTATTGGCTTTGAACTAGCTGTCAGTAACTGCGAGTACTCTCAGAGCTGTACTTAGTGTCTTTTTCGTTGTGGGGATGTATAAATACCCTGCCACATCCAGTCGATTTTTGTTAGATGTTTTTCTGCTTTGTATCAATCTGATGAGCTAAGCCATTTTCAACTGATTTTATAGTTTGTTCTTATGTTGTACTTTAACATCACTGTTCAAGGTTAGGCGCTAACAAACTAGTTTAACCCCGCCACATTCTGAATGTGCCTGTCCCATGTCAAGAGCCTGTAATTCAGTGGTTGTCGTTTGTTGCTATATATTATATTTGTTTTTCTTTCATTGTTTTGTACATAAATCAGACCATTATTTTTCTCGTTTGAATTGATTTACTTTTGTCATTTCACTGCCTTTTGTAGCTGAATTTGCTGTATGAGTTTTGCTCATTGTTGAAGGCTGTACGGTGACCTATAGTTGTAATGTCATTTGGTCTCTAGTGGAGAGTTGTCTCATTGGCAATTATATACCACATCTTATTTTTATAATTACACCCTGAAATGCTACACCTGCTTAACTGATCAATGATTGAAGTTTTTACAATAAGTACCACATCAACGTAACATAATAAGTGAGCCATGTAAATCAGGTCATGGTCAGATGATAACACCTTACAATCATCACATATTCCAAATTTAGTTGACCTAGTGCTTTTAGTATCTGAAAAATAGAGTTAACCAGGAAAACTTAACAATGACCAATGATCTCTCCTACTTACCTGAATTCCTTTAACACTAGGAACTCTTCATTAATCCTGGGTTTTGATTAGTGCCCTTTAGGAGAGTGACCAATCAGCAGTCAGATAATTTGATAGAGATAGGTAAATCATGAGCTGATTCCGAATGATTGATTGACATTTTTCATAGTCTATACATTCAGGCATTGTAGCTATATTACAGCAGCAGAACATAACGACTGAATTATTCAGATTAATTCTGTCACAGTAAAAAGATTAATAAAGAAAATTTATACCTTATTAGTGGCCAACAAATCTATATTCTGTGCCATTTTCACTAGATCTTTTATTCCTTGTAAATTTCCTTCTTCTGATGCCCCAAACAATGCTGCCATTACAAAATTTTCTGCTTTCTCCTGCAAAATAAATATCAGAAATTTTTTGAATGTTACAATAAAATTTTTTAAGATCTTGAGCTAAAACACTCATACCTTGCCATCTTCATTCAGTGACATCCTACTGTGCTTATACAATAGGCATTGCCCTTTTACAATACCTGTTTGCCAAAATTTATTTTCAAATTGCAGTTGGAGTTCATCTCTTTTAGATGATCATTTTTGTCCATTGCTTGAGAAAGGTTGTTAGTACATGTATTGTATAGAGAGTGAAGTGTAATACAAATATTTTTATTAAATACAAGAGAAGGCCTAAGCTATTGAACTTGAAAACTATACGGTATACCTCTTTCAAGATCATATATCAAAAGCCTGATTATAAAAAAAGATAAACTAATTCAAAGTCTATCAAAATTTCAAAAATATTCCTCAAACTAAAACCACATTAAAACAGGTAAAATCCCTATTACTTGGCCACAGAACCATTTGACCATTTTAATTTCATATCCATGAATAGAAACAGTGGAATACTTGCAAGGAAGAGAAAGCTGTCAGGCTTAAAGATCGTTTTAAGATTTTTTTAAAGAATAGGTGCAATAGTATACCAAGTACTTCATTTCTGGCATAAATGATATCCGCCATTTTGAAATCTTAGTGGCACAAAGGTAGCATTAGTGCAAATGAGTTGTGGTTCAAAAGGATGCATGTTTTGGTGCAAACAGGTATCTCCCCTTTTTGAAATGGTCAATGCCTTTTTTTAAGTACACTGACTCACTTTTTTGGACCATGATAAAATTTAGAAAATGAATTTAAAGAAGTGGTTGTGTCTTTTGATTTGTATGTTTTGCCATTTTCACTGTTCTTTAGAAATAATCCAAAATACTTGAGAACAAAATTGCTACCAACATCTGTAGGTTTCTATTTCCTAAATAAATACTGAAATTCTAAGAGGGACAATAACCCAAAACTGCAGATTTATAAATTGGTTCTTTATCTTGATAAAACAGATGTTTCTGATAGAATAACTCAGATATCTAGTAAAAAGCAACATTTCAATGATAAATGAACAAGTTCTTAATTAATCTGTGATTAATTTGACATGGCTATCAGTAAAAACATGCTAAATTTCTGGGCCTGTGTCTATACTAAAAAATATATGTTACAAATCATCTCTACAAATGTATTTCTTATCAGAAGTCATTTAACCTGTATCAAAACAAAAACAAACTTGTCAGAAGTCATTTAACCTATATCAAAACAAAAACAAACTTGTCAGGAGTCATTTAACCTGTATCAAAACAAAAACAAACTTGTCAGAAGTCATTTAACCTGTATCAAAACAAAAACAAACTTGTCAGGAGTCATTTAACCTGTATCAAAACAAAAACAAACTTGTCAGAAGTCATTTAACCTGTATCAAAACAAAAACAAACTTGCAAGATTTGTTTATAATCTCTTTTCTGACTCATTTCTCTAGTAAGTGGTAACTGAGTGTTGATGTGCCTAATGACGATTAACTTCTTATCATCATTGAAAATAATACCAAGAGACATACCCACTGGACGAGAGGATTACCGTCCTTAGACAGATCCTTGACCTGTGTAAAATTTTATTAACTGTCAAAACCATCCCCTGCAAATTAACACAAGTGTTCCTACTAACTTAATCTTGGACGAAAAAAAAAATAAATTAATCACTGGATAAAATTCATTAATCTACAAGACTAAAATAGAACAGAAAATAGGAAATATTATGTGAGGAAAAAGAATGGGGAACTTACCATGAAAGATCTGTATGACACGATAATCAGACAAAGATTGTACAATGATGTACAAGTGGTTGATGTGCCAAAAATGTGATTACAGTAATGATCCTTAGTGAGAAAGTACTTTGTCATGTTATCAATAGATATTGGCATATAATAAGTAACAATAACAAATCGTTATCACCACAAACCTCACCAATAATTATTGTTTTTCTTCTTTTGCTTTGTTTTGTTTATACTCATGAGGAATGATTGGTGCTGTAAGTTTTATGTTGTTAAGTCAGAGATATGATTTTGCCCTTCTTTGTTATGAATAACATAAAAGTTTTCTGATTATGATTTTTTGAATGGTTTGAACTTTTGTTTAAATAGGTTTTTGACCTTCTTCATTATGAATAACATAAAAGTTTTCTGATTTTGATTTTTTGATTTTCTGATTTTGATTTTTTGAATGGTTTGAACTTCTGTTTACATAGGTTTTTGACCTTCTGCATTACGAATAACATAAAAGTTTTCTGCAGACTTTTATTTTTGAATGGTTTGAACTTCTATTTCCAAATTATGGTCAATGAACTAAGAGTTTCTGTTGATATCAAGCTTTTAAATCTATTTTTAAGTAGACAGAATACATTTCGTTTTCATATGGTGAGAACTGCCATTCAAACCAGATATACATAAACTCTACAAAAAAAAATCTTGCATTGACTTGTTTGATTGCCGACTTCAAATTGAAGATGAAATAAAATGCTCCGCAGGGCGCAGCTTGATACGACCGCAGAGGTCGAACCCTGAACAGTTGGGGCATGGACACAACATTCAAGCTTGATACAGCTCTGAATTTGGATTGTGATTAAATATTTGACACAGCATAGGTTACTGACACAGAATGAATGTGGTCTAAGAACTTAATTTTTTTTATTAAATTGGACATTCACCTATTATGGTCCAATATCCAAAATCTAAATACATGGTTAGATTCAACATATCAAAGAACCCCAAGAATTCAATTTTTGATGAAATCAAACAAAGTTTAATTTAGGACCCTTTTGACCTCAATGTGGACAAAGTTGATAACGGGGCCCAAAAATCAAAAATCTAAATACATGGTTAGATCTGAGACTACTATAACACAGAGATTGTTATAGTAGTCTCAGGTTAGATTCAGCATATCAAAGAACCCCATATATTCAATTTTTGTTGAAATCAAACAAAGTTTAATTTTGGACCCCGATTTGGACCAACTTGAAAACTGAGCCCATAATCAAAAATCTAAATACATGTTTAGATTCAGCATATCAAAGGACCCTAAGAATTCAATTTTTGTTAAAATCAAACTAAGTTTAATTTTGAACCCTTTGGACCTTAATGTAGACCAATTTGAAAACAGAACCAAAAATTAAGAATCTAACTACACGGTTAGATTCGGCATATCAAAGAACCCCAAGAATTCAATTTTTGATGAAATCAAACAAAGTTTAATTTAGGACCCTTTTGACCTCAATGTGGACAAAGTTGATAACGGGGCCCAAAAATCAAAAATCTAAATATATGGTTAGATTCAGCATATCAAAGAACCCTAAGAATTCAATTTTTGTTAAAATCAAACTAAGTTTAATTTTGGACCCTTTGGACCTTAATGTAGACCAATTTGAAAACGGAACCAAAAATTAAGAATCTAAATACACGGTTAGATTCGGCATATCAAAGAACCCCAATAATTCAATTTTTGTTGAATCAAACAAAGTTTAATTTTGGACCCCGATTTGGACCAACTTGAAAACTGGGCCCATAATCAAAAATCTAAATTCATGTTTAGATTCAGCATATCAAAGAACCCTAAGAATTCAATTTTTGTTAAAATCAAACTAAGTTTAATTTTGGACCCTTTGGACCTTAATGTAGACCAATTTGAAAACGGAACCAAAAATTAAGAATCTAAATACACGGTTAGATTCGGCATATCAAAGAACCCCAATAATTCAATTTTTGATGAAATCAAACAAAGTTTAATTTTGGACCCTTTGGACCTCAATGTGGACCAATTTAAAATCGGGGCCCAAAATCCAAAAACTTAATACACGGTTAGATTCAGCATATTAAAGAACCCCAAGAATTCAAGAATAAAACCCCACTGAAATTGGTCAAGAAATAAGCAATTAATACTGTGCAATTGAATATTTCTTGCTATTGCGCAATACTGTACAATTGACAATTTCTTGCTATTGCGCAATATTGTGCTATTGGATATTTCTTGCTATTGCGCAATACTGTGCAATTGAAGATTTCTTGCTATTGCGCAATACTGTGCAATGAAAGATTACTTGCTATTGTGCAATACTGTGCAATTGAAAATTTCTTGCTATTGCACAATACTTATTATATAATAATTTACACATCCTGTTTGGTGTGTATCTCCTACCATATCATTATTATTTGCTTTTAAATATAAATCATAAATAACCAACTGAAAATGGAAAATTTTAAAAGAAAAAAAAAAGGAAAAAAGAAAAAAAAGGAAAAAAAAAAAAAATCCCCCCCCCAAATTTTTTTTTGAAACCCCTTATGATTCATCAACCCCAAACTCAATCCCAGCCTTCCCTTTGTGGTATGGTACCTTGCAGTACAATTTCAGAGAGATCCATACACTTGAACACAAGTTATTGTCCTGAAACTAGAAAAATGCTTGTTTTTTTCCCCTTTTTGGCCCCTATTTCCTAAATTTTTGAGGGAATTACCCCCAAAATCATTCCCAGCCTTCCCTTTGTGGTATGGTACCTTGCAGTACAATTTCAGAGAGATCCATACACTTAAACACAAGTAATTGTCTGGAAACTATAAAAATGCTATTTTTGGCCCCTTTTTGGCCCCTTATTCCTAAATGTTTTGGGCAATAACCCCCAAACTCAATTCCAGCTTTCCCTTTGTGATATGGAACCTTGCAGTTCAATTTCAGAAAGATCCATACACTTACACACAAGTTATTATCATGAAACTAGAAAAATGCTTGTTTTTTGCCCCTTTTTTGGCCCCTAATTCCTAAAATTTTGAGGCAATTACCCTCAAAACCAATCCCAGCATTCCCTTTGTGATATGGAACCTTGTGGTACAATGTCAGAGAGATCCATACACTAACACACAAGTTATGTCTAAAAGTTACAAAAATGCTTATTTTTGGCCCCTTTTTGGCCCCTAATTCCTTAACTGTTGGTACCATAACCCCCAAAATCAATCCCAACCTTCCTTTTGTGGTATTGAACCTTATGGTAAAATTTCACGGAGATCCATTCACTTAAACTAAAGTTAGAGTGCGAAAACCAATGTGTCTTCGGACGACGCCGGATGACAACGACGACGACGACGCCAACGTCATACCAATATACGACCAAAAAATTTTTAATTTTTGCGGTCGTATAAAAATGAAAAAATGTGAAAAACCAAGAGCTCAAAAATTTAGTTGTAAAACTTTTAAACATTTGCTCCACATCCACAGAAAATTACACAATTTTTACTGTATTTCCCTTAAATAAGACGATAATGTTCAAATTTAATCTTCCAGACACCTGCTTTTCAAATTTTTTCAATTGAATATGTACATGAGTGCATTACGTGCATGGTGTACCTTGACTTTTCAGAATAGTTTTTGTACAAACAAGGAAACTGCTGCATTGTTAACTTGAAATTAAAACTTAATAAATATCCTTCAAAATTCAAAGGTAAATAAACTTAAAACTTTACAATAGAAACCATACATGAGTTTACCAATTTCCTTGCATTCGTCAATTTCATTTTCAATTCTAACAAGAGCTATTCTAAAATTGTCTAAATTTAAACAATCATTTTCAGATGAATTTCATGTTGAAATTAAGATAAAAGTTCCCAAAAGCTACTCAATACTAATTTCAACAATTATGTATAAAATTCGAATTGAAATAACCCAAAAAGTACAAGTGGGTTAACACTTCTATAGTTCATGGTGTAACAGATAATTCACAGTCACAGTTTAATTTGTCATTATTTCTAGTCCATTTGACAAAGAATAGTTTCTCATATGGGGATTTATTTTGTCTTTCTTGCCAAGTAAAAAAAATTGTATAATACAATATCAACATTCTCTTTAAAGACATCTGAACCAATAGAATATTAAAAAAAATCCCATAATGCAACAGCATTTATGAATTGGTCCAATCTTCCAAACCAATAGGAAATTTTAAGATAACTGACCGACTAAGATGGATTTTTTTGTTTGGAGTTTTCCAAATACTAATTAAGGAGGTGTGGGGTATACTTTAATAAGAAAGCAATCCAATGACAAAAAACAGTGTTTATACCACTAAGTTCCAAGCTGTAACTGCTATCTAGATTCACTCAAGAAACAATTTACTGAAGCATTCCAAGAAATATTGCATTCAGCTGATGATAATATAAGTATGAAGAGAATTAAACTGTATGTAATTTAAATACAATGTTATAAAAAGATCTGTCATAGACGTCATCACTCTTTCAAAACCTCATTTACAAAAAAACTATATAGCTGGAAAAAAAAACCCAAACATTTTCTTATCTAACTTGAAGGAAAAGATTAATTCAGTGCAAATTAATGACATTATGTCTCTATAAACCAAACAAAATCTTATATTAATACCATCTTGTTTTTCTATATAATAGAATCTATAGATATAATTGAGGTTCTATGGAGCTCAAATTGCTCAGATGGAGATCCCCTTGTAAAATATCTATTTCAAAAAAAGTTTCCTCCAAAATCATGATCATATATGGTGGCCATCTTTAATGTCCAATAGTGTCAACAAATTTGTTCTGAGACTAAAGACTGAGTTACCAATATCTTTGATTGTTGTTTGTGCAAGAAACAAAGTTCATAGCTGTAAGAAGTCTTCATAAGGGGGAGTTTGTGTAGTTAAATTGATAATCAAATTATGTTCATTTAAGTGAGATTGAGTTAGATCACATATCAATAAGTGTTACTATCCCTGAACCTTTAAGGTCCAACAAAGCACATTGCCTTAAATTTAAAAAAAAAACTGAACATTCATTCTATATTTGTTGCAAGACATTATCAATCAATCAATTAATCCTTCATTAAATACACTGTTGACACAGAGATATGTCGTGCCTGTTGGCATAAAATTTAGAAAAAAGAAAACAATCTGATGGACAGCAATATTGTTAATTAATTCAAAGTTGCTGGACCACGAACTAGTGGACAGGGTCTTGAAATGGTCAACAAACTGAGATGTACAAACAGTAATGTAACTTTATAGAAAATATCATTGGTCATTGTAAGTATTTCCTATCAAACTAACTTAAGCAGAAAACTTAACCTTGAAAATTGCTAATTGATAGAAAGTCACTGGACCATGACCTATGGGGGCAGGACCTCAAAATTGTCTTCAAACTGATATGTACTGATAGTAATGCAACTTCATACAAAATATCAGTGATCTATAACAAGTAGTTCCTATCAAACTAACTTAAGCAGAAAACTTAATATTGAAAATTGCTTATTAATTGAAAGTCATTTAACCATGACCAAGGGGGCAGGCCTCGAAATAGTCTTCAAACTGATATGTACTGATAGTAATGCAACTTCATACAAAATATCATTGATCTATCACAAGTATATCAAACTAACTTAAGCAGAAAACTTAACAATTTTTGATGCCAATGACGAGAAAAGCAATACCTATGTCTAGCTTTCCACGATTTTCGTCGCAGGTGAGACAAAAACTACAAACTTAGGCTTATCAAGAAAAGATAAAAAGTATGTCTGAAAATGAGCCAAATTTCTCACATTTCCTCAAAACCAGACTTCAATTTCAATAGCATCAAAGATTTTTTTATAAAGATATTCTTCTGACTAATTACTCATTACTAATTTTTGTTTTTAAAGAAAGCATAACATTTGATTCTGCTTAGAAACAATTCTATCAATCTTGTTTTTCATTTCTATCAGAATCTTCATTCAAAACAGATGCCTGACCCTACACCAGACTCAATTTGTGCTTTCTTTTTTTATTTTCTGATCGAAAACAGTTGTTATTTGTTGTTAATTCCATTTCAAACAGATATGTCAATCAATCAATTAAATCCTAAAAATAACAGAAAAAAACATGTGATCTATTTATACAATTATTTGTAAATAAAGAATTGTTTCTGGGTGTTCTGAACTTGTCTGAAATGTATCAACATATAAGCATAAAATAATGGAAAGACAAAAGGGTAGATAAAATAAATATGTACCTTTTGATGTTCAATAATATTGTTGTGTTAAACTTCAAACATCATTATACAAAACTTAATAAAATGCTCCGCTGGGCGCAGCTTGATACGGCCGCAGAGTTCTAACCCTGAACAGTTGGGGCAAGTATGGACACAACATTCAAGTTTGATACAGCACTGAATTTGGATTGTGATTAAATATTTGACACAGCACAGGTTTCTGACACAGAATGAATGTGGTCTAAGAACTGAAAAAATTTTAATTTACCTATTCAAACCATATCATTATTACTTGCTTTTATGTATAAATCAGAAATAACCAATTTAAAATGGAAAATTTTAAAGCAAAAAAAAGGAAAAAAAAAATCCCCCCCCCCCCAATTTTTTGAACCCCCTTATGATTCATCACCCCAAACTCAATCCCAGCCTTCCCTTTGTGGTATGGTACCTGCAGTACAATTTCAGAGAGATCCATACACTTGAACACAAGTTATTGTCTGGAAACTAAAAAAATGCTTCTTTTTGGCCCTTTATTGGCCCCTAATTCCTAAAATTTTGAAGCAATTACCCCCAAAATCCATCCCAGCCTTCCCTTAGTGGTATGGTACCTTGCAGTACAATTTTAGAGAGATCCATACACTTAAAAACAAGTTATTGTCTGGAAACTAGAAAAATGCTTATTTTTGGCCCCTTATTCCTAAACGTTTTGGGCAATTACCCCCAAACTTAATTCCAGCTTTCCCTTTGTGATATGGAACCTTGTAGTACAATTTCAGAAAGATCCATACACTAACACACAAGTTATTGTCATGAAACTAGAAAAATGCTTGTTTTTTGCCCCTTTCTTGGCCCCTAATTCCTAAAATTTGGAGGCAATTACCCCCAAAATCAATCCCAGCATTCCCTGTGTGATATGGAACCTTGTGGGACAATGTCAGAGAGATCCATACACTAACACACAAGTTATGTCTGGAAGTGACAAAAATGCTTATTTTTGGCCCCTTTTTGACCCCTAATTCCTTAACTGTTGGTACCATAACCCCCAAAATCAATCCCAACCTTCCTTTTGTGGTATTGTACCTTATGGTAAAATTACATAGAGATCCATTCACTTGAACTAAAGTTAAAGTGCGAAAACCAATGTGTCTCCGGGCGACGACGACAACGCCAACGTCATACCAATATACGACCGCAAAAAATTTGCGGTCGTATAAAAATAGCTAAGGTAGTCTGAATCACTTATTTGTTTAATTTTCGTGGTGAATATGTATGAAATAGTGGAAGTCAAGCTAACAACAATCAATCAACCTACTTCATTCAAAAACACCTTAACCTTTCTACCTAATTTTAACCTGAGTGTCACAATGCTCACAAGTTTTGTCTGCATTTTATACATCAAACTTGTTATAAAAGGGCAAGTTCAAGTGTTTTTATGTAATAGTTATATCAATGTTCCTAAAATAAATTTTGGCAGTAAGAAACACCACAGAGTTACATAGGCATTTTGATTGTATAGAAATTTACTTTATTATGAATGTGCCTAATGGATAATAAAAGCTCCTAGTCATGTCTGAATCACATTCTGATCAGTAAAGCCCATCAAAATTATTTTCTCAAGACTTTCATACTAAATATGAGCCCTCAAACTGAATAGCTTTTGAATGAGGCTTATAATGGTCCACTAATTTTTGTACCCTGTTTAATTCCTATCTAACAGTTACAGCTGGGTCAAAAACTATTATTGGTGTGTTCATGGAATTTGAATCTAAGGCCTTCTTGAACTAGATGTGTCGCAACAACACGAATGGCCCTGTCTCAAAAAGTTGAAAAATCTGCAATTTCAACAACACATGTGGACACAAACATGCATGGATAGTATCAATGAGTAGTTAAATTTCAAACTATTAGCAAACAGGAAGTGGATGTACTAAAGATGTGCTAAAACGACATGAAAATTATCTGAACGAAACATAAACTTGATTTGTAACTCATCATGGTAGACTCACATATCAAAAATCAGCGCAAAATCTGAAGGTGTTTAGAAAAAAAAGCCGTATAACTATAACTGTGATTTTCAACAATTTATTAAAGTCCAAAGCCCGTAATTTCGGCAAAAATTAGCAGAGTAGAACGAAACTTAAACTTGATCTGTAACTCATCATGGTTAACTCACATACCAAAAATCAGCCCAATATCTGAAGGCGCTTGGAAAAAAAGTCCGTTTAACTGTGATTTTCAACAATTTAACAAAGTCCAAAGCCCGTAATTTCGGCAAAAATTAGCAGAGCGGAACAAAACTTAAACTTGATCTGTAACTCATCATGGTTAACTCACATATACCAAAAATCAGCCCAATATCCTAAGGCGTTTAGAAAAAAAGTCTGTATAATGGTTTGTTGCGGAATGACGGAATGACGGAATGACATTCAAACCCATAAGTCGAAAATAAGCTGACAACGCCATGGCTAAAAAAGAAAAAGACGAACAGACAAACAATAGTACACAAATACAACATAGAAAACCAAAGACTGAGCAACAGAAACCTCACCAAAAACTGGAGGTGATTTCAGGTGCTCTGGAAGGGTAAGCAGATGTGGCACCCATCGTGTTGCTCATATTAGTAAAAACCCGGTAATAAGTCTAATTCAGTTACTGAGGTCACTGGATGAATTTACTCTTGATCTCATGGGAACCATAAAGGCTTACAAAGTCAAATGTCAAAATTTTTCCCTATTTGAGAAATCTGTTGACAAAATATACTAGTACTGGTTTGTCATTGAAATAAATGACATGCCATAACTAACTGATAATCGTTATTTTCATATAATTATAAAATTATACAGTACATATATACCAGCTGTCAGATCAATATATACAGAGAATGTGCAAAAAGTATTCAGTCACAATGGCAGCCTGTTTACATTTGAAAAAGAAAGTGGCAAAGTTCATACTTTGAATGAACAAACCAAAGAAATACAACAAAAAAAAAGGAAATGTACAACTGGTAATTTAATGACCTTAATTTGGTAAAAAGTAAGTTAATCCTGTAAAAACTCAATATACAGTTCTATATCAAATAGCAGCCCATTAGCAGTAAGAACAACCAACAATGACTGAGAAAAATGTCATTTTGTAGTTTCATTTTCCATGTCAAAAAGATTTTTTTCTCTCAGAATTTCACAACTTTTCAAATTATAAGGTAAACCAAGTACCAGCTGCTGCTGCAGTGGTCTTTTGGTAGAATGCTCACCACAAGTGCAGAAGGCAAGGTTTTATCCCTTGGCACGTCAAACAAAAAGTCAAAAATAGGTCGTTGCTGCTCCTTGAATAACCATGTAGCAGTTACAAATTAGAGCAGACTTTGGATCAGAGTTAGAAAAATGTGATAAGGGAAGGCAACATGTCTTTCTGCAGACTGTTACATAGAGAAATGGCATAAACATCCAAGTATCAGGTCAACATCTGCATTGAGGACAGACAACAGGTGAGAAATATGTCATTTTGAACCTTTCTTTAAGAACATGACTGTAATTTGGTCAAAAGTAGATATACATCAAGTGTGGTTTGTAAAAAAAAATTACACCACTGCTTTGCATAAATCAGTTCAATATTTGCAAGGTGAAATGACAAAAGCAAAGAAACAAGTAATTTTCAGAAATAAAAAAAAATTATTATTTTTATCATAGCAATGGTGATATGTTGGTTGGTTGACAGGAAATAAATGTTAAATTGCCTAATGATTTTTTTCAGATTAAATTTGTTAAAATATTTATCAAAAATTTCCTTAGCGGTGTAACAGTTATTAATCTATTAATTCTGACTTATTTCAAAAGAAACCAGATGTTAAGTGACCTTAAAATTCAAACGTATTTCATTCTATGTTATTAAAAATTACCTCAAAAATGTTTGAAATAGTGACTGACTGATTGTCAGTAAATTCTTCCTTATCAGAAATCTCTCCAGAAACGATTTCCTCCATTTCAATGAAATCCTCTTCCAAAAAGCCCTCAGATATCAAAGAATGACTTCCAGTGAGTTCTATGGTCCCACTATCCTCAGACTCCTCGGTCATTTCACTATCCCATTCAAAATCACCATATTCACTTTCAAATTTGCAAATGTATGGCTTTGCTGTGGTGGTTTTTGAATTATCATTCAAAGAATTGTGAAATGTATTAGAGTTTTCTCCCTTGTCCTCTTCATGAAAAAGACAGACATTATCAAATTTCTGTAAACTCCCATCAGGTATCGAATCATTGCCATTGTCAGAATCATCGAATTGCATTACTAACCCAGAATCTACATCATAGTTCTCTGGTATGCTAGATTTATCGCTTTTCTTTGCCACATTTTTATAATTGAAGCTGATCTCGTCAGTTTCATGGAGTGTAGAGTGATCAGTCATTTTGATGATTATGTTTACAAACTTCACAATTCAAAGAACTTTCTATAGATTGGGTAGTTAACTTCTCAATAAATATTTCCACATCCAACCTTTTTGTTGTTTGTAGCTAACAAATTTCTTTGATTACAGGCAAGCATCAGGTTTTGGTCTATAAAATTTCACTTTTTACATCTCTTGCAAAATTTAAATGTTAATTGTATAACCATATGCTATACAGCTTTTCTATGTTTTCATCAGTGTATTATCAATAACAAAACTATTTGATCTTATCGGTGAGATATTACTTAAATCCGATAACATATCTTTGTCATTCAATCCTCAATCGTCACCTGTAATTTTCTACACAATATTTATTTTTTTTATACACTTTTATGAATCATCTTTAAAATATTATACCCTGCCATATGTTTCAATTTATTTGCCTAATCCATTATCTCTTTGTAGTTTAATTATAAAATTGGGGAGCCCATTCCATTAATGTTCTACAAACAAATTTACTTCTCCACAAATCTATTACATTCCCCAGAAGACATGCACCACTGCACTGTATTTAATGGTTTTTTGCGATTCAAAGTGCAATATGCAATATTCCATAAAGACTTTCTATCTTTATTTAAATTAGGTATTCAGAATGCATGTGCATTTAAAATAATATTCCTTTTTCCAATATTAATGCATCACTACTTCTGATCAGCCTCAAAATTAAAAAAAATCATTAACAAATAACTAAAAATGACATAATTTTGTCCATATGTTACTGCATCAGATAAACTTTTCCTGCCTTTTCTGTTTCACAACATTCTTAACCTTGAAACACAAATATTTTATTCGTACTAGTCTATATCTATTTGTTTTTTCTCCAGTAACATAACAATTAACTGCAGTAAAATACACATCAGCTAATTACAACTGGAGCCTGTAGTTATGCAACATAACAGCTGTTTCAATCTTTTTCATTTCATAGAATTATGATATTTATATATTTCACCATATGTTTCAATCAGCTAAATGTCCTTTATAATCCAGAGTTGCAGTTTTAAATTTCAAATTTCGTTGTCCTATTCATGTGAAAAATGTTCCTTATGCACTAAAAATCAGTCAAAGGAATAAATGTAATAACTTATATGCAGTGATTTGCATTCAAAAATCATTAACCACTAATCATTCTGTTTGCATCTGACATATTTATCTGGCAGTAGAAAATATCCACATATTCAAAGAAATTTTGACTTCCTCACATCAAATGAAACTGAGCTTTTACATGTACAACCTTATCACCACTACTTGTAAATCAACTGACTCTAAATGATAGTAAAACATAAAAAGTAAACTGTGCACTCTATTTAAATAACAAAATCATGTTACATTTCAGATCGATGTTCTTCTTATTACAGCACACGACTTCTTTAGATCATAAAAAAGTCCACAAACGAATTTCAATCTACATCCTTGTCAAGCATTAAATCTTTTGAAATTCAGAACCTTTCAGTTTAAAATGCTAACTGTGATGACTTTCCAATTAGTATGATCAGACCTATGTCAACTGATATCTATTGATAGCAAACAAAACCACACAAAAAACCCAATAAATTCTGTTCTAAATTCGATAAATGCTGCATGTCACACTTCCCGCATCAAGTTTCAATCAATGGTTAATATTTTCTATAGATTTCTACTTCACGACAGGTGCTTCTATACCTATACTAGTTTCTCTACCTATATAATGGTAGACTGTATTATGTTATGATTACGGTACAAGCTCCTTATCCTCCACTTAAAGATCATTAAGACCCCCTGAGCAATCCATGATAAATTTTATCATTGCCTTGTAACAGTTTGTACTAATTGATGACGATTTGTAAGGATTAATCCTAATAACCTTAGTCCATTTGTTTTTTCCACTTATTTGTCAAAACATGTCAACGCAATGATTATCTATTTATTATATTTTCCTTATTCAGGTCTCTCAACTCCCCCACTGTTTACTATGTGGTTTTTATGTAAATTAATTGTCTATCGTTTAATTCTATACATCCTTTGATCCTAATATATAATTAGCCAGTTTGGTCCACTTTTAAAATCACTTCACTTTAAAAAGATGTCAAGGTTTTTTACATTTATATTTCCAGACATAGAATATTGTTACTTATTGCAAGTTAAAACTGCTATCAACACTTTAAATCACATCTGCACAACTATTATGCAAGCTCTTTTCTTCCTCAAATAATGGGATAAAATTTTTTCCAATAATTTAACTTTTAAATTACTTCTATGTATATAAGCTGTGATTATTATTTAGCCAAAAAAATCATAAAAATATTATTTACCAGATTTTTTTGATAGTTTTACCATTCAACCCGACACAGAAATAATATTAAAGGATGGCATACATAGATAAGACTTTCTATACACTGCCAATATTAAACAATCATTTTTTTATTATACGATTTCAATGGAGTTATTTATTTGCTATAAATGCTTCACTAAGTACTGAAATAAATATAAGAGTAATGAATAGAAAATCTGCATGAATTATCAAAAGATTTTAAAAAAATTAAAAATTTGTAAATTTCATATTTAACGTTGCATAAAACTTTTGATCTCTTCTTTCTGACATAAAATTACAGGTTATAAGTCTTTAAAATAATTAAAATTTTAAATCCTAAATTTCAAAACTCTGTATCAAAGACAATTACAAGTTTTCCAAATCTTCTTTCAAATAAGTAAAATATATATGAAACTAGTTTTATTACCTACAACTAAGATTTGTCTAAGAACAGACAATCTGCAGATGAAAAGACATTTAATCTGGATAGAAATAAAGTAGCATTAATGTCATATTGTTTTCTTTGTCAACATACCCTTAGTATAATACCTAGAGATTTTTCTGAGCAAGATAGCTTAGGATAGAGGGTAATACTGTTTGTACACATAATATATAAAAGTAGTGGCATAGATACTACACAATTTTTTTTTCATTGCAATTATAACAGTGATCTCATGCAAATTGAGACTTCAGTTTTTTATCATTTAGAATGTCCTTAACTGTTTTTTTTTGTGTTTTTTTTTTTCACTTTTTTTTCTTCAAAAGATTTATCAATACAGTGAAATTTAAAACTAGAGGCTCTAAAGAGCCTGTGTCGCTCACCTTGGTCTATGTGCATATTAAACAAAGGACACAGATGGATTCATGACAAAATTGTGTTTTGGTGAGGGTGATGTGTTTGTAGATCTTACTTTACTGAACATTCTTGCTGCTTACAATTATCTCTATCTATAATGAACTTGGCCCAGTAGTTACAGTGGAAAATATTTTGTAAAAATTTACAAAAATTTACAAAATTTATGAAAATTGTAAAAAATTGACTATAAAGGGCAATAACTCCTTAAGGGGTCAATTGACAATTTTGGTCATGTTGACTTATTTGTAGATCTTACTTTGCTGTACATTATTGCTGTTTACAGTTTATCTCTATCTATAATAATATTCAAGATAATAACCAAAAGCTGCAAAATTTTCTTAAATTACCAATTCAGGGGCAGCAACCCAACAACGTGTAGCCTGATTGGTCTGAAAATTTCAGGGCAGATAGATCTTGACCTAATGAACAATTTAATCCCTCTCAGATTTGCTCTAAATGCTTTGGTTTCAGAGATATGAGCCAAAAACTGCATTTTACCCTATGTACTATTTTTTAGCCATGTCATCCATCTTGGTTCGCGGGTGGGGTCATCAGACACATTTTTTAAACTAGATACCCTAATGATGATTGTGGACAAGTTTGGTTAAATTTGTCTTAGTAGTTTCAGAGGAGAAGATTTTTGTAAAAGATTACAAAAATTTATGAAAAATGGTTAAAAATTGACTATAAAGGGCAATAACTCCTTAAGGGGTCAACTGACCATTCTGGTCAAGTTGACTTATTTGTAGATCTTACTTTGCTGAACATTATTGCTGTTTACAGTTTATCTCTATCTATAATAATATTCACGATAATAACCAAAAACAGCAAAATTTCCTTAAAATTACCAATTCAGGGGCAGCAACCCAACAACGGGTTGTCAGATTCATATGAAAATTTCAGGGCAGATAGATCTTGACCTAATGAACAATTTTATCCTATGTCAGATTTGCTCTAAATGCTTTGGTTTCAGAGATATAAGCCAAAATCTACATTTTACCCCTATGTTCTATTTTTAGCCATGGCAGCCATCTTGGTTGGTTGGCCGAGTCACCAGACACATTTTTTAAACTATATACCCCAATGATGATTGTGGCCAAGTTTGGTCAAATTTGGCCCTGTAGTTTCAGAGGAGAAGATTTTTGTAAAAGTTTACGGACGACGGACGCAGGACGACGGACGATGGACGCCAATTGATGAGAAAAGCTCACTTGGCCCTTTGGGCCAGGTGAGCTAAAAATGAACATATTTACACATGTTGATTGATTATGATATTTTATAAATAAAGTCAAAGTCCCTGTGAACGGGGTGTATTCTACTATCATACCTCTATCTCTTAAGTTATAAAAGTATAAATCCAAAGTCAAACAAATCCTAATCAAATGTTAAACAATTTATTATTCAATATGATAAATTTGATCTTTCTGAACTTTTCATTTTCAGATTTCACTAGATTTCCTCAATTATCCATAACATAAAAAAGAAATCTTAAGCCAAACCCAGTTTGAATAAAGGAATACTTCCTTAGCTTGATAATTACATGTCAAATACTTCCTTTTATCAATAAAATTTGGAGATTTAGATAACTACAAAGAACTTACATGTAATCATATTTCTAACTGAGTTGGCCATGAAAATAGCTGCAAATAACATGATTATCAGGGTAATTTTTTTTTTTTAAACTCTTACTTATAGATCGAATAGTCACTAGTTTCCAATTTCAACCATTTATCTTAAAACATGTGAGTCTACCAAGGAAGATTTGTGTCACCTGCTGTCTCCAAATATTGATAAGCAGACAATTAGGAAATCCATCTTTTGGTATGGGAAACCCCAAAATTACTCCTATAAAGTATTATAACAGCAGATGCACCACTTCCTGTCCTGTAGAAGAATTTGTGTAAGTATTACAGAATTCTTTCAAGCTATTGTCAAGGGGTAATAGATTAAATAACTATTATCAGCAGAAATGGCTTCATACAATTTTAAGCAAAACCCCCAAAATTATTCGTATCAATAGTTATACAACTAAATTAAATCATATAGGTACACAACTTCAATGTGCTGTAGAACAATCAGTGTATGTTTGTGAAGATGTTTTCAAGGGTTGCAGATCCACAAAGTGTGAAACGGACAACTACAACTCAAAGTAATCTACAATTGCAATATGCCCCGGTCTCAGAAATGCGTTTCAAACTTATACAATAATTATTTAAGGAAAAAAAAGATCTGAACAGAAAAAGGTCACTTCTGCAAGATGGATTTGGATGTAAAACTCTATTTGAATTGATGTAAATACGAGTGCCATTATCAGGAGGGAAGCGTTTTAATAATGCTCCACATCAAATATAATCCTTACACCAAGTTTAATGGTAATTAGTTACTGAGAATTGGAGAAATATAAGTCTTTTAGCTTTTTCTTTTAGGCTATTATATTCCCATGTATGCTTGTTGACCCACCTTAAGCTGGTTGTTGTTTGTTACCTCAGATCAAACAAGAATAGACCACTATTAGTCATGCTAAGCCTACCCTCACTCAATATTCAAAAGTATCAGAAACCAGAACTAGGTGTCTGACAGATCCAAGTGCACACACGTTACACACCTCATAACTGTTGAGCTGCTGACCAAATATGAAGTCATTCTGTTCAGTGGTATTGGAGAAATGTGTGACGAACAAGTAAACATATTAAACAAGAGTGCACACGCTGAAATGTCTCGCCTTCTTTACTAATCATTTATATTATGTTGATAGTCCCAAATATAAAGCTTTATTACAACTGTCACATAAACTTAACATTAACCAAGTAAACTAAACATTGACCAATGAACCATGAAAATGAGGTCAAGGTCAGATGAACCATGCTAGGCCAGCATGTACAGCTAACAATTCTTCCATACAACAAATATAGTTGACCTATTGTTTATAGTTTAAGAAAAACAGACCAAAACACAAAAACTTAAAACTGAGCAATGAACCTTGAAAATGAGGTCAAGGTCAAATAAAACCTGCGTGACTGACATATAGATCATAAAATATTTCCATACACCAAATATAGTTGAACTATTACATATAGTATTAGAAAAAAAGACCAAAACTCAAAAACTTAACTTTGACCACTGAACCATGAAAATGAGGTCAAGGTCAGATGACACCTGCCAGCTAGACATGTACACCTTACAATCATTCCATACACCATTTATAGTTGACCTATTGCATATAGTATTAGAAAAAAAGACCAAAACTCAAAAACTTAACTTTGACCACTGAACCATGAAAATGAGGTCAAGGTCACATGACACCTACCAGTTGGACATGTACACCTTACAATCATTCCATATACCAAATATAGTAGACCTACTGCTTATAGTATCTGATATATGGACTTGACCACGAAAACTTAACCTGGTTCACTGATCCATGAAATGAGGTCGAGGTCAAATGAAAATTGTCTGACGGGCATGAGGACCTTGCAAGGTACGCACATACTAAATATAGTTATCCTATAACTCATAATAAGAAAGAAATTAACATTACAAAAAATGTTGACTTTTTTTTCAAGTAGTCACTGAACCATGAAAATGAGGTCAAGGACATTGGACATATGACAGACGGAAACTTCGTAACATAAGGCATCTATATACAAAGTATGAAGCATCCAGGTCTTCTAGCTTCTAAAATATAAAGCTTTTAAGAAGTTAGCTAACGCCGCCGCCGCCGTAGCCGGATCACTATCCCTATGTCGAGCTTTCTGCGACAAAAGTCGCAGGTTTGACAAAAAAATCAAAGTACAAAGGTATAATAAAACATAATGACATATACACACTTTAGCTATTAAGTATAAATTAAGTAAAATATAAATACAAGGGGAACACAAAATGAAAATGCAACTATAAAAATTTAATATGTCCGAAGAGCTCT